ACCCGATCAGGTACCCGTGCTACCCGTGGAAAACTACCCGGACCCGATACCCGAAGAAAATGCTACCTGACTCAGCCCTAATTTCTACCCTGATTTTCATCGAAACAATTATCTGCATGCCATAACCTCCGTACCCTTTATCATGCAGACCACCGGCACTGATCAGGTACATTGTACACGTGTAGCCTACACACTAGAATTATGGTACAATCTTTATGCTCCTACCTCCGAAAGGATGCTCCAAATGTTCAACCACCAAATTACGCCAATAATTATGCCGGCATAATCCGCCGGTGCCGCTTGAGCAAGTAACTATTACTTAGTTGAGGCAACGTGAGAGCGCACGCAGGCAGCTAGCGCCATCATCCTTCAATCATAGTTCACGTACAGACTCAGTACGTGATATTCTTGTATTTGTCGAAGCATGAGACACAAATAGAATGATATATTAAAATGAGTGAGAAAGGGGTCGGGAAATAACTATACATGACGTAGACGGAGTGAAAGACTAGGCGAAGCCAGCGTCCATTATGCGAGATCAATTTCCCCATATAGACCGATTTCGAAATCAATAATAGATTTATCACGACTTTACCGGAGGATGTACCCAGTGTGCTGACATCGACAGAGCTCAACACCGCGGAGGCAGAGTGCAATACAGAACAACAAGGACAATCAAGGTTTGCTTGAAGTAGCAGCAAACAAACCTTGATTATCCTTGTTCAAGTTGTTGTTCTGTATCACGACTTAACGAACATGCCATGGCGCTTCTCTGACGGCTGAGTCTGAGTCCGCGGTGCCGAGATACAGAGTACCAGTACATAATCAATGATAATGTTTTACCTTGGCTCTTAATCTTGCTTGAGTCTTGGTGCATAAAAATAATAATATCAAAAAGTATTCTTTCTAGACCAAAGAGTGGTATATTTGATAACATTTAATAACGATAGAGATTTTTACGGTACTTCTCCAGACGTTTCGTTGTTCTGAACAACATCGTCAGTGGATAAGAAAGAAAATCATTCTTATCCACTGACGATGTTGTTCAGAACAACGAAACGTCTGGAGAAGTACCGTAAAAATCTCTATCGTTATTAAATGTTATCAAATATACCACTCTTTGGTCTAGAAAGAATACTTTTTGATATTACAATGAGAGTGAATAATCAACGGCTTGTCCACCAACTCTTTAAAAATAATAATGCCTTAGTACCATGTACATAATAGTACAGACATGTCACACATGTGCTCAGTCCGTACTCCACGTGCCACTGGCACTGTCAGTGCAGTGTAGTCTCTATACTACTACTAGTCTAGTCTAGATCTAGTCTGTAATCCTGTATGTAGAGGAGACGGCTCGATACCGGGACGTTTTGACAGCCAAATTTATAGACCCAAACCGATCATCAGCGTTGATTTTTCACTCGAAATATGTTTGTGGAAGGAAACTGGCATGTTGAAGTTTGCTCTGGGGCCAGAGTCAATCGAACTGAGCCACTCCTTTGTGTTGACCCATTGCCTCCAAGTTGCCCAATTTTTCGCTTCAAAAAAGTTCAAATCAGAGGTGGCTCCAAACCGGACACGTTTTAGAGTGCCCGTCAAATTCACTCTGAGTCTGAAATTAGGTAATTGCTATCGCTCCACGACGGCCAGTACAGAGTAACAATAAGCCTTGTGTGTGCTTCCATTAGTTTTGATTGGTATGCGGTGCTTTATTGGCGAGAGGCGAGCCGCTGTTTACCTGCGACAAGAAGTTGATTTTTCGAAAGTCGTAAAACTCAAGTCGCAGTGCGAAGCAACACGTCAAAAACTCACCTGCTTGATATGGCGCTTCTGGTCATCGCAGAGCCATGAAATTTTGGCTCGGAGTATAACACATCGTAGTCTCACTGTGACATATGAGCCAGCACAAGCGAAAACCCAGATAATGGACTTGGAGGGCGATTTTGAGATTTCAATACGAGAGCTTTCAGAATTTCATGCAGAAACCAATAAAAAAAACCAGACTCAAAAATCTCAAGAAACACCATAGATACAGTCATTTGTCTGCACCTATGTCCTTGCGAAACATACGGAAAATGATGTTCAAGCGCACGCAAACAATCCAGCGGTGTTGAACGAATAATTGATGGCCCAAACAAAGCTTTCCCAATGAAGCAGATGGAGAGTATTATTAAATCAAGTGAAAGATACTGTACATATAGGTAACATGATATTGAGTCTTCTATACATCATAGCATCAAGAGACTCTTTAGAGTACATGAGAGCATCTACGCAAATAGGCGTAATCAAGAGCAATGTTACGCAAGTGTGTAACTGAGCAATAGCACAAGTATATACACGAATATAGAAACGAATGTGAAATGATCAAAGTGCTATGTCAGGCTGGTCGGCGAGGATGTTGTCTCACTCTGCAGATGCAGTAGGTGGCGGGCAAACTTCATCTTGGAACTCTGATGGAACATGCTCGCGAATGTGAGAAAAGAGGTACTGCTGCCTCTCTGCAGTCAGTCCTGCAGGACTGAGGACTTTCGGCAGACCAGCACGAAGCAAATCTTCTGCAGGCACTTTCAGCAAGGCAAGCCTCTGCTCAGCAGCATGAACATTCTCTTTGCAATACACTACACCAGGCTCAGCACTGGAAAAGCGCATGTAGTGAAGCTTGGAAATGCCGACCAAGGGCTTAAAGAACTGCATAAAGAACTTATCCCACTCACGCCACTCCAGATTGGAGCCAGGAATAAGCTGCGCCTGATTGCATGCAGCACTACCATTCACTACATCAGCTAACTGGGCCATGCTATAGATATTATTGCGCCTATAGCTGCGTTTCAGCAAACCAAAGCAGCCATCGACCAAACATCTGGTGTGGCCTGTGATCATGAAATGCAGCTCAATACACTTATGCAAGCCAGACATACAGCGCCATGCAAGGTAGGAAACAACAGTTTTATTCTTGTTCTGGCCACAGCAATTATCTGCAGAGAGGATACACTGTTCTTCGCCATAACCATGGTGTGCGAAGAAATGGTGGAGGAGACTTACAACGCTGTTGGGGCCATGGCTCTTGGAGCCATTTGTGCCGATGGTGTCCATCTCGTCAATCAAGTAGTTCACTTGGTGCGGAACAGCTTCGTTGTTCACCCCAAACACCTGCACTTTCCTTGGAACTTTAAAGTAGAGAGGACCTACTTGTCGCCACTCCTGAGGTATGCTGACGTTTTGCGCAAAATCAAATGTATAATGCGTTTTGAACGTGGCTTGCGAGCATGGAGCACATGGTGGCGCACACTGGGCACTGGCTTGTAGCTGTTCGGCAGCAGAGATAGTAGCGCCACGATAGTAGTCTCTCTCATGTTGTGCTGCTGCAATGTGATCTTGCAGTGCTGAACAGGCGGCCACCTTATCCTGCTCAGTCAAAGCTGACATGACCCGACGGCGTAGTTTCTCGCACAGATCACACACGTCAGTCCGTGGAGACATAAATTTCAAATGCGGCGTACATTGGTGCCAGATGCTGCGGAAGGAAGATTCTCCCATGACACGAATGCCAGCCGAGTTCCCTGCAGTAACATATAGTTTGTGCACAGCCTTGTATGTCTGGCTTGCAGGCAAAAACACGGGAGGAACGCCATCTCGACCATGTAGTGGTGCAGGGTGTGGGATGCCATAGTGTTCGCCGTGAGACTTTATGAAAGTAACCGCGTATTTGACTTCCTCAAACGTGAAAGCGTTTGATGGTCGTCGACCAGCATTGCCGTGTCGCCGCGCCGTTGCACCGTTGCTTTCCACGTGCTTACACAAACTCCACAGTTTATCTTTCTTGATGTTAAAGATGTAGCGGAACGCACCGGCACACACTCGCTTGCTCTGGAAAGCGTACTTGAAAGCTGAACGTTTACGCTTTTTCTGGTGGACAGTGAGCTTGTCTCCACAATGCATAGCCTCCAGCACACCACTCAGCAGTAAATCAAAATCAGGTCGCTCCAGCTCTGCCATGTTCAGCCGATTCTGATCAACATCTTCAATAGAAATAGTGACAAACAATTTTTTGAACATCCACATCTTGGCAAAACTGTGGCTGCAGTTGCAGCATGTTGGGGAACGTCCATACCAGCATCTAGGTCCTCAAATACATCGTCAGTATCGCTTGTCTCTTCTTCTCCATCACCGTCGTCGGTGCTGCTCAGTTCATCATACCGATGGGCAGCAATATCGATGTCGAGCTCCTTGTCGAGGAAATGGCTGTCACTACTGTCATCATCGTCGTCAGATTCCTCCAAAACATTTTGGACAGGTGGCCCGTCAAGAGCAACTGAGCGTACAAATTCTTCCTCGTCTTCAAGGAGCAGAGCAGCGAGGGCATCGTCCACGGTGAACGTAGCTCGTCTGCTCATGCTGTCAAAGAATCATCGACTAACTTCAAAGGCCAAACTATTTTCAAATTTCAGAGCGAAGAGTGCAAGCACGATCCTCCAGAGTAAAATCGACTTCAGTCAAGCGACCGAAACTCAGCCGTCCCTTGACGGATTTCCTTCAAATAAAAAGCACAAGAAAGCTGAGGAACTCAGCTGCGCGATGGTCCGCGCCATAGAACACTACGTCACATACTTGTGACGTAGCAAAGCATTGAACACGCGACACGCTTCGCTGAATGGGGATTTCCCGTATTCAAACTTCTCACGCCGTTTTCTCAGTTCATGACGTAGCTCCGTTATCCGGTTTTTCGCTTGCGCTGGCTCATATGTTTTCTAATCAAAATACCAAGAGAGAAAGTGAATATTGAGTCCGTTCCGGTTTGCAACCGGTGTCCTATTTGAAACCGTCCCCTCTACCATGCCCATGGTATGTTACTTGTTACAGACAGTACAGCTGACATGTGTGTTGTCTGTTGACACCCGCTGTGGCGGTTATTTCAAACCATACTCATCTTTTGAACACCAGTTTCAAGCACCGCTCGCGCTCATGATCGTCGTGCTCGAAGAAAGATTTTACTTGTACCAATAATTGTCTTTGTAGTTCTCAAACTGTCAAAGCACTGTTCGCAGCTCGAGTTTCTGCGTGTCCAGGTCCGCAAGGTCAAAGAAATAATCTATCATGTACTAGATAAAGTGGTCGGGAAGATCAAGGCGAAGTCATTGCAGCTTTGCTCTTCGCTAGGACCAGGTCCCAGCGGCTGTTCCGCTGTCCTTGCTTTTCGAAAACTCCTCATAAGTCATAGTGCATGTACTACGGTTGAGGAGTTGGAGATCGGAGTGTGTTTGAAGTATTTGAAGTATGGCTGATTCTCTGCGACCAGCGCAGTGCTCGTACATACCACCACCCAGTGCTGGTAGCGAGAGTAGTAGCGGGGAAGATGTCACGGCTAGAAGCGTAGTCCTTCAGAGACTAACCACCCTTGGTGTACCTCTACCAGTTGGCGTCAGAGGCAGTAAACTCACGGTATGTAGATCTCTACTACCCGACACTTGTATTGTTTTCATTGTGTGAGTTGCGTTCCAATCTTCCACCAAAAAACCCACTTGCACCGCTTCTCTGAGGGAAGGACTGGAGGCAAGATATTCTAGTTATTCAGAGACAAGATAGCAATTAACGTTTCTGTCAAAACGAATCGGTGTCCGTTGGTTGTGGATTGGTTGTGTTTCTATCGATAATTATAAATATAAATTTAAACAATGGACGAGGAGACAATAGTCGTAAAATGGCAATAAATAAGATAAATTGTGCACTCATAACAACAGCAAAAAATGAAGAAAGTCAAGTTCTATAACGTTTTCTTGTGACTGTCATCAGTGGAACGTCGTCACATAAAAATGTAATAACTAAAACACACACCTAGTCATACACACACACCATTACATTCATTCACACAGTATCACATTCATCTGCCACTACCTTTCTCTCATACACTATATTCGCACATTGCAAAGGTGCAAACTTCGCTTTTTTGTACTTGCTGGCTGCTGTATTTCTACCTGAAACCATAATTATTACTATTAGCTACATGTATATAAGTGTGTGTTTTAGTTATTACATTTTTATGTGACGACGTTCCACTGATGACAGTCACAAGAAATCGTTATGGAACTTGACTTTCTTAATTTTTTGCTGTTGTTATGAGTGCACAATTTATCTTATTTATTGCCATTTTACAATTATAAATTTATAATAATATTATCGATAGCAACATGAGTGTTTTCGTACATATTATGTACCCACTCAAAACAGTCCATTTTCTTTTCACAAAATTGTGCCACACGTTCAGCAGTATTTTTAACACAATGACTGTGTGTGCATGGCATTGTCCAGATAATGTCGACAGGTACATTTCCAGAATCATAGAACTGGTTACCATGCAGGAGTAAGTCACAATTTCCATAAATTCAGCTACACGACATTATAGCATAGATAACCTTCGATGCCGAGGAATCGTAGGATATCCCTCCTTGGTTGGGATGGAAACTGAAGTCGATGCGACGATATCTCTGCTGCATGTATTCACATTGGATGAATCAGCAGTGTCGGCTGATTCTCTTTCACACACGGTTCCCGCTTGCATAAAGCAGTGTTTCCGCAAAATATGGAGGATCCGACCCCATATTTTTTCTAGACGGCTTATGTGAGGGGATCTAAAATTTTAGCATCGTGCACGACTTGTCGATCGACATAACCTGAAGGTGGATTTTCAGTGTCTAGGGTGGGTGATTTTTCGCGGGATTTCGAAGGCGTCTGAACATATGAAGATAGTCTTCTAATAGGACGACATATCCTACCACTAGAGGAAACACAGTATCCATATCTTGGTGAAAATGCAAAGCTGCCCGGAGATTGAGAAGCATCATCATAATAATATGAAGTTGAAAAGCAGGGTTCTAGCTAGGTCGAAAGAGTAGGGGAGGGGGAGGGGAGGGGAGGGGGGGGGGGGGGCATGCGAAACAGCTACCCCGTAATCCATTTTTTCTATTTTCCAAAGCTTTCCTGCCATGCAAAATGTAACGTACGGGGGGGGGGGGGGGGGACCTCTGATTTCCCCCAGACAAATGTGCCTTTATGAGCCCGGGTGTTAGCGGTCGTCGTGAGTTACCTTCGGGAACTGACATGATAATTTACTCTTTTTTACGGTAGTGACTATCGACTGCATTTTCGTTGTTTGAAAAAACACTAAAAATTCTAAAATCGACAAAGGAGTTGGAGGGGGGGGGGAGCTCAATTAGAGTAGGAGGGCTCTGCCCCCACCCCCTACCTCTTTAGGCTAGAGCCCTGGTACGTAGTAGAGTGATGGTGACAAACACACGTGGAAAATGCACCGGGTGCGGTCTGGTGTAGCAGCCGCCGGTATGCCGCTATCACCAGCTATGATCCGACCAGGCGTCAAGTGTTCTCAGTTACCGTGGTGCGACACTCTTGCTGAATAATCTATAAAGGAAACTCTACAGTGTGCTGAGCTTCCACTCCACTCACAATGCCTACATGTACCTGGCAATCACTTAGGTCCGCTGACTCTGGCACAAGTTGGTCAATTGTGCTGTCTGCATGGACGAAGTTGACCCAAAACAATCAAGGGTGTCATTAGGTTTGGTCTTGAATTTAGTGCTGAGCCGGGTAGCATTTTCTTCGGGTATCGGGTTCGGATAGCTTTCCACGGGTACCCGATCGGGTAATGTTTCCATGGTACCACCACAATGCACCCCTTACCTTACACACTGGGTAGACATGCGGAGTATTACATGAATGTATACACGTGCACTGTACATGATGTCATCTGCAACTTCGGGTTTTCGGGTACCATTCTGTACCCGAGGTCCTCACAGGTAGCACGGGTACCCAACTACCCGTGCACACCCCTAGTCTCTTATGTCAAGTTTTGATACCATTTATCTTTTTTGTGCATTTAGGCTTCAAACGCTGCATCTCCAGCGAAGCGATCTGCAACATGTTGCTTTGGTGTTGCATTGGACAAGTGTAGCCATGAACATCCTGTTCAGTTGCAGTCGGAGTGGTGCAGTGCACTACCTTGGTACGCTGGACACATGTGCATGCAGATCAACTCGGGTCACGGACATGCATATTGCATACACATGAATGTATGTCACGACTTGGGCACACTGATGCGTGCACATTCCAGTGTTTGCGACCACACATCCCCCTCCCCCTCCCCCTCCCCCTCCCCTCATTACACACATAGTTATATCACTACAGTGCAATGCACGATACCTTGCTGTAGTTCCCGAATACTAGTCGATTCTGAACATACTGCTGCATGTACACACGGGTAATTTATATGTTGGGGTCTTTGCCAGGTAATATTTATTCAGATGCCCTATCGGGTAATATTACTTTGGAAGCACTGTGTCTCTTCGTATCCTTTTAAAATAGCACAAATGACAAGTACTTTGATGAGTAGGGATTTATTGTAATCCTGTGTCTAATAGCTTTCCTTTGAGTCTCATATTGTGAGAATCGGTCAGGTAGAGCAAACATTATGGTATAGAATCGAACCGATAGCAATTCAAATGTACTCTTCACACAGTCCAGTTGTCCAGTCCAGTCTGGTATTCATAATAACTATTATCATGTTTCCATAGTACCCAATTGGTATTTTGACACTTTTCTCAGCCGATATATCCGTGAGGCCAGTGGCCGAGACAACACGGATGACTGGCCGCAGTCCCGTCCACAGCCATAGTTATGGTAACTATTGCATCGTTTGTCCGTTTTCTTATGTGGAATAGATGTCCCGTGTGTATGAATGTCCTACTAGCATAATATTCATGTCCTACTAGCACAATATTCAGTCCGATTTGGCCAGCAGAGGGTAAACCGCCAAAAGTTGTGTCCGCAAGAGTCTATTAGTTTTCCGTGAATCGATCCTATTGTGTCTCACCTTTGAACCTCTTTCTGTTCAATGCAGTTTCCTCGTCTTTGTGATACAATACCTGGAACGTTTTCTGACGTCTGACGGACTGTTCAGGAAAACAGGCTCTCTCCAGAAGCAGCGGACATTGCGAGTAAGTACAAGTGTTGTCTTGCAGCGGCCATGATCACATGACCACTGGCGGATAATGGAGATGAGAATCACGTGGTATTGCATGACGGGTGGTAAATTAGTAGAATTACCATCTATAAAATGTAATGTTACTCTGCCTGTCATGCATGGTGGTTAGCTGGAGGCTCAAGAAGGAAACTTCCGTACATTCACTTCATATGCATGTGATGTATCATTCTAAGCAATCACATCGCACACACCTATGCTATTTACAGATTGTAAACTAGCATACATGTAGGTGCAGGTCCCTGCATGAACGGTGATCATCAACCACTGCGGCTGAGGTCATGCAACCTTCGGGACACTTTCTGCACTGATGCGTGCGGTGAATTGGGTACATGCTGGGTACAATATGGTCGCGCGCAAATGGCCGTCAGCCACGTCGGGTGAGTGGTGGCCTTGTCCGAACTGCCCTTGCTGGAAGCATGTCAATGACAAGGAGACGTGGTTGTCTTGGGAAAGTGGTCGCCTTCACAAGTTTCATTGCATGGATAACTGTCGGGAGGTTAGGGACCATCGTAAAAGTCTGCAGAAGCTCACGAAACAAACAAAATTCACTTTTGGTCCGTTCCCCCCCCTCCCCCCCCCCCCCCCAGGTTTTTGTTGGGGTAGGGGTTGCTGAAGACCGATCTCAAATGTTCCACTTGCCATCATGCTCTTCCCGGCCCCGGAGGTCTTGTATCAGCCATGCAAGCAGAGAAGAAGGGTTTGAGCGTGATTTCCTGTTCTATAGCATCCCTGCTGTGCTTTCCATTGTTGATTTTTTGGTGATAGACAAGGGTTTGCGAAACGGACGGAGCAGCTCTGGACGATGTAAGCGAGTACGATGCCGCTAGCCTCCTAAAGCAGTACTTGCGCTTGCTGCCAGGTGGCATGATTCCCAGGGGCTGGAAGGATAGTCTGACAGCGGTTGCCAATCGCTACGCCGGCTCCGAGCCAGAACAGCTGAAGGAAGTCCTAATGGACATGGTATTCCTGATGCCCGAGAGAAACCAGGCTTGCCTGGCCTACACAAGCAGGTCAGTGGCTTGACGCGTTCTCAGCGTCATAATTGCATTGTGATGGAGGTAACCTTGCTTGGAATGTTCTGGTCACTTCTATTTTGTACCGTGATGGGGTCGGGGATTCATACTACATGAACTTGGAAGTACCAGCACTATGACGTCATGTTGTGGAGCTTGCAGCAAACTGACTGAAGTACCAGCACTATGACGTCATGTTCACGGCTGTTTTTTTTCGCGAAATTTGGACATTTAACAAGATGGCAGCCAAAAGTCTCGATTGGGCTGGATCGGCAAGGAAATTTGAATTTTCAAATTCTCAGCAGCCGATTTCGCTGTGGTTTTCGCTCGATTTAGAAAGCTACCAGGCCAGGTTTACCCGGAAAACAGGTATTCCGTGTTCCTCTTGAAACTAGCTTTCCGCTGGTACCTCACATGGCCAACTTCGTCTCAGGAACAGTTTGTTCCGCGTTGCACAAGTCAAGCCTTCTTTCTCGCTCGTTCCTTGATTCATCGTTGACATGCCTGCGTCAAGAAGCCCTTTCAGGAGTTTTCCCAGTCTAGCTTTCAGTTTTCCCAGGTAGAGGACTATCTTCTGGCTATCTTCACCAAGTTTTATCACGTCCCGTGCACAAACTTCAGGTCCCGTGCGTTCGATGCTGAGCTACCTTTTCATGCGATTTAGGGGACAGATGGCATGGCGCTGGAGTCGCTGTTGAGTCCAGGAGGCCGAGGCCTGGTGGAAACTGCCCAGTAGACATGTGGGGTATTGCTGAAAAAGGCAGCAAGCACACAGATAGCCCCGAAATTGTGATGTAGATCCAATTGTGCGTTTGTTCGAGTGCATATCGGCAAATTTGAAAGTTTCACCCGTGATCCCGGCGAGGAGAAGCTGAAAATCAGTGCGTGCGTCAATATCCAGACTACCAGGGACAGCTTGGAGAGGTTCGAAAAGGTCAGGATGCTGGTTGACCACGGCAGGAGTTCCTTTTACCTTCCTTCTCTCTCAAATTGTCTGGATATTGAGTATCTCGCTCGAGCGCTTTCAAATAATAAATCCTGGTTTGACTTGCGAAATCGTGGAACCACACGGAGAGTGACATGAGTTTCATCCCAAAACGCAAACTCCAATCGTATTCAGGAGGTTTGTACCGCGTTACGTAAATCGCACCGAACGACTCCATATTGTTAGATGTCCGTGCGCGAACAGCCGTGTGTTGTGGAGTTTGCAGTAAACTGACTTATGTAGTATTAACCCTTTGTGGACGGACTGTACGAGTTTCGATCTAATAAGATCGAAAGTCTGCAGGCGGTAAAATCTTCGTAACTCCATCGTTTCTTGAGCAAATTCCACAATCGAAGGGTCTACGTGGTAGCGGAAACTCCAAGCTGTCCAATGCAACAATCGCCGAAGAGTTACGATGTCGGACGCCAGAGATATCGCACGCCGTATTCTTACCTCGGCAAATTCAAAATTTTGATCGATCATTTCGCCATTTTGGGGGAAAACCCCTTTTCGTGTGCTCTTTGAGCGACTGCGCACATGATAATGACGTAGCCGGCTGAAGTTTGAATCGTCTCAAACAGATTTGAGCGTTCTGCGATGAAGGAGAGTGGAATGGCGTTGATGGGACGAATTTGCTTGCATATCAGGCTTGGAGACGACTTTGCTGTGTTACCGCGCCTGATTTGTGGCGGCTGGATAATGGAGATTGGTACCCTGGCGTTGCTCTCGTCAAGAGCTTTCCAATGAGCCCTTGATTGTGAAAATCAAGTGAAGGACACCAAAGTTTTGACATGGTAAAGTTGAAAATTGTACTGACATTTTGTAATTCTGGTGCGTACTGTGCTAGTAATCCGTCCATAAAGGGTTAAAGACAAGAATACTTATGGTGGGCATTGTTGGCTTTCGACTTTTGTCCCTCCTGTACCAAGGTTTCTGCATCAGCTAGTTCGGTCGTCACGGACAACTGACAGCGAGAAAGTGTCCACCATACTTGCTCCGAGTATCATGCAATGCTCAGGAGCATCAAACAGTGATCTGAGCACGCTGACATGCATCCTGAAGATTTTCATCGAGAACGCTGAAAGCATCGGCATAGCTGACACTTCCGCCGCAGCTTTGACCATCGAGCGTCCGTTCACACCAACAGAGGTTGCCTCCAGCAGTCCTGTCCTCATCTCGCCCAGCACAGAGCTGAGGAGCCTAAGGCAAAAGCGTTCGCTCCGCTCGGCAGCTGCATCACCTGGTCACATTGCGGTGGGAAGCTGTGTCGACTCTCGACTCATGGAAATCTGCAGCAGCAATGAAAGCCTGGCCTCTCCCAGCACGTGTAAGCTTTCACCAGTCAGCGAAGTATCCCATGCAGAAGCCATCGATGAACGGAGAAGTCCAGCGAAGGAAAAGAAACGAAAGCATAAGCGCCGCTCTTCACTAAGTGGTAAGGACCACATCCAGTATTTCTTTATTGTAATTGGAATTACCAACATGCCATCATTTGAAACTTCACATGTTGGTTTGCCGCCACCGAATCATTTCTGACACTGCAGTGCATAAAGTTACTATTCACTGCAAGTAAATGCAGATTTTCCTCCTTGACTGAGTGCTTTCACACACATCAAAGTAGTAGTCTATTCTCATTGTATTAAGAGCACATTATACAAGAGAGTGCAATCTTCCGGTGTTGTCACAAAGTTTCTAATCACTGTTGGGGCATCACATCACAGTACAATCCCTTACCACATAGCCTTCACCGACACTCCAGCCTTCACCTTGCCTTTCAAATATAATCTAGGAGATCCTTGCCGCATGTATTCCCCCCCCCCCCCACACACACACACACACTCCTAGTAAAAAAAAGGACATTCATGTTTTGAGGAAGTACAGTGAAACAGCTGTCTAAGGCGACCGCTGCTCAAGGGACCTTCAAAACGTGGTCTCCTTATCCAGGGTCATTTGACTGGAAATAGCATCCCTCGGTCCTGGTTTCAGTGGTCTTCTAGCACAGGTGGTCGCCTTATCCGAGTGGTCGCCTTGACCGGTTTTACTGTACCCTCCTGACCGTGCATGCTGTGCTGGCTGGAAGTGCTCCAAACTGGGCACTCTATGAAGAGCTGATGTACTAACCCTTCTCATTGTATATGATAAGAGTAAGTACGACAGATTGTAAACTCATTTGAATCTACAAATGCTAAGCCTGATCCTTCAAACCCAACCTTATCCTTCTAAATGCTTACCAAGCACTTCTGTCAACAATCACAACTGTGACAAGAAAGAGAGTGCCAAGGGTTTCAACTTTCTAATAATATATTATTCTTCCTTCTGTTCTCTGTTTTTATCCAGGCCTTGTTAATTCCATTGGGCAGACGTTTGAACGGTTGAAGACCCAAAAAGCGGCACCCCAGCCCTTGCGAGATCCGCACGATTGTGCTGCTATGGATGTTGATCAGCCTAAAGTGGCTTCGCCACCGAGACAACATCGACCTATCATCGGAAGGCCGTCACTGCATCGGGCGGCTAAAAGTACCCGTGGAAGAGTTGCAGGTACATCACTTGTGTCGTGAATTTTCTCATCTACCGTCATGTCCATGTGTGTTATAATAGATGCAGTGGCAATTTTTTATGCTGAATAAATTGCTGAATGAATTGATAGGGAAAGTGGCTAACATGATCTTCTCAGTCCTGAATAGAATTATAACTATTACTTATAAGTCAACACTGGATGCTTCTTCCCATATGGTCACTTGTAAAACAGTGTGCCGGGGATTCATGTGAAATAGTGTGGGTTGATGGTAATTTCTGTGCTCTTGACCTACTCTCCAGCGGTTCATCCAAATGACATACCCACAGGCACACGGGCAGTGTCACCTTTGAAGAGAAAGGCTCCCGCTGATGAAACTCACCTCCTGTCCCCACAGAAAAGGTACCGTTATATCAACTTATATGTGTAGTTTCCCCAAGTGCTTGTAATGCATACTGCCTACGAGGGACTGATCGGTTGTATTTTATTCACTGCTTTTTGACACTGCTGCTCAGGAAAGCAATGCTGCAGGCACTGGCTAACAACGACTGCATGGTGAACCGCTCCACTTTAAGCCTTGCCACCGGGATGGCTTGTCCACAGCCAATGGCACCGCTGAAGGGCATTCACGGTGATAATGTGCAGCAGCAGCAAGAGGCAGCGGGGCTGTCAGTTGTGCGTGATTCCAGCCTGCGCGGTTCATTCCGGTCTGTGGCTGGTGAGCAGATGCTAAGTGTGCCAACAGGACAGCTACTCTATGTCAGAACTGGTAAGAAACCCCTTGTCAGGCGTTCCATGCTAAAATGGAAGACATGCTGTATTAACCCTCTCAGTGCCACAGGCGAATTTAGTCGCCCAGAATGAATATGTGTGTACAAATAATTTCGTACCTCCACTTCTACACACAGGAGAGTTACAATCGACCACTCTACGTCTTCAGGAAGACCTTGGCTATCGACTCCTCACATCGGTTTGTGTCCGTGAGGATAGATGTCACCAGGGCGAAGCCTGAAGTGCGCGCGCTCAGACAAACAATTGTCGCGAGTAGAAAACATGACGTGTGCACATCGCGGGTTTCTCTATTTCTTTCGCGGCAACCCATGCGTATTGGGTATCAAAACATCAAGATTTTTAGAGGCTTTCAGGCCAACTTTGTCCGAATTTCGTGCGTTGAAAGTTGACGGCACTGCGATCGATCGCGCGCGTGAGAACGCGCAGATGCTACGAAAATGCAGAGAACGGACATCGCTCAGGCGCCCTCGCGAGGAAGACTTTTTTCGCTGCATTTTCTCTGGCCTTTATATTTTTCCAGAGAGCCATCGTTTTTAAAGATCCGTGGATATACAGCTGAGCTATGAAAAATTTGAGTTCAGCTCAACTCAGAAAAATTTGAATTTTTCTGACCCCCTTGGCACTGAAAGGGCTAAATTATATTTGCAGATACACCCATCTTGGTATGCACCCTGTGCATTGCTATGTATGACTACATAACTATAGCTGATGACCGTGAGCACACAGCCAAAGGGGTTTATCTCCTCGCCCATAGTAGCCTGAGGATCTATCCTTTCGCCCCGCAGAAGCTGCCACACGCGGGTGGGGGTGGCAGTCTGATCTAAGGGGATGATTTGATTTGGTGAACGTCATGCCATTTTCAGATAGTTATCTACCAGGCCACACAGTGTTCCAGTGCTTTGTCTTGTTGAAGTTGCTGTCCATGCTATGAAGTGTGTGCGCTATCTGCCCTTATTCTGCTATCAAGGCAATGACAAAGAAAACATGTCCAAGAAGAAATCGGGTCGGCGTTCCAGCTGCCATCTTGAATTTCCCAGACCAGAATCGAAGTAAGGTGGTGTTCCACTCCTATGCTGATAATCTCCCCTCTACTTGCAATATTACATTGTTGTATGACATAGGTAACCTTTTTTTTAACGTTACGTATTTCGAAGTATTTCACAGTATTTGTGCTGTGAGCCTGTGCTTTGTACATGTGTACCAGTACATGTGGTGTGCGTATCCTACTGGTAATGCTTGCATATGCCACTGAGTGCAAGCCACCACTTAGTGTTTCGGCATGGAGATTGGAATTCGGCCTTGTTTACTCCTTTTCCGACACTCTAGACTAGACGGTTTGGACTCGGATGAAGCAAAGGCACTCGCACTCTTGTCGGAATCTGCCCCCAAGAAGAAGAAGTCTAAGCTGCGACGTCGCCTGAGCGGCGGTCTCATCAAGAAGGTATGTGCAGGTCCTGTAGTGCAACAATTCTTTATCAACAGCTGAGTGACAAACAAGGAACAACACTTACTTCTGTTTCAAACATGGTTCATCAGTTGCAAAGAGATTTCAATACTAAAACGAGCTTAGTGTAAGCAGTGGCAGTGGAAGATCAACAACTTACATATTGACTGCTCATGCTTAGGAAGTAAATCGGTTCTCTGGAGCTGATTTTCTTCTAACAATAAAATGTCAGCAGAAAGCCAGTTCCAGAGAACGGTAGATACAACTAACAGTGTCATCAATTTAGAAACAAACCCACAGGATGCAATAAAATGTCAGCAGAAAACCAGCTCCAGAGAACTGTAGATACAACCACGAGTACATAATCCCGAAGAGTGTGCAACTCCAGCTATGGGTCTGCGACGGCAGAACTTCACATCACGTGCCGAACCCGTGCACACTAACGTTATTTGCACCCTGTGCATGAAAGATGCAGGGTTGTACGCAACCCAGCTTTGAGCTTTGGGTTGAACTCTCTTGTGGTCACTTTGCACTGTTTGCCAGCATAACCTTTTGAGGGTTATCTACTCTTGATACAACTAACAGTGTCGTCAATTTAGAAAGAAAACCCAGAAGATGCAGTGTACCTTTGCATATCTGTAAGATCTGAGTCGACAGGGCGGAAAGAGTTCTGCACTCAGCTTAATTTAGGTACTTCAAAGTACTCACTACGAATTATTAGTATCATGGCACCCCGTAGCTATGAATTAGACTTGGAACGTGAAGCAGCAAAACTTTAAGCCATCAGGTTTTGGGTGTGTTGGTCTCTTTGCCGTGAGCCGGCGCCAAGCCAAACACTATGCCTGTAACTATCATTACGTATATTTTTCAATTTGTCTTGTACAGGAGCCAGCCGAAGACAAAGTGGCGCACATCATGGAGGTCGGCGAGCGCCTGGCCAACTTGCGCTCATCGCGCACCTCCAGCTGCATGTCTAGCCAAGCAACAAGTAGGTGTACAACGCCCAGCGCCAGCAGCCATCACATGCGCTGGAACGCACCGCCGGGGTCCCTGCCGCCGACTAACAGCCCGACGGCATTCGCCTGTTCCGTTCCGGCATCGTCATCATCCGTCCTCTTGGCGACCGACTCGCAAACGAGCAGCCGCGCTCGTCACATGTCCCTACCCAGGGAATCTCACCTGACTGGTGTGCAAGTTTGACACTCTAGGCATGCACCGTTTCCGGGGGTGAAATTCTCAAGCCGATAGTTCAACCTTGTCGACATGCACCTGAATGATGTACACCTTCAAAATAGTGACCGGGCGGGGGGCAACATCTTCTCTGTCTCGGTAGCATGGACTGGCTGAATTCCGTGGCATCACTTGCGTCTTTTGTACTTGTACTGTAACCATGGTAATGCATGCACCGGTAGACACCGTGTAGAATCTATAGACATTCAGCACTGCTGAGTGGGCTCTCCCGATGTTCGCACTCCATAACTATTATAATAAACCTCTTAATTTAGTCTTAAACAATTTCAATCATTCCATACGATCATTGCGGTAATTTGAATTTCTCAACCCAAGCTCTCCTGTTTTCCGGCGTATTTCATCGGTAATGCTGACATGCACACATTGATTTCACCCTCAACGACTGATGCATAACCAGGTTCATTCGTAATCTATCTTCATTTCAAGTCCAGGAAGTAATAACATTTCTTTTAAATTAAAACCATTTTACATGTATTTCCATTCACGTGATCACTGTGCCAGTATTAGTTTGCTCGGCAAACTGCACCCCTGGTCTACAGGGCCGTACTGTACGAGAAGAGTACATTTCGATAAACATCCTTCAACGCATGGACCTTTATGAGAAATATTTCACGGTGTGGTGACTCGGCCCAAATGGTGGTGTCTTAGCACGACGCTTCTCTAAGCTGGTTGTGTTTCTCCATACAACCGTAAGCCGGTGGTAACCATGGTAACGCGCATGTACAAACTTTACTTTACTTTTACTCGGCCCAAAATCAGGACATGAGTCAGTGACAATTTTCATTTTTTTCCCCAACTGTGTGACTCGCAATTTGCATCATGTGCACACATGCTCGTACGCACCCCGCACAACAGTTGAACACAGGCATTTAAATTCTAATACCGTAAAAGCCCCTGTATACGCCCACTCGAAATTACGCCCACCCTCCGTGTACACGCCCAGTCAAGAGAAGTCAACACTTTGGTTTCGACTCCGAACAGCGCCCATGCCCATGTATACGCCCAGGTATGCCGGAAACACCAGTACATGTACAGGTGCGGATACCCAATACTTACCGCTATCCCTATTCCAAGTATACGCCCGGTTCCAAAATAACGCCCGTGCCCTTGTATACGCCCAGGAAATCGAGGCTGCTATCCTATATGCCCGGGGCCTATACACGGGCTTTTACGGTACTGTGGTTTATCAGGTTGCCACCACCAATGACTTCCAGCCGGAACACCGGCAAACCCACTAGAAGCTTTAAAAAAAACCACACACGTTTGAATCTTCCAGTGAATGAAAATTATGTGAGCAGAATAAGTAACTAGTGTAACTTGTAGTTCCTTGGTCCTTTTTGCGTTTTATAAAATAAGTAACTTGCACCATGACGCCAAGATGAGCCCGGTCGTCCAGAAACTTTCCGAAGCTGGACAAGACTTTGAGACGAGGCTAGGCTTTCCCCAAATCGGCCCGTTTTTCGCCTACTCGGCTTTTCGTTTAGCTCAAAAATACATCAGATTCGGCTGCAAAACCAGCTGATTGTTTGAAAATCGGCTGCAAAATTGGAATATGTTGGAAAATCGGCTCAAAGAATTGGTGAGATATTGGAAATACAGCTCTGCTAGATGGAACTGGCCACAACACACAACTGTACGTTGTAGTGTAGTATCAAGAGTCCATAACCCAAGAGTATGCAACTGTGATTATGGGTGCATGCGTGGCGCGCTGCCTTCATTACGTAACTTGCCTTCATCACGCTCTGAAAGCATGCATTCAAACTCTCAATTTCTCGCACGAGCCCATCCGCTTTTGCTCGATTCGCTCCAGTACCTACACAATCTCTGAATTCTGGCGCGTGAACTCCAGTTCCGTACGAAAGTTCATTTCAAACTAGAGGGAAAGTGCGGTGTTTGATTTTCCGCAGTGCGCGGACTGCAGCTGAATGATGAAATGAAGGCAGCGCGCCGCGCGGTTGGCCCATAGAAAAGAGATCACAGTTGCATACTCTTGGGTTATGGACTCTTGGTAGTATTGTACTAGTAACGGCGTTCTTCCTAATGGCTAGTTTTTGTTTGAGAGGAGGTCAAAGGACACGAGTCACACAACCTCAACTCACTAGTACTGATGTAGACTCGGAGCTCGAGCGGTCATGCTTGCAGCAACATCATTCGTTTGTAAACTGTGCACTTTGCAACAACATTTGGTAGATTTCCGGCGATTCTCAAAGGAACCCTCCATAATCGGCGAAAAGCTTAGTGATTTTTCGATAAGTCTCGTTTTCGGCGAATTTTTCGGCTGGCCGATTTGGGGAAAGCATAGATGAGGCTTGCAGTGCCGGAAGAACTGCACGTTGCGTCACTATTAAAGGGGAAGTTAAGGCAAAAATTAAAATTTCACCAGTTGTAGTCTTCGGGGTGCTGAGTCGAATGGTCTTGGTCCGAGAAAGCTGAGACGCTCCCTTCCTACTTGAATCCCAATCGAACTCGCGCACTTCCACCGAAACTGGGTGACTGCGCCCTACTAGATGGGGATTTGTATGCAAAATGTCACTAAAAGCGCCATTTCGTTCTTATAAAAGCACGGATGACCGCGATTGGCCCATATGTTGTAGTCTTTTGGACGCTGAGTCGACTGGTTTTGGTCCGAAAAGGCTGCGATGCAGCGTTCGCCCCTAATTCCCAATCGAACATGGTTGAACAAGTGGTCACGTGCTCCTGCGTACACCAGTCACCGTGCCTGCAGGGTACAACTTACAGCCTGTTTTGACCTTTTTGGGTGCAGTCCTGTCACTCGAGTTGAACCTTGGTGTGAAAGTTGTCGCCTGCTGGCGTGGTGACCAGGTGATTTTGGCACCCAGGAGCACGTGACCGCTTGTTCAACCATGTTCGATTGGGAATAAAGGAGGAACGCTGCATCGCAGCCTTTTCGGACCAAAACCAGTCGACTCAGCGTCCAAAAGACTACAACATATGGGCCAATCGCGGTCATCCGTGCTTTTATAAGAACGAAATGGCGCTTTTAGTGACATTTTGCATACAAATCCCCATCTCGTAGGGCGCAGTCACCCAGTTTCGGTGGAAGTGCGCGAGTTCGATTGGGATTCAAGTAGGAAGGGAGCGTCTCAGCTTTCTCGGACCAAGACCATTCGACTCAGCACCCCGAAGACTACAACTGGTGAAATTTTAATTTTTGCCTTAACTTCCCCTTTAAAGGGGAAGTTAAGGCAAAAATTAAAATTTCACCAGTTGTAGTCTTCGGGGTGCTGAGTCGAATGGTCTTGGTCCGAGAAAGCTGAGACGCTCCCTTCCTACTTGAATCCCAATCGAACTCGCGCACTTCCACCGAAACTGGGTGACTGCGCCCTACTAGATGGGGATTTGTATGCAAAATGTCACTAAAAGCGCCATTTCGTTCTTATAAAAGCACGGATGACCGCGATTGGCCCATATGTTGTAGTCTTTTGGACGCTGAGTCGACTGGTTTTGGTCCGAAAAGGCTGCGATGCAGCGTTCCTCCTTTATTCCCAATCGAACATGGTTGAACTAGCGGTCACGTGCTCCTGCGTACACCAGTCACCTGGTACCGTGCCTGCAGGGTACAACTTACTAGCCTGTTTGACCTTTTTTGGGTGCAGTCCTGTCACTCGAGTTGAACTCGAGTTGAACCTTGGTGTGAAAGTTGTCGCCTGCTGGCGTGGTGACCAGGTGATTTGGGCACCCAGGAGCACGTGACCACTTGTTCAACCATGTTCGATTGGGAATAAAGGAGGAACGCTGCATCGCAGCCTTTTCGGACCAAAACCAGTCGACTCAGCGTCCAAAAGACTACAACATATGGGCCAATCGCGGTCATCCGTGCTTTTATAGGAACGAAATGGCGCTTTTAGTGACATTTTGCATACAAATCCCCATCTAGTAGGGCGCAGTCACCCAGTTTCGGTGGAAGTGCGCGAGTTCGATTGGGATTCAAGTAGGAAGGGAGCGTCTCAGCTTTCTCGGACCAAGACCATTCAATCCCCTTTAATCCCCTTTAATAGATGTGATTGGAAATTTGAAATGAAGCCAATAATAGTATGAATACTAGGACTTAATGCAGTCAGTGATTGTCTAGCCGCAATGCTTCCACAGGGTGTAATATGCCAGTGCACTGCGGCCTGAGCCACGGCCCGGTGTGGGATGGGCAGCTCATGCACAGTGACTTACTTGCCTGTGTGAACAGAATCCATGGCCAGGCACTGACAGGCTTTGATTCCCTGTGAAGACGTTTTCCAGAACTGAAATAGAAAGAGTCCAGGTTTTCTGAATGCAGTGATCAAGGCCCAAACAACAAGGGGAAGCGTAGACACAACACAAAGACTTGAAAGCAAAAGTACACGGACTGCATGCTGTACTCACGTCATTTTCGCATGTCTTTTTTTACAAAACGTCACTCAGTATTTTTATTGTGTGCACGTGCCCATAAAAAGATAAGAAGAAGGAGGATGAAGTCGTGTTTCCATAGGAATATCGTACTGGAGAATGTTGCGTCTGCAACTCCTATTATTTTGTACGCACAAGAAAACGAGCTCATGCACATGATGGGTATTGCTCTTTCAGCTTCCATTCAAATCCAGCTGGTGTGTTTGCTCTTGGCTGCTTTCGAATCATCTAAATTTGCAGCAGCAGTTTTATTATCAGACGTGTAAATGACCGTCGACTATTTGATCTGACTCTCAAATTTTGTATTTATCTGGAACACGTCGATCGCCATGAGTATCTCCGCCATTCTGAGTAAGTAACTTCGAAGTTGTGCTATGTTATTTTCCACTCTGACTTACCACTTGCACTATTGCTTCCTAGAGACCCTTCTGTCCATGTTTTATTTCATTTTAAAATTGCGAGCTATTTTCTTCTCGTGTTTTTCTCTATTTGCATTCACAGATACACCAGAAAAACATTACCCTGAGGTGAGTACATGTAAACTATAATTACTGACCTTGTAGTTGGAGACACAGCCTAGAATTTGCTCCCACGTTTCAAATCGCCTTCACTTCAGCCACACTAGATGAGCGCGTTATTTCCGAACATTTTGCTCAAGTTTAGGTTGTTCATACAACTGCAGTCGATATGACAATGTCTCGTGGGTATTTTGGATCATCTGTACTATGTACACGTCATGAAGTTGAATTCTGTGGAATATCATATTTTCAGTCTTGTTTGATGCGAAAATGTATTCCGGTAGTAGTTGTGAAGAGGAGCACTTCTGAGCCATTGATATTACTAATGCATAGTGCATTTAGCACACCTGTTTTGAATGTACATATAGCACACGACAGAAGGAACTACAACAGCTTGACGTCTTCTCAGTTCAGGATTTCAAGTAGAAATGTCACACTCTCTTCTTAGCTTGCACTCTCTTTTGTGTTGGCTGGTGTGCTCAGGAGAACGACGGCTGCTTGGACTGTGGAGCGTTAGCGAACTCCTGTGCCTTCAATAGATTTGGCACGCTCCTTGCAGTCGGCTGCCGCGATGGTCGCATAGTATTGTGGGATTTGCTAACCCGTGGAATCACCCGTACATTCACTGGTCACTCATACAGCGTCACCACTCTCAGGTATTATATTATCCAGTGCATGCGTTAGCACAGAAACCACTGGTAAATCAGATGAGGCCCTTCGCACCATTACTCTTCATCATCGGTACATTGGCGATATGAACAGCAGCAAACAAGTCCTGTTATCTAGCTGTCCATGCAGTGATAGAAATGGCACCGAAGAGAGCACAAATGGTGCCAGCTACATACATTCGAGTGCCGATTATCCGCAACCCTTGGGGCACGGGGCTGTCTCCAGGGAGTTCGGATGAGGAGTACATGTATGTTCGGACAAGGGAGCGGCCACACATCCATCTAAAACATTCGCAACCCCTCATGTTTTCATCATTTCTCATTCTGTTCACCAGTACTACAGGAATTAGACACACTCTGGCTCCTCTAAATGACACATCGGGGACTCATTTTTGACACCAGCCTGTTTGCCATACATCCTGTGCACCATTTGAATGGTGCATGGGGTGGGGAAAATCAGCAAAAACTTGTGTTTGTCCCTTAAATTCAGTGCAAGCAGGTGTGGGGACTACTCGAACAAAACACCGAGTTCTGTTGGAAGCGGGAGTTTTCCACCACAATATAAAACAATAAACATAAAATACTAAAAGACAACTACTAACAATCGTGAAGACGAGAGAGAGTGAATTCAAATCTTGTCGGATGCTGAAAAGGAAAAGGGCCCCAGAAGTAAGCAGCGTGCCGGAAAAGGATACGGGGAAATGCAAACACAGCAGTACGGTACGGTGCGGGTGAACCCTGGGTGAACCCGAGAGAAAACACCGTAGGCTATTTTTGGATACGCTAGGCCAAAAAGGAAAGTGTAGAACTGTGAGAAGTGCAAGTTGTGATTTAGTGAAAAGTAGGAATTTTTGAAAAAATACCATGCGGTTTGGGAGCGGGCCGCCACACAGGCATCTCGGATAATTGATCGTTTGGATAGTTGACGTTGGGATACTGGCATTCTACTGTAGTAAATCCAGCAATGCACAGCATACCAGCATACAATACATTCGTACAGAAATTTTGGTGAATCATGATATACAGTACTATGGAAGCTTCAAGTAAAGAAATTAGGGGACACTGTTCTTTTTTTCTCTTTCCAATGAAATCTTACAATGGGCAAGAGAGAGACAGAGACAGAGAGAGACACACAGAGAGAGAGAGAAACAGAGAGAGACAGAGAGAGAGACAGAGAGAGACAGAGAGAGACAGAGAGAGAGAGAGAGAGAGAGAGAGAGAGAGAGAGAGAGAGAGAGAGAGAGAGAGAGAGAGAGAGAGAGAGAGAGAGAGAGAGAGAGAGAGAGAGAGAGAGAGAGAGAGAGAGAGAGAGAGAGAGAGAGAGAGAGAGAGAGAGAGAGAGAGAGAGAGAGAGAGAGAGAGAGAGAGAGAGAGAGAGAGAGAGAGAGAGAGAGAGAGAGAGAGAGAGAGAGAGAGAGAGAGAGAGAGAGAGAGAGAGGGAGAGGGAGAGGGAGAGGGAGAGGGAGAGGGAGAGAGAGAGAGAGGGGTGGGGGGGGGGGGGGGAGAGAGAATTGCCCATATAGTAGAGCAGCATGGATATTGTGCTGTGTGCCGTCAAGTTAGAGTGTCTGAGAAACACATCCGCTATTGGCGTGTGTGGGTGGGTAAATGGGCTGCTACATGCGTGTACTAGTAATCTGGAGAATGGCGATGTTCCAGTCATGCTTGTCCTATGCATTTACCTTCGCCATTTAGTCCCAATGATTGCACTCTCAATTGCTGGTGTGTTGATGTGCACTGCAGCTGGTCTCGCAATGGTCGCTATATTGCCAGCGGTGCTATTGATGGCACACTGCACATTTGGGATGTGTCCATCAGCGAACGCTCTCACACGTATCACTTTGTTTCGCCGCTCGTGAAAGTTCAATTTCATCCCCGTGACAAGTGAGTCCTGCTATGTGTGGCGATGATGCTGGTGTCAGTGGCACGCCTGAGAACCACAATCGGGAGTATATTCACACACCATGTACTTGTATCTTGGTCGAATAAACCAACTGGCAATTCTTTAGGCATGCCATATGTTTGTCATGTAAGTTTGATTCCTCGCGCTCTTTGACTTTGTTTATGAGCTGCAATATTCAGACCCTGTTTCTTCCATGCTCCTAATCCGAGTGGAAGCATAGGTTGTATCTGGCAAAGACGAATACCGGTATATTTTGAAAAAAGGCACTAAGAAACCTTGTTGTGTGTGTTGTTTTTTACATTCAGTCGCAGTGTACTGGTGTGCATTTCCAAACAGTCTCCCGTGGTCGTGGATATCAGCACCGACATTGCTAAACCAGTACCGGACTCTGGAGAGGTAGGGTTGAATGACTTAGTCTTTAGCCCAACTCGCGTACATGTACGTGCAGATGGAATGTAGCAGGTTTCCTGTATCAATCAGGATTGCCCTGTTTTCATCCGTTTTAGCTGCACCTAATCTGAACACTGTTATTCAGCTAAGTTTGTCTGCTAGGTACCGTTGGTTCATGATCTGTACAGCCAGGGGAGCCCACATGTCTAGGCACTGAGTTGTAAAAGGGGAAGTATGGTCTAAAAATCAAAGTTGGAAGTATGGTCTAAAAATCAAAGTTTCACAAAATTTCTTGACGGTGCCAAGTCGAATGGTCTAGGTCCGAGGGCTGAGCAGGCCACCCTAGGGAGGCGCCAATCTGCCTTCATGGTCGCAAAGCAGGCCGAATGTCACGCCATGGCGAGCCACGCGTACAAGAGAAAGCACATGTATACCATGGAAGGAAGGCCACCTCAGTACATCAACGCCGTCCATTTATGCTGTGTCCGGTTGCTATCCCATAATGTCGGTATCAAGCATGTATCTGAGGTCATCAAGATTGTTATCGACATCCTGACTCCATATTATAGTTTTAACCAGCTCCCTAGTCCTGCAAAATTTTCTGACTCTCTCTCTCTCTCTCTCTCTCTCTCTCTCTCTCTCTCTCTCTCTCTCTCTCTCTCTCTCTCTCTCTCTCTCTCTCTCTCTCTCTCTCTCTCTCTCTCTGACTCTCTCTCTCTCTCTCTCTCTCTCTCTCACTCCCCCCCCCCCATCCGTTCATCCTTTCCTGTGGCTCCATCAACAGTCTTGCTAGTAGCAAGACAGATGGAGTGTCTCAGCTTCCTCGGACCAAGACCATTTGACTTGTCACGCCAAAGAATGCATGTACATGTATAGCAGTGAAATTATGATTTTGGATTGTACTTTCCCTTGAATACTGGCCATTCTACTTGTGATCCACCTGTATGTGTCTGCGAGCAGCGCCTATGCCCTCCTTGATTTGTTCCTGCTTTGCAATGCTGTTGCTTCGCAGAACGTGATTGCATCTTACAATCGGAGAGGCGATTTAATTATCACCGGTAATAACAAAGGAATGGTAAGGCATTACTGATGTTAAATCCACGCAAGGGGACAAAGATGCATGCTGGGTGAGGGGTACACTACGATGATCAAATTAACTGTGACAGACAGGGTAGATGGCTGTATTTTGTGACAAAAAATCTGGGTGCTGCTTGTACTCCGGAAAATACGGTACTAATTTCTATCTTGAATGTGGAAGTTGTGACAGACTTCTACCTAGTAAATAAACAGTAAGATTGGGCACGGAAGAATGCTTCACCGAAGAACACTTAAGAACATTTCACTAAATTCATACAGTGGAACTCTGATAAAAGGTACCACGTGAGCAGCAGGAAATTGTAGTTACGGAACCGCGTGCTTCGTTACGCAAGGCTGCTGACAGATCATCGGCCCGGTTCTTCGCCTTTGCCCACTTGACCAGGTTTGGACGAGTAACATCCAGGAACTCAGTAGCTTTTGTAGCAGCGTTTTCTCCTTCATTCAGCAGTCTGCTCATCCGTATGGTCGAGACATTCTTTCTGAAAGCCCAGAGTATAATAACGTCAACGTTGTTCTGCCCACGATGCCCACTTCATTTACTTGTACTACTTCCAACCTCCAATCCACTCTTGATCTCTACAACTTTAGGCTCTTACTCATCATGCACAGCATTACAGGCACCGTACTAGCGCTGACGTTGTCAGTCACATTGCTAGGAGCTCCGACATCATTTGGTACGCTTGTGCCGTTGCCTGTAGGGGCTTCCAGGGGCGTAGCCAGGATCATGGTCAAGGGGGGTGCCCATAATTTTCTTCCAAAAACGTTCTTTTGAGGAATCTTGTATATATGCATATTGTATATGCATGCTAGTGCGGTGTACACCTTGAATTTATGTATTTTGAATGTCTCCAGCTTCCCATTCCAACAATCTATTACACATTTGCATTGCATTGTCAACTGTTCTCTATGTATCGTCATGATGTGAATAGAGCGAAAACATTCCATAAAAATTTGGGCCTCTTCTGTGTGACAGCTAGTGTACTGTATACTATGCTATTAAGGAGGGTTCGCTCTACGTAATTACGTATGAAAATCCGTATGTCGTACATGTACACGCCAGGGAGCGAGGGCAACTTTCATACGTAAATCTCTCTGCGGATTTCCGTAGGAAAGCTCTTTCCTACGTTGGGTCCTCCGTAGGACTTTTTGAAATATTTTTTCGCACTTTCCGCATTTGTCCATGGCAACGTTCAAGCCGCGCAAAACACAAGGTACACACACCGTACACCACGTGCAAAATAAAATGGAAAACGCGGTTTCGGTTCATGGTGCATGCGGTGGGCGCATGCAGCCAACGCGTCTCCAAAGCAACAAGGCATGTTTAGCAGTTGTGGGGAAATCACGTAGATCTATAGAGCGAAACCCAACAGCTCTGATTTTTACGTATGAAAATTCCGTGCAGTTCCTACGTTATTTTCATACGTAATTCCGTAGAGCGAAACCTCCCTATTATTAAAGTGATAGTTTTGGGAGTAGATATCCGATACTAATGATGTATTTAGAGCAAGCAAAATTAATAGTATGCAGGTGACTGGTGACTGGAAATCAAGTCAGGACCCACAGTTCAAGCTGAATCTGGTGCAGCAGCTTGAGGTGCCGTGGCGAAGATGTTTGTCAGGTGCATCCGCCTTGGATGGCGCCGCGCAAACTCATCTATGACCGCATCGATGCTCGCCGGGATATCACGGTGATTGTGCAGCAAAGCGAGACCGGTCAAGCGCTCATTGCCCATCGTTGACCTCTGGCGATCCTTGATCCTCTTCAGAGCACTGAATGAACGCTCGGATGAGCAGGACGTAACGGGAAGAGTGCAGAGCAGCTGCAGTATGGCACGGATGTTGGGAAACATCTGGCTGGCGTGAGGTAATGACAGGGCAGCCAAGGTAGGAATAGCAGGCTCGCCATGCTCATTCCGAACATTCGACCACTTGGTGTGCCAGCAATGCAGCTCACTCTCCACGCTGGCTGCAGATGGGAAGTCAACGGAATACGTCCCCACCAACTTGTTGATGGCTGTGTTTGCTTCGGCAATTGACTACGAGAGCAGGATCGAAGGTACCACACAGAACGCCTGGAGAGCAGTTCGATGATGGCTTATGAAGCGGCTCTTCATCTCTCCTACCATGTGGTCCAGGAGAGGTATGCTGATCGACCGCTTGTAATACTCGGATGGTGTGTCAGCTGGAACGTTGTCCCGGTGCGTCTGCCTGCCGCATGACCTCGGAACAGATGGGATGACGTTCATCTTGGCACACGTCGATTCCACCACCTTGAACCAATCCCCGTGGTGCTTGTCCACATCAGCACGTACTTTCTCGAGTGTTTCCTGCACTGTGTGGACATCTGCCGTGGCATGAACGATGTCCCTGGCTTCCGACTGGAGGCTAGACGTTATCCCACGCACATAGCCAAGGCACTTGTTAGTGATGACCAGAGCACTCACGAATTCTGTGGTTGTAACCCGGGAGAGGAGGCCTTTGGCATCGATGAGTGAATCTCGGGACCATGCAGCAGCAGGCGCTTCGGAAATCTCTTGGAAACATACCACGAGGGAGGGCATCACTTACCGTATTACGGTAAGTGATGAAACCTTTGCCTTGGTTCTGACAGTGACAACCGCGTGGCGCGTGGTCAGCTGCAGTTGGCGCTAGCGCTAGCTGTAGGTAGTACAGGCCGGACCAGGGGCCACGCTGCTGCATGGAGTAACTAATACTTGCACACTGACTGCAACGGAAAAGTGCAAGCACGTGTAGTACAATGCAGTACTCGCAGATCTACGCAGCATGCACCCAGTCTGGGCTGAGGGCAGTCGCGGTTGTTTGATCATACAATGCATGCCAAGCCAGACCCATGGTCCAAATTTTGGAGGGGGGTGCTTTGGCACCCAAAGCACTCCCCCTGGCTTCGTACGTGGTATCAACAAATCGAGGAGGCGTCTTCCACTCAGCTGGAGAAGGATTGCTTTTAGTGGTATGCTTGGTCATGGTAATGCAAACACTGTTTTGTTTTTATTCTGACCACAACAGTTATCGAGACGAGAGCACACGTTCCTTCTCACCATAGCCATGATGTTCGGAGAAATGATGTAGCAGCCACACTACGCTGTTAGGACTGTGGCTGTTGGTGCCATTCGGACCTGTCGTATCGGCTTCATCCATGAGATAATTGATCTGCCTCGATATAACTTCATTGTTCACTCCAAAGATCTGGACTTTGCGGGGCACCTTGAAGTAGATAGGTCCAACTTGGCGACTCTCGTGTGGCAGGCATTCATTTTATGCAAAGTCAAAAGTCATGTGCGGTTTGAATGTGTCAATAGAAAATGGAGGACGAGGCGGCTGCATGGGCTAATGGTCCTTCAGCTGTTTTGCTGCAGACTGTGTAGCACAGCGGTGGAAATCCCGCTTGCGTTGTGCAGTGTCAATGTGTTCTGTTAGGGATGAGCAGGTAGCTAACTTGTCTTGCTCAGTATGAGATGACGTAACGCTGGGACACAATACCTTGCACCGGTCACAAACATCTATTCTCGGCGTCATGTACTTCAAGTGAGGTGTACACTAGTGCCAAACACTGCGAAACGATGACTCGCCCATCACTCGTACTCCAGCAGCCTTGCCAGCAGCAACTTATCCTTTATGCACACATTTATAGGTCTGCTACGCTGGTAGAAACACTGGAGGAAACCCGGACAACTCATGATCCTCTAGCTCTTCGATATTCAATCGATTTTGCTCAATTATACGTCAAGTGGAAACATGGACAAGCAGTTCTGGTAGCAACCACAGTTAGACACTGCATGTGCTGGCTGTGCGGGCCCTAGGCTCAGGGAGCCCTTGGCAGAAAAAAACGGACACTTTATCTCAAGGAGAATCATGCGGCCATTGACAGTTGTGGCAATCCTATCTGGGCTGCAACCAATGAAGCCATTCTCCATGAGCCCACACTTGAGAATTGTTTATGATCGTGGAATTAGAACAAAGGGGCTAAAATTTGAACATCCTAGAACGATGCTAGGCTGTGCATTGAGGTCCCCCCCTGCATATTTCGGCACCTGATCTTCCTGTACATGTACTCAGTGCACTGATTCTTGAAATTATTTCCGTAATCTTGTGTCTTTTGCATACTGTGCAGGTAACTGTATTTCAATTTTCTTCACTGAAGGTATGTTGTAATGTACCCCTTGTATCAGTTAGTTGTGTGTGTTTCTGCCACGTGATAATGGGGAGGTTTAGCCAGTTCTGGCTGGTCTGTTGCTGCAACTCCAGCCTCTCCTGGCTGACTGGGGAGTCAGGTGTGTTTGACGAGTTTATCCGCAGTCACACTCGCTGCATACTCGTTACATCACTCAGTAACCTCTTACTGTAATAATAATATCATTGTTATTGGTTTGTACGTGCACAACTATGGCTGAGCATCTATAGCAGCTTGTTGTCCAGTCGTCATTTCACTGCTGCACAACTATGGCTGAGCATCTATAGCAGCTTGTTGTCCAGTCGTCGTTTCACTGCTGCACAACTATGGCTGAGCATCTATAGCAGCTTGTTGTCCAGTCGTCGTTTCACTGCTGCACAACTATGGCTGAGCATCTATAGCAGCTTGTTGTCCAGTCGTCGTTTCACTGCTGCACAACTATGGCTGAGCATCTATAGCAGCTTGTTGTCCAGTCGTCGTTTCACTGCTGCACAACTATGGCTGAGCATCTATAGCAGCTTGTTGTCCAGTCGTCGTTTCACTGCTGCACAACTATGGCTGAGCATCTATAGCAGCTTGTTGTCCAGTCGTCGTTTCACTGCTGCACAACTATGGCTGAGCATCTATAGCAGCTTGTTGTCCAGTCGTCGTTTCACTGCTGCACAACTATGGCTGAGCATCTATAGCAGCTTGTTGTCCAGTCGTCGTTTCACTGCTGCACAACTATGGCTGAGCATCTATAGCAGCTTGTTGTCCAGTCGTCGTTTCACTGCTGCACAACTATGGCTGAGCATCTATAGCAGCTTGTTGTCCAGTCGTCGTTTCACTGCTGCACAACTATGGCTGAGCATCTATAGCAGCTTGTTGTCCAGTCGTCGTTTCACTGCTGCACAACTATGGCTGAGCATCTATAGCAGCTTGTTGTCCAGTCGTCGTTTCACTGCTGCACAACTATGGCTGAGCATCTATAGCAGCTTGTTGTCCAGTCGTCGTTTCACTGCTGCACAACTATGGCTGAGCATCTATAGCAGCTTGTTGTCCAGTCGTCGTTTCACTGCTGCACAACTATGGCTGAGCATCTATAGCAGCTTGTTGTCCAGTCGTCGTTTCACTGCTGCACAACTATGGCTGAGCATCTATAGCAGCTTGTTGTCCAGTCGTCGTTTCACTGCTGCACAACTATGGCTGAGCATCTATAGCAGCTTGTTGTCCAGTCGTCGTTTCACTGCTGCACAACTATGGCTGAGCATCTATAGCAGCTTGTTGTCCAGTCGTCGTTTCACTGCTGCACAACTATGGCTGAGCATCTATAGCAGCTTGTTGTCCAGTCGTCGTTTCACTGCTGCACAACTATGGCTGAGCATCTATAGCAGCTTGTTGTCCAGTCGTCGTTTCACTGCTGCACAACTATGGCTGAGCATCTATAGCAGCTTGTTGTCCAGTCGTCGTTTCACTGCTGCACAACTATGGCTGAGCATCTATAGCAGCTTGTTGTCCAGTCGTCGTTTCACTGCTGCACAACTATGGCTGAGCATCTATAGCAGCTTGTTGTCCAGTCGTCGTTTCACTGCTGCACAACTATGGCTGAGCATCTATAGCAGCTTGTTGTCCAGTCGTCGTTTCACTGCTGCACAACTATGGCTGAGCATCTATAGCAGCTTGTTGTCCAGTCGTCGTTTCACTGCTGCACAACTATGGCTGAGCATCTATAGCAGCTTGTTGTCCAGTCGTCATTTCACTGCTGCACAACTATGGCTGAGCATCTATAGCAGCTTGTTGTCCAGTCGTCGTTTCACTGCTGCACAACTATGGCTGAGCATCTATAGCAGCTTGTTGTCCAGTCGTCGTTTCACTGCTGCACAACTATGGCTGAGCATCTATAGCAGCTTGTTGTCCAGTCGTCGTTTCACTGCTGCACAACTATGGCTGAGCATCTATAGCAGCTTGTTGTCCAGTCGTCGTTTCACTGCTGCACAACTATGGCTGAGCATCTATAGCAGCTTGTTGTCCAGTCGTCGTTTCACTGCTGCACAACTATGGCTGAGCATCTATAGCAGCTTGTTGTCCAGTCGTCGTTTCACTGCTGCACAACTATGGCTGAGCATCTATAGCAGCTTGTTGTCCAGTCGTCGTTTCACTGCTGCACAACTATGGCTGAGCATCTATAGCAGCTTGTTGTCCAGTCGTCGTTTCACTGCTGCACAACTATGGCTGAGCATCTATAGCAGCTTGTTGTCCAGTCGTCGTTTCACTGCTGCACAACTATGGCTGAGCATCTATAGCAGCTTGTTGTCCAGTCGTCATTTCACTGCTGCACAACTATGGCTGAGCATCTATAGCAGCTTGTTGTCCAGTCGTCGTTTCACTGCTGCACAACTATGGCTGAGCATCTATAGCAGCTTGTTGTCCAGTCGTCGTTTCACTGCTGCACAACTATGGCTGAGCATCTATAGCAGCTTGTTGTCCAGTCGTCGTTTCACTGCTGCACAACTATGGCTGAGCATCTATAGCAGCTTGTTGTCCAGTCGTCGTTTCACTGCTGCACAACTATGGCTGAGCATCTATAGCAGCTTGTTGTCCAGTCGTCGTTTCACTGCTGCACAACTATGGCTGAGCATCTATAGCAGCTTGTTGTCCAGTCGTCGTTTCACTGCTGCACAACTATGGCTGAGCATCTATAGCAGCTTGTTGTCCAGTCGTCGTTTCACTGCTGCACAACTATGGCTGAGCATCTATAGCAGCTTGTTGTCCAGTCGTCATTTCACTGCTGCACAACTATGGCTGAGCATCTATAGCAGCTTGTTGTCCAGTCGTCATTTCACTGCTGCACAACTATGGCTGAGCATCTATAGCAGCTTGTTGTCCAGTCGTCATTTCACTGCTGCACAACTATGGCTGAGCATCTATAGCAGCTTGTTGTCCAGTCGTCGTTTCACTGCTGCACAACTATGGCTGAGCATCTATAGCAGCTTGTTGTCCAGTCGTCATTTCACTGCTGCACAACTATGGCTGAGCATCTATAGCAGCTTGTTGTCCAGTCGTCATTTCACTGCTGCACAACTATGGCTGAGCATCTATAGCAGCTTGTTGTCCAGTCGTCATTTCACTGCTGCACAACTATGGCTGAGCATCTATAGCAGCTTGTTGTCCAGTCGTCGTTTCACTGCTGCACAACTATGGCTGAGCATCTATAGCAGCTTGTTGTCCAGTCGTCGTTTCACTGCTGCACAACTATGGCTGAGCATCTATAGCAGCTTGTTGTCCAGTCGTCGTTTCACTGCTGCACAACTATGGCTGAGCATCTATAGCAGCTTGTTGTCCAGTCGTCGTTTCACTGCTGCACAACTATGGCTGAGCATCTATAGCAGCTTGTTGTCCAGTCGTCGTTTCACTGCTGCACAACTATGGCTGAGCATCTATAGCAGCTTGTTGTCCAGTCGTCGTTTCACTGCTGCACAACTATGGCTGAGCATCTATAGCAGCTTGTTGTCCAGTCGTCGTTTCACTGCTGCACAACTATGGCTGAGCATCTATAGCAGCTTGTTGTCCAGTCGTCATTTCACTGCTGTGGTCGTAGATACTGCTGCCTTTCGGACATTTTTGTGTTTTCTCTGCCGTTTCTGTTTCAGGAGCTTCTTTCTGTCCGAGTGACCACCAGCTTGGCACAAACACAAATTAAATCTATTGAGTTTTGCTCGAAACGAAAGTAAGCCCGACCACTAGCAGTTGATTGAATGATTGCTTTCTTGATTGTAGCTCTCTAACACGAAACGCTAGCGTTGTGGAAGGTGCTATGTCCTGTTCAACTGCAGCTGCAGCATAGTTTGCGTACGACCAATACTACATTGTGCTCTTTGCCGAATAACAATCTCTCGTACACCACCACCACCAGTACAGCTTCCGTTATTACCCCCCCCCCCCCCCCAAGACAACTGATTGAGCAGAAGATGAATATTTGCTCGATGTTCAACGTCTGCCTGACCTCCACTAATGAGGTCGAAATGAGCGAAGCAACAGTCTTGGGGGCACAAATAGTTATCGGATGGGTTGGTCGGCAAAGTGCGCAATGTGGTGTTGGTCCAGTGTTTGACTTGACTGAATGGCAGAGAGCTCTGGCACAACCGGTATCGTGAAGAGCATAGTGAGCATAATTTGTAAAAAACGTATGCCATTCCAGTTGCCAGCTATTAGATCTTGCGATGATATTATTCTACCTGTGTTATGTTTTGTGACTTTTGTCCTCTTGTCTGTTCTCTTGATCTTCTTTACGGCGGCAGTATTTTCCTAGTTTCATCTCAGGACCGGGTGATCCGTCTGTTTGATGCTGACACATTACCAGGAGGGTGTGATGAACAAGCAGAGCCCGTCTGTCTGCAGCGTATGCAGGACCTGGTTAACAGGTGAGCAGGCGCGTGGGGGCGGATATTGCTAGCATTGCTTGCGGGGCGACTGTGTTTAAGCAGCTGAGGCCACTGCTGCTGCTGCTGCTCATTTCCAATCCACTGTTCGGTTATTCTGTTCTGTTCTAGTGTTACATTGTAGTACAGTGCAGCTCAATGAAATCCAGGCGCATCACTCAAGTACGCGCCGGGCGTTGCGCAGCCCTAGACCTGCGAACACCGGGCTGCGAAATGGTCCAAGTCGCGAACGTGAGGGACATGACTGGATTTCATTGAGCAGAGCTGTACCACCCCAGCCTGGCACTGTGCACCATAGCAGTTACCTGGTGTTCTTCGAGTTTTGTAGAACTGGTGTGATCAGTCCAAGACGGGATGCTCTAGCTTCTATTCTTTGTAACTTACCCGAATACCGGGTGATTATATGTGCAAATCCATCCTGGTCTGGTCGACCGTCTCGCTGACTGGCAGGCTGGAGTTGCACTACAAATCATCCCCCTTGCTAAGGTCAAGTAATATCGGTGCTCATATTGTATTCTTCATCTACTCTGCCAGTTGAGGGCCTTAATTATCGAGAAAATTAAATTCTGTCCGCGTTCAAAACGTTCTCTGACCAGGACCAGGCATGGTCAATGCTGTTGAAAGCACTATCACCAGGAGCATGGGTGGCCATGAGCGGGAAGTCGACCTGCTGGTCTCGCCACAGCCGGCCTATATTGAACATGGCCAGTGTGCTCTTGGTGCTATAGTCTGGGAGAAGTATGTGTCGAGCCGGTTCTACGACTGGCACCTGCCCCTGCCCAAAAAAACGGGGTATTACAGTCAACTTCGCTAATAACGACAATTCGCGAATAACGACATAATTTCCATGCCCAGAGCAAAGTCCCATCTAACTGTCATACATACAATGAGACTTCGGGTATAAGGACACTTCGTGAATAAGGACACTTTTCTGATGCCCTGCCGAGTGTCGTTATATGCAAAGTTGACTGTATCCATAGCACCCCATTTTGGGGGTGAAAACGGGCGCCCTGTTTTTTACGTGAAAAATGATTTTGAGGGTGGTGGAGGGGGTAAGACCCTTTGATTCTGGAATATGATGGATTATTGAAAAACAATGAATGAAAACTCATAGAGCATCCGAGTTGAGAAAAGTCATAGATTTGCATTATTTTGAACTCTATTTTCATTTTTGACTTTTTTCGTGATCTTGATCCATCTTGATCTTCACTATGGGTTCCAGATCATTGAAACATGTCTCTTGTCAGCAACGCTTCGCACATGACTCGGCTTCGAAGTGCCTCTCTTCAGTGCTGTTGGTTCCATCTTCTTCTATATCCACACATTCCATGGTACATGTAATTGCGAGCTTCGTTTTCTTGGTAGCTCTCATCTTTAACTCCCTGAAATACGATTCGTCGGGCTCCAACGTGATGTGGAGTAACAGCGAGTCGTCCGCTTCCGATAAATCGCTTAAGTCGGTGACGATCATGCACACTCCAGACTTGCCGCTGGCTTTGCTGTTGAAAATGATAGGCGTCAAGTCATTCACGTGGGTTTGAGCAGTGGCATTATGGAACTGAGCAGCTTGGGTACAAACGAACAGCTTTCCAGTGTGGAGTGCGTTGAAGTGCTATCTGCCCAGTCAATCGCGTTTCATGGCAGGTGACGATGCATATGAGCTATCACTTCGCCCAGGGGGAGTGAGACTGCGCTTTCTTGACTTTGCACGGTGTGACGGCGGCAATGAGCAGGATGCAGAGCGAATGCGACTTCCCTGGCTACCAGTGCAGTCGTGGGCATATTGCAAGAGCAAGTATACAGATGAAAGAAATGACCTTGGTGTTCGCAACTGGGAAGTCATGATCACTGTACTGTGGTGTGTCATCATTGGGGAAGTAGTGCCCTAGCTGGTGGTGGTGACTGACAGCCAAACTACTGACATTTACTTTGTTCTTGTTGTCGCTATTCAGTAGAGCTACACTGTCATGGAATTGCTGGCTAATGCCATTCATGAAGCCGACTTGAGCAAAACAGAAGTGACTGCGTGCTGGCCATGAACGTCATTAGCTTTTGGTGGAACTCGCACATCCAGCAAGCTCTTGTAGCGACATGCATGTACTGTTCCCTTGCGAGGAGGCACCATCAGCTCATGAACTGCTGTATGCGAGATGGACTTCAGGCCAGGAACAGTAGAAATGAGGTGGGCTTGAAGGTCTGCAAGGGTAACCCCACGGCTGTTACCTGCCTCGGTGCGCTGCCTTTCTTGAGCACTGAAGCCATGGAGCTTGATGAAATCAAGGGCCGCTTAATGATGGTATGGGTGTCTTGCTAATGCATTTTGGGCACTTGATGCAGCCATCATGGTGAATGCTCACAATCATCGGGACTTACGATGTAGTGGAACTCTTCCACGAGCCAAGGGCTCCATTGGTGTGACATCACCAGGCAAGGGCAGAGTTGATGTCCCTCTATTGTGATCAGGGCCTGCTGGCGTAGGACTGGTGTCACCACTTCCTTCTTCACAAACAAACAGCAGGTCATTAAACATATCTGGACCATGGAACTCATGCATGTTGATAAACACCCACTGTTTGTCAGACTTGCGGAACACTGACAGATAGGCAGCCATGACATGATCTGCTCAGCTATGTCCTTCTTTACAATGACACTCATGTGCTCATCAGTGATGCGTGTCACACTACAGATCTCCTTGAAGGACATCATGGCAGCTGTTGCAAATGCTGCATGCAAGGAAAGCAACTGCTGAGCAGACAAAGGGCCCAATGACTTGCCGTTAGAAGACTGCCAATCATATAAATGAGTCTTCCCAGCTCAGGAATTGGGATGAACAATGTAATGCATAGCCAGCGGCTGGTACCTTATTCCGCTTGTCCGGTTAGCCAGACAGAGGAGCTCGAGAGGTGCTTTCACTCTCCACGATCTCCACATCTTAGGTTCGAACACGTTCTTTGAAGCATGTTCTGTCGCTCGGACGCGCTTGGCTTCTTCCACTGGTCCTTAGCCCATGCGAACCATTTGCCTTTTGTCTGGCATGACGATGACCCTTTCCTTTTTTACAATGCCTCCATAAAGTTGAATATACTCTTCATACGCAGACGTCAGATGCCTGGTAAAAAACGTTTGCTGTTCCAGAGTCCCTCTGAGGAGGGTTCTCTGTTTCGAAATTGTCAACACCAGAAAAAAACAGAAAAGAAGTGAACAGCAAGCTACACTTCACTACCTCTCACCAGTTCCGTGCTGGTATCATGTACCTGTACAAGTGCACTCCGTGAGATCCTACGTAAATACAAAGTGCAACACTGGCGCCCTGGCCCAGTTCCGATTACTTGCCGCAGTGCAAGCTAGCTCTTGAGCCCAGGTTCACTGGCGAACTGCACTTCACTAGTATTTGACCACATGTACATGACTAGACTGCACTCCGAGACGGCATGCAGCTCACTGCCACACTGCACTACAACCTACAACAGTACAAGTACCGCGTACGGGGGCAGTACACTGCACATGCAAAGGAGTGCGGCGTTTGCAACAATCGATCCTACACTACATTGTATATGGCTTGCATGTGCATGTGTACATGTGTACAAAAAATCAAATTCCACCAACGCTCTTGACTACTCGCCCTCTTTTTGCATGAGGACAGATTTTTTTATTTTTCGAAAATTACGGACGACCCCTCAAAATCAAATTCCACCAACGCTCTTGACTACTCGCCCTCTTTTTGCATGAGGACAGATTTTTTTATTTTTCGAAAATTACGGACGACCCCTTTAACCCTTTACCGTTTTAGGTATTTGTACAGCATAAACCGACCGTCATTGTTCATGCCGTAACTTTTTTATTTTTCACTTTTATTATGTACAAAATGGGGTGATTCTGAAAGTAAAAACCCTCAGGAATGCGATGCAACAACTTTCAAGTCCAGAAAACGAACACAGATTTCACTATTTAGCACTAATAATTATTTGGATTTATTCCCGATCGGGCAAACTGTTGCAATATGCAATAAATCAGATCCTTGCACTGGAGTGGCTCCCTCAGGTAAGTGGATACCAGGTTCGTTCTCTGGGTGGAATGCAGGAGTGTTACCAGTCACAGCGGTGTCAGCATTGTCCCAAGTATTGCAAATATCGACTAGTGCAGGTTGCACCGCTGGCTGTACATAGTACCTGTGCACCACGACCTCTACCGTGACGACGGCCTATTCCACGGCCGAATCCTCTCTCTCTGCCACGTCCCCTTCCACCATTAGTGGCACTCATCTCAGCGACACTGTCGTCGTCTGTGACATCCATGTCACTCTCACTGGCGCTGCTTTCACTCGCCATGTCATCGTCGCGGTCGTCGTCAGAATAAATATTTTCAACAGGATTGTCTGGCTCCACAAACTCATCTTCGCTGGATGAGGCAGCGACAGAGTCGTCAGGAAGGGTCTCCAGAAGCGAAAGAGCTTGCTCCGCGTCCATGGCTTGCACAGCAGGGCAGACAGTCGTGAGGCCAGCTCAAGCAAAAGTCGAAATAATCTGCAGGCAATACCAAAAGTCGCAGGGTACGCACTTTTCCCAAAGCGCATTTTTCAAGTCGCGATTTTCGCGATTTTTTATATTGCATCACACAAAAAAATTGTCGGCATCCTCTGCGCGTACATCTTGGCTACCAGTAGGGAAAATCCCAGCTCTCTGCGGTGAACCAGTCCAGCGCTGTGCGCATAGAAGTCATCGACCGCGAGCGGTCGAAATTTGTACGTACAAACGGTAAAGGGTTAAATATATTTTAAAAAGTTGTTTTGCTTCTAGTCTTTCAGTTTGCTGTGTTTTGTTTGCTTGCCATCAGAACAATGTGGAAGAGCTGTCATTTCTCTTCGGATGGAGCGTATGTAGTAGCTGGTTGCTCGCGTGAGCACATCCTGCATATCTATGAGACCAGCACTGGCAGTTTAGTGAAGATCCTGAAAGGTCTGACGGGCGAGGATCTGTGGGACGTAGCGGTGAGTATTTACTGAGCTGAAATGCATATTGACCCTCCTTTCACTTCCTGTCATGTGTAGGGTGTATCAGTGAGCAGTGTTACTCTCTTTGATGATTAATTGATGTAACTGGTGGTCGTTGTTCCTATCCCAATGGTGTTGTTGCTCTGTGTTGTTTCCCAGTGGCATCCCTTACGTCCTATGATCACATCAGTCTGCAGTGGAACAGTGACAGTATGGGCACATAACCCTGTGGTAAGTCAAAGCTCTGCTGTGACCACACAACACACTTTTGATATCCTGTGTGTGCTGCCATATGTTACTGCTTAGTGTAGGGTTTCACTCACAGAGCAACTGTTCAGTACATGGGTAGTGGTCACAGAGCAACTGTTCAGTACGTGGGTAGTGGTCTACCAGAGCAATCACACACTCGATCAGAGCTCTGTTTCTGTTCAAGAACATTTAAGTATTTTTGTACCAAAGGCTCCGACAATATACTGACTATTTGGTGTCTCGTTGTTCTGTATTTGCATTGGTGTTTGTGTACAGGAGAACTGGAGTGCATTTGCGCCTAATTTCTCCGAACTAGAAGAGAATGAGGAATATGATGAACGGGAATCTGAGTTTGATGAGGTACGTTCGCATGTTTACAGGCCACTCAACGTCTAACTTTCTTTTCTTATACTTGAAGGATTCTTAGATCTTGCTGCCACTATGTGAGATACTACCTTCGATTGGCATGGTATCGGCTGGCATCATGTCTCCACTGATCTGTGTGTATGTGTGTGTGTATGTGTACGTGCGTGTGTGTGTGTACGTGTGTGTGGGGGGGGGGATGCGTATGTGTGTGTGTGTATGTGTCTATGTGTGTGTGCACCGTACAACAGGAGGATGAAGATCGCAGCGAGCAAGGCGACAAAGGTGACGTGACTGGAGATGATCTTGAGGTTGACGTGACGTGTGTTGATGATGTTCCAGCGTACTTGAGCAGGTGTGCAAGCTAATTACAAGTTTCTATTGTCAATTGGGACTGAATTTCTCTCTCTCTCCTCTCTCTCTCTCTCTCTCTCTCTCTCTCTCTCTCTCTCTCTCTCTCCTCTCTCTCTCTCTCTCTCTCTCTCTCACTCTCTCTCTCTCTCTCTCTCTCTCTCTCTCTCTCTCTCTCTCTCTCTCTCCCCTCTCCCCCCCCCCCGAATTTCTTGCTAATAGGCCAGTGTAGAGCCTAAACCCGTGCGTTGTCTAGCCTGTGCAGCCCGATTTCCATTTTTCAAGGAAACAATTCTAAAGAGGTATCGATCGATTCAGTAGGGGATTTTCTTTTTTCCTGCGAAGTTTCAGCTGATTGGAGCCATGACAAGGACAATATAGCGATATAACGGTCGAACGCGTCAGCCGTTTTGTCAAGAAAGGCCATCTCAAACCTTCTTTCCGAGATTGTCAAGGAATGTATCTGTTCTTTGCTTAGGGAAAAATTCTGTGTGTAAGTACTGACCAAGCTAGTGCAGTATAGCACTTGGACCACTACGAGATATGTTACTGTGTAGATTGAAAAAGCACTAAAATCTAATAATAGAGAGGTTCCGCATAACGTAATAACATTAGTAAAAAACGTAGTAGATCTACGGAAAGTCTTACGTAAACTGCATGCGGATCTGTGTTCCGCCATCCAAAGCTGAAAGGAAAAAAACTGCAGCATCATCACCATGATTGCTCAAACACGTGTCTCTTGACAACTCTAAAAACTACCTGCGCATCAAGAATACTTGACAAAATGGCGATCGCAGTTCAAGCCATTCCTGGTTTACAAAGCAACAGAATTCAAACTATGTTAACACGTGCGAGCAAAAAGAACCCAACAAATAGTTTACGCGAAGCGTTCAAGTGAGCAGAAACCTGAATTGAAGAATTGTGGATAAGAACTACAAATGAGTGAAAATAATTGAGTATTCAAATGCAAGTAATATTTGTCACCAGTCATGACTACTCGTGATGACACAACATCTCCCCCTGGTGGCAATTATCGCAGGTAACGGTGCGGAGGTCGCATTGTAATTCGGTCACGAAGAACACGTCCTACTTCACTGTCAAACTAGAGAGGTTCTGCATTCCGAATTTCGGAATTTTTTCGACTGGTGTTTTCCTCTGGTTGGTTGGAAATTTTTTCGACCGCAGCGACGTTTTGCAACCCGAAATATGTTCTTCGACTTTTTCCTAGTTGTTGCCAGGCAACAGAACGGCGCCAGCGCTTGGAGGCCGCATGTTCAAATTATAATAAATTTATTTTTCAGTTGATGTGAAAATGCGTTCCATTTTTGCGCTTCTTCCACGCATCGCCTTTCCAGTGTTGCTCTAGGAGCAAACAGGTACGGTCACGGACGCCTTTCTTCGTCAAGCCATTGGAACGAGAGTCACCAAGGCTCTGCATGGCCGCCGCCACCTCTTCGAAAGCTGGGGAACCACGGACTAAAGTATTCTCCGTGGCACGAAACTTGCCTCAGCATGAGCAGCTCCATTGTGAGGCCAAAGCGAATTTGCTTCACCCCAGACCCTGGAGAAATGCCAAAAGGGCTACTAGTAATAGAGCGAGGGAGGATAGAGCAAGGAATGCTTTCCAGGTCGGATGTTGAAGAGGAAGACATGTTCAGAACTGCCAAAAATCGGAGAACAAAAAGGCGACTTGTCGGCACGTGCACTTGAACTGGTAGTTTACTTGCCGAAAATAAGTTTCGACAACTGCATGACTTTCGAGTCGAACTTTCCAAAAGTTCGACTCGCTCTTCGACTCTCGTACCCAGTTTACGAAAATTATTCCGAAATTCGGAATGCAGAACCTCTCTACTGAAGAGTGAGATCAACAGCGCGCTTAGCAGCATCGACCTCGCCAGGAACAGGTGGAGGATCTGGCACAGTAGCTGGTACGGGACACTCTTTGATGAGGGCAATGTTCACCAACTTGGTCCTTGCTGCATTATCATGCCGAGGGAGTACAATGGTGGATGGCGGCACCACTTCCTTCACCACCCATCCATCCTCGTACGGAGACAGGCGTTTCTGGCGGCGTTCAGGGCAGTGCAGCAGAATTGATGTGCCAACGCTGTAGGGAGCAGCAGATGGCGAGTCGATGAAATCATTCGATGACAATGCAGCTTTAACATAGTCGTGCATCTCGGCAGCACGACGACGGCACACATCGTCGACGTATCTGCTCTGCGAGGCAATATCCGGCACAGCACGCTCAACAAGAAGCCGCCTCGGCTTCCGGCCATACAGGGCTTCATGCGGGGAGACACCGGTGACACCGTACAGTCGAATGCGATAGCAGTAGAGCAGCAGCTGTAGCGCATCGAGCCAGTCCACATTGTCATCAAGAACTTTACGAATCAGAGTCAGGATGGTACAGTTAACCCTCTCAACGCCACCTAGACTTTGTGGATGCCGAACGGCATCACGGCGGACAGTGCTAGACTTTGAGAACAAGAATTATTAGACCACTCCCTGTCTGCTGCTTTCTATTATTCTCTTTTATGTTGTATGGTTGTGCATGGACTTTCAGCAATATGTTTCTGTCTCTGTTTTCATTGCTTTTTCTGTTAGTGACGAGGAGAATGACAAGGAAAACCTACTCAATTTGCCCGTACAGCCAGACTTTGACGAGGACGAGGACAAGGCATGGCGATCGACGCATGTAAGAAAAGGGCCAGTGGCTGTGTAGTTTAAGCAGGGACAGGCGGTACTGCCTCTTATGTCTTACTTCTGTCATATGGCAGTTAGGTGTACATGCGGGATTATGCTTTGAAGGCGGTAGGCACAATACTTGCTACCAGACTTGCAGCAGCTGTATTGTAGATCTGTACAGCTGTTTGGTGTTATGGCGGCCAGTCATGTTTTCATAGTAGAGATGTGAGTAGCGAGGTTGTACGTAGTACAGTCTGTATCGGCTAGAGTGACCGGATATAAGAATATATCGGCTACAGTGATATTGGTACGAAATATCAAAAGCAAAACGTATTTTATCCAGTACAAATATCACTATAACCAATATTATCGGATGTAATGATATATCGGATATTATGATGGCAACAAAGAATCAAAACATGCATAACACACTATATTATTATCGGCTATAGTGATAGCTTTAAAATACATGTAGCAATAATATCAAAGGCCCTATTTTTTTACTTTCTTCACGTTGCTTATTTTATAGTAATACATGTACATGTACATAACAGAAAGTGTTATGGAAATGCGGGCACTGTCAACTATGCAGCATGCTCATTTTGTCAAAAACGCCATGCTGGAAGTATTTCCTTGCCTTTCATGTGTCGATCGAAAAAAAATCCATCGTATCGCATATAGTGATGCATCGGTTATAGTGATAAAATCACGGAAATCAAAAGGGTACGCTATAGCCGATACAGACTGTACAGTCTGTATCGGCTATAGCGTACCCTTTTGATTTCCGTGATTTTATCACTATAACCGATGCATCACTATAATTATGCGATACAATCGATTTTTTCCTCTTTTTTTGATCGACACATGAAAGGCAAGGAAATACTTCCAGCATGGCGTTTTGACAAATGAGCATGCTGCATAGTTGACAGTGCCCGCATTTCCATAACAAAATTCTGTTATGTACATGTATCACTATAAAAATAAGCAACGTGAAGAACGTGAAGAAAGTAAAAAAAAACGTGAAGAAAGTAAAAAATAGGGCCTTTGATATTATTGCTACATGTATTTTAAAGTTATCACTATAGCCGATAATAATAATTATAGTGTGTTATGCATGTTTTGAATCTTTGATGCCATCATGATATCCGATATATCATTACATCTGATAATATTGGTTATAGTGATATTTGTACTGGATAAAATATGTTTTGCTTTTGATATTTCGTACCGGTCACTCTATAGCCGATACAGACTGTACTTTACAAGGTAAACTGCTAAATCTCCCTATTTGTAGAGAAACTCAGTTATATCCGTAAAAAACGTATAAAATTGTGTAGGGCTGAAACGATCGTGGATTTTCACCTATCGATTACTCTTGAGCTTAACGATCGATTTATCGATCATAATCGTTAGCAGATAGTGTCAGAATTTTGTGCAAACATTGCTCTGTTTCCGAAATCTAAGCCATTATAATACCACAAATTTGCATTAGTGACAGGGTAGCTCAGAAACATGGTAGTTATAAAGTCAATTTAACCTCAGAATGTGCACCATGCCCTTGGCAACTGCATACTCACAGTGGAAACTGATTCAAACTTCACGTAAGCGAGGGTTTTCAGTACTTTTTGGACTCAAAATCCCTAACGAGTAATCTATAACGTAACGATTACTTGATTGATAAGGAATTATCGATCGATTACCGAGTAATTGGTATAATCGTTTCAGCCCTAAAATTGTGACATGAAACTTACAGCATGGAGTATCTAGCCTGCACATGTCTGTGGTGAATAGTTTGACAGGAGAATAAAACTGTTTTGCCGCTGTTATCTTTCCGTCTGTGTGCGCAGCCAAACGACGTATCCAGTACGAAGCGGAAATTTTCAGATGACAGCGACAAGACGGGTGAGCCCTCGAGCAAACGAGTCAAAGTGGTGGAGATATCTGCGGACGGCACTTGCGTGCCTGAACGAGTCAACACAGCCGTCCTGCCGTCTATCCCTACTCCTGTCAGTAATCTAGCCGTGCCGCCGTCTATCCCTGCTCCTGTCAGTAGTAGTAGTAGTCTAGCCCTGGGCGATCATTTGCCGGCCGGTGCAGGTGCAATGCTGGCTGAATTAGCTGGTGGTCTCCCAGCAGCACCAGCGGACACATTGCCAGTCTCCAGTGAGGATTTATCCTCGTTGTTCTCTGACTTCCTGGGTGCCAATGACACTGCCCGCTTCCCACAGCTGCCACAGGGACAAGCACAACCACCGCCCTCTGCCGCTGGCCTGAATTTGCCTGGCTTTGTTCCGTAACCATCGTTATCTGTGGCATGTATTCAATCACCCAATCATGCCGGTGGTGAACGCCTGTAAGAAATCGTGTGCTGCGGCTAGTCTGTGTGACAGTCTAGTACCACATGTGTGTAGATGCTCCGTAAGCGACAGCCAGTACATCGTTTGTGTGTAGAGCTCCGAAAGTAGTGGGGCAAGCAAGACGGCCCTTGGCGCATACCGCCACGCGACAAGCAGCTGCTAGGCGTGCTGCAAGATGCAACAAAGCAGTTTAACGAGCAGTCCAATGGAGTGGTGACACTAGACCACCTTTGGGATCGGCTGCCCGTAGTATGCTATTCTGTGCTGTGGAGAGCAATGTATACTGGCTTGTGTGAGTAGCAATGGCAGGTGCCCCGTAAGTAGTGCGTTCATCGTGTTGCTGCTGTAGCAGTGTCTGGCTCATGCAGGCCTGCTGACTGCCCAAGGTAGTGATAATCATGTTGTGGAGTCCTGCGGAGAGCAGATCTACGTGTACACCGTATACACTGCCTTCCACTTTCCTCCCAGCGTCCTGTGCAGCATCCTGTGCAGCAACTCAGCGCCATGGCCCTTTGGCAGGAAGTGTTTGTTGAAGTGGCGGCGAAAGGTTGCCATTGCGGGACTAGCCGTCGCACAGGCAACAGACAGTCCTGTCGTGATGAACTATACATGTACGCCATGGTTGTCACAGAGCTGTTGTGTTCTAACTTTGGCGGAGATTGTTTGCTGCCATTCGGTGCTTACTGTAATCTCTATCACTGCATGCAAGAGCGTATAAGCAATTGAACAGCAACCGAAACACTGCAGAACTTCAGAATTAGGATATTCTAAGTTCAAACGTGGTGATCATCAGATCCGTCATAGAAGTGCCTCAGCACTCAATCAATCACTCATTCTCTAATCGGATTCTGACGTATACGATGTATTTGCTATTGGTAGCTCTTCACAGCCTTGGTGCTAGCTGGAATGGTGAAAGCTGGCACTTTTAGACGTCCATAGTGACATCTTTCTCTCTCTCTCTGTCTGTATGTATGTATGTATGTGATACGTTACTATTTATTCGTGAAGACTTGGGAACGGAAACAAAACATGTCATGAGAAAGAACAACAGGAAAAAGAAGCACACTCAACTAATCCGTGTGTGTGCGTGCATGCAGTACAACTATGACGTAATGAATATAGATACACATCACGCCCCTTCGAGATGTTGCGAAACCTGTGACAGCAACATCTATCATAAATAAAACAAAATGAAGAATGAAAACAACAAAGCAGAGACAGCAGAAATTGACATTAGTGATCAAGAGTGTCAATCATAGGACTGTCCATGATGCGAACCAATGTTTAAACGCTGGGGTGGCTTGCGCTGACGTGCGCTGCGGCGGGACGGCGGCGGCGGAGAAGAGGCGTCAGCAGCAGCCGGTTGGACAACAAGCGGTGCAGGCACAAGTGGGCGATACGGACGCAGGAATCTGCGGTTCCGCCAATAAATGCGACCACTCGGCAACTTCACTAGGTAGTCCCGATGATTACCGACAGCAACAATGACCCCACGAATAGACCACTGCTTGGTGCGCGGATGCTGAACATCCACGTGGGTGCCGAGGCGGAGCTGCGGCAACGAGCGACGAGTTGACGACTTGTCTGTGACGGAATCGTCGGATGGCATGGCAGTCTCATCACGTGTCGTCGCTTTGGAGAGCCAGGATGAATCAAACTCCTTCCAATGTGCAATGACGAATGACTGGAGAGAGCGGCCATATAGGAGCTCAGCGGGGCTCTGACCAGAGGAGCCAGGTGTGTTTCGCCATTCCAGTAGCCCTCGGCGGAAGTCATCTGTGTCAAGATTGCCATTCACGGTTGTCTTGGTGATAAGACGCTTCATGGCTTTGACAGCAGCTTCGGCGTGCCCATTACTCTGCGGGTAGTGGGGAGAGGACATGACATGGTTTACCTGCCAGCGCTTACAAAACTCAGCAAACTTATGCGAGGAGAACTGGGGACCACCATCTGTACACAGCACAGCAGGAACACCAACATCAGAGAACCAGCGACGGAATGCGAGTATCACGTCATGCGATGAGGTGGTGCGGCCAGTACGCGCGACACAGGGCCAACCGGTCAAACGATCTGCATACACAAGGAAGTCGTGACCTTGACAAGTGAACAAATCGGCAGATGCACATTCAAACGGGAGTGTTGGGGTTCGGTCGTTCAGCAGGGGCTCAGCTGGCTGGGACGACTGGTGTTCGCGGCAAGCAGGACAAGAACGAACGAGTGTATCAATGTCCTTGGTGATACCGGACCAGTATACAAGCTGACGCGCACGAGACTTAGTACGCACTAGGCCTTGGTGTGAAGCGTGGAGGTTGTGCAATACCTGAGCACGCAATGATTCAGGAACAACAATGCGGTTGCCCTTCAACACAATGCCATGGTCGACGGAGAGATGCTCACGTCCATTCCAGTACGCACGTAACGGAGCAGGCAACTTCTGCTGGCGATCAGGGAATCCAGTCAAGCTACACTCAATCAATGACTGGTACGTGGCATCTGCAGCTGCAGCTTCCCGCAGCTCTGCAACCTTGAGATTCGCATTCGGCTCAGTGTCCGAGTGCACCATGCAGATCTGAATGCTGCGGCAATGAAGCGACGGGGCTTCACCAAGCTCATCAGTGGTGGAAGGAATGCCAACAGGATTCCGGGACAGCGCATCGGCGAAGGCATTTTCAGAACCTTTTCGCCAAGATGCCTGCAGCTGATAGGCTTGGAGCTTGAGGCGTAATCGTAGAAGACGCGGGTTCTCGATCTGATCCAACGAATATGAGTTGATGATCGGAATCAGGGGCTTGTGGTCGGTGACGACTTCAAATGGCGCACCAGACAGGTAGATGCGGCATTTGCGCACGGCCCATACTACAGCGAGCATTTCCAACTCGATGACAGCATAACGGGTTTCAGCATCAGACAGGTAGCGGGATCCACACTGAATAATACGCCACTGATCATTCTGCTTTTGCCAAAGCACGAATCCGAGACCTCTTAGAGCGGATGCATCGGTTTCAAGCCGGAGGTCTTGACCAACTTGATAGAAAGCGAGAACCGGAGGAGACAAGAGAGCTTCCTGTGTCTGTTCAAACGCTGCAGTGTGGCTAGCGTCCCACATGAACTCACGGGAGGTCTTGAGCAGGCCACGCAGAGGATTGGTCAACTCGGCTAGATGTGGAGTGAACTCGCCACATTGGTTCACTAGACCGAGGAACGAACGGAGATCAGTTCTGTTGGCGGGTACTGGAAACTGGCGAATACCGGACGTCTTATCATCGTCGACGACCCAGCCATCAGGCGTGACGTTGTAGCCGCAGAAATGGATACGTTGCGTACCGAACACAAACTTGGCGGGGCTGAACGTGATACCATGCTCCCTGGCGCAGAGCAGAATCTCGCGCACGTGGCTGACATGCGACAGAAAGTCGTCGTCGTACGCTAGGCAATCATCGACTACCTTGCCGAGACGCGGGATGGCAGAGAACGCAGCATCAGTGCGCCGGTTGAACTCATCCCCAGCAGATATTAGACCCTGCGGGTTCCGTAGATAACGATATCTGCCGTACGGGGTGATAAACGTGGTGAATTCCTGAGCAGTGTCACTGAGAGGAATCTGCCAGTAGCCGTGCCTTGCATCGAGCTTCGTAAAGAACTTAGCAGAGCCAACTCCAGAGACAACGTCACGTGCCGTATGTACGGGATGCGCGGGACGACGGACTTGGTCGTTCAGCCGCTTGAAGTCAACTGTGAGGCGCTTCTCAGTGCTGCCCTTCTTGTCTACTATGACAATCGGATGGCACCATTCACTAGGCTCCGTCACTGGTTCAATGATCCCGTCGCTGACCATGCCGTCGAGCTGAGTCTTGATCTGGTCACGGAATGCATACGGTATTGGTCGAGCAGTGTGCACACAGGAAGGCTTAGAATCATGCTGTAGCTCAATTTCCATTGGCGGACCTTCCATTGGCTTCAGACCGGAATCCGAGAAAACGTCAGCGAACTCTTGCAGGAGCTGCTCACGTGTCCGCGCTAACTCAGCATCACTAGGATGAGCGCATGACGAAACAGCTGCACAGATCTTGGGTGAAGATGCACCCTCGTGTTCAGCGGTGAATTGGACTGGCCAATCAGGTGGGAGAAACTTCAGCGCACGCAATGAGGTATGAGAGAGCAGGGCATCGTGTAGACCCTTGTACACATGGATGACGGTTTCATGCTGCGTCTCACCGACTCGTAGAGTCGCACGTATCTTGCCCAGGTTGCGTAGCGGCTCACCGGTCACAGCCTGCACACAGTCGTGGTCGTCATCTAAGTTCTCGACGAACCCACCGATCTGCGTGAGGTGCTCCTCGCCAATGGCATCAACGTCACTGCCTGTGTCTGGTGTCCAGGACAGTTGGGATGGCTGATCCTCTGTTTGCAGCATGGTCGAAACAGGTACTGTGCGACGGTCCACGCGAGATGCACGCTGTAGCTTCAGCTGGCCAAGCTTGGCAGCAGAGCTAGTCTTCGGCTGTTTCTGGCGCTTGCACATTCGCTGAAAATGCCCAATGCCATGACAGGAGTTGCACTTCTTGCCCTTGGCAGGACATACAGATTTCGTGTGGTCAGAACGACCACAATTTGGACAAGTGGACTTGGCCGCACTTGATGTCTCACTTGGCTTAGAGTCAGCTGGCTTGTGACGTTTCTGCTGCTTGTACGCCGACTGCTTGGCAGCACTTGCCTGGAGGCCAGGACTGGGCATGTGTGCCTTGGTGTGGTATGCTGCTTCCTCCGTCCGACAGAGGGTGACAGCCTGGTCGAGCGTGAGACCATGAGTTGCGAGCAACTTGTGTCGCGTCTCATCGTTCCGCACACCAATGACGACGCGGTCGCGCAGAGATTCCTCCTTGAGGGTACGGCCGAGGCCTTTGCACTGCGCACAGCAGCGAGCATCACACGTTCCACATAGGCTGTGTGACAAGAAGTCGCATGCACTTTGTAGTTCACACAGGGCTGTGTAAAACGCATCAAATGATTCTCCAGCTTGCTGGACACGCTGGTAAAACTCTATGCGGTCTAACAGTGGATTACGTTGCCGTCTGATATACGCCTGAATGCGCTCCAGCATCAGGTCGACGTCAGCTGAAGCTGGTATGCAAATAATATCCTCTCGGATAAAACGTCGCAGCTCCTCATCGAAACACTGACGGAGTGTTGCCACTCTGGCCTCACGAGCCTGGCTGGCCAAATGCTGGCAAACACTAAAATCTCTCCAGCTCTCAACGAAGGAGTGAAAATCAGCCAGCGTCGCAGACGACAATAAGTGTGGGCAGGAAACACTGTTCACTGGCCGTGGTGCTGAGGTCTGCGAGGTGGACTGAGCTGGTGCTGAGGGCTGCGGAGTGAACTGAGGCTGCGATGGTGATAGCGACCTGCTCTGAACATTCTTGAACAGATCTTGCATCGCCTTATCACGAGCCTCAGCTGCACGCATCTGCTGCTCCATAAATTTCATCAGGACACCCATTTGAGATTCCTGCTGTCGCTCGGTCGCGGAGGACAGGTCAAATCCGGTATCGTCCTGTGATTGTTCCATTACGATTAGTCACTCTCGTCCACGAGTACGAACAAATACACTACTAAAATAATTCAACTGAGACAGAGTTTCGATCGCGGAAACTACTACTTCACACGGAAAAAACAACTGGGCCCGTGCAAACACTACAAGGTGCGGACACAAGGCACGGACACAGGAAAGAACAAGTTCACTGCGCCATGATACGTTACTATTTATTCGTGAAGACTTGGGAACGGAAACAAAACATGTCATGAGAAAGAACAACAGGAAAAAGAAGCACACTCAACTAATCCGTGTGTGTGCGTGCATGCAGTACAACTATGACGTAATGAATATAGATACACATCAGTATGTATGTATGTATGTCTGTCTGTCTGTCTGTGTGTCTGTCTCTCTCTGTGTCTGTGTGTGTGTGTGTGTGTGTCTGTCTGTCTGTCTGTCTGTCTGTCTGTCTGTCTCTCTCTCTCTCTCTGTCTCTCTCTCTCTCTCTCTCTCTCTCTCTCTCTCTCTCTCTCTCTCTCTCTCTCTCTCTCTCTCTCTCTCTCTCTCTCTCTCTCTCTCTCTCTCTTTCTTTAGTAGTCTTTACATTGCTGGACCAATTCCTAAGTCACAATAAAATTATCAGGTTGACTTCGTTTTCGTGCTTTGCACTAATCAATGTGAAAGTAATTTTTTATCTGGTAAACACAGTCGTTGTTGGTGGTGGTGGTGGTGGTGGTGGTGGCGGCGGAGGTGGTGGTGGTGGCGGAGGTGGTGGTGGTGGCGGAGGTGGTGGTGGTGGTGGTTGCGGAGGTGGTGGTGGTGGTGGTGGCGGCGGCAGCGGAGGTGGTGGTGGTGGTGGCGGAGGTGGTGGCGGCGGCGGAGGTGGTGGTGGTGGCGGCGGAGGTGGTGGTGGTGGCGGAGGTGGTGGTGATGGTGGCGGCGGAGGTGGTGGTAGCGGAGGTGGTGGTAGCGGAGGTGGTGGTGGTGGCGGCGGCGGAGGTGGTGGTAGCGGAGGTGGTGGTAGCGGAGGTGGTGGTGGTGGTGGCGGAGGTGGAGGTGGTGGTGGTGGTAGCCATTACTGTAAATCTACTAATGTTCGGCCCATTCAAATTTCGGCCTCCCTGGGCTAAAGCCTAAAACCCATTTCGACCGCATAAAATGTTTGGCCTGTACTGCTGCCGCCTGTATGCACTGTCACACTGAACCTTGCGAAACAAAATGTCGGCCGCAACAAATTTTCGGCCAAACACGACCAGGCCGAAAATAGCCGAAAATAAGTAAACGCCGAATATTTTGTAGACTAACAGTACGTGTTACAGTACACATGGTACATGTGGAATGAAAGTGTTTGTGTGGAGATAAGCAGTGAGATAGCAGTAGACTTGCTTGTACCACTGGACTACCAACAGCCAAGAGGTAAAGAATCCTGATAGTGAAGTTCTAATCGAGAAATTCTTTGACCAGTACCAAATATGACTCAAACTACAGTTGTGGCAAAAGAAATCCAGCCCGCGAGCCGAAAGCAGCACAAAGGCCTAAGCGGCCCTCGGATGGGTTTTCGGACCGTGTTTGATGCATGAATTGGAACAGTGGCGCTACCTTTGACTCGCGGGTCGGATTTCTTTGGCCACGACTGTAATTGACCCACTGGAAATCGAAAAATCCAATTGCATTTTGTATCACATCATGTACAACTAAGAGCAAAATACTTGAACGGACACCAGTTCCTACAACACTGAATATCTGAACCAGTTCCTACTTCGCTTCCATTTCGGCACTTGCATCATGGGCAGCATCAGGTACATGATGAAACAATGATAGCATTCTATAAAAGCCATACAGGAGTAGTCTGTATACAGTTTGGCTTGCAAAGCATGGGAATTCCCACCCCAGTCCCTCCAGGAAATTGCGATTTCATGGATGCAACAATTTCGCGCTGGCCAGTGAAATCTGACCACTCGTGTCACCACCGCCGCGAGTTGCATGGTGGACGGGTGAGCTCAGCTCAGGGTCGAGTGGTGCTGGACACAGGGCGCAGAATCTGTCCCAGCGGACTTCACTGGCCAGCACAATTGCCAATGTGAAAATAGGACTATGATTATTGATGAGATGTGAACACGATATGGCTTACTACCATTGACTCAGACTAGCGCATATTCTTATTTTCACAGGACACATAACTCCACTGCGTACCCAGCATTCAACATCACACAAGACCACACTGAGTGCACAGTAGCTTGTAAGTGTTAGATCAGAATTATTTTTTTATGAATGCCATCAGGCATTAGGGAGCACATTTGAGTAAAAATTAAATACTTGGAATATGTACATGTACATGCATGTACGGCACCAGAAGGTTTGACTTTGTTCTTCTACGTACGGCAAATGAGAGCTATTAAAAAAAATATGGCTAGATAATCACCGTCTTACTTTCCATGCAGATGTTAAATTTTTGGAGTATTTCGCTTCAACCAGATGAAGACAGCTTGCAATTGTGCAGAATGCAGCCAAGATCCAGTTTCTTGTGGCCAGACACGAGTACAGTCCAACGCCACACGTGCCAATTCCAAACAGGACGTTGAACCAGGCGAATGACGACAGCAGGTTGATTTGGTTTTTGGGCAGGGATGAGATGGCCATGAAGCAAGACAGAGCTGTGCTGATCCATGCTACCTCCCACCATGGCCACAACGGCGCTTCACTGCCCAGTGAAAGGATAATGTGAAGTAAGGCACCAGCCGCCAATGCGAAATGGCAGTAGAGGACTTTCATAAGGCCACTTTTCAGCTTGACACTTTGTGTGTAATGAGTAGCAACACGTTCGCGATGGGAGAAGTCCGAGCCATCCGTGCCCGATTCAGTTTTCGCCTTCCTAGATGCCATCTGTATAACTCACGGATCAGAAGCACGATTCGTGGGCAATTGGTAACTTCAAAACAATCAGGATCTGGTGGATATGAGCTACTGTAGGCCAAACAAAGAGGTAGTAAACGTCGACGTCGTCCTTTTCTTTCCTTTTCAATGCAAAACCGATTTTTCAGATTTTCTTTGCCGATCGGCATCATTTTTATTTGATCACGTGGCAGCCCAGTGTAGCTTTGGCGGGGAAACATAAAAAGCAAAAGCAGCGGAAGAAGCGCAGAGCTGCTAGTGCTATTGCATGTAACGACTACAGCAGCGTTACATGTTGCGCTATTTGTTCGTGCAGGCAGAACGAGCTCAACTCAGTTACGAGTAGGGCCTTTCTGATCTGAGCATGTTGGCTGTGATGTGAGGGAACTGAAGTTTTTAGTTATTAGGACACATACAGACGCCCTCAGCTCACAGGCACATCGATGTCGTCGCCGAAGTCTCAAGGTAGGTATCAAATTGAAGGACTGAATGTTAGCATTGTATTAGTAGTACATAATAGTGGTAACAGGTTAAAATACAATGCGTTGTATTCCCGCTAGTAATGTACTTTTTTGGTTTTTTAATTACTAGTACCCGGCAGTAGCCCGCTAGCTGCGCATCACTGCAGCAGTAGTAGGGGTAGCAACAACAAACATGCCAGTACACTGAGCAACATGATTATAGAATGTTAGCAATAGCCAATGAGTGCAGCACTGAGCATTACAGATACATTGCCACTTGTCAGTCCGCTCAGAAAGGATTATACTTCAAGAAACATGAGAGTTCCCATGCATGGGAATAACTAACAACACACAATTGTACTTGCCATAAGGTTTTCCTCTGACGGCACAACAAGTGCGGCATGCCACGCCGGCATTCGGAATCATGTCCCGAGCTGGGTCACGTGGCAGTTCAGAGCATCATGTGCACTACTTCCTGTTCTTCGGCTGTTGCTAGCTCCTTGCTGCGCCGACGATCTGAACTGTTTGACAACCTTGGGTAATTTCTGATCACCACCACCCACCTACTCATCTGTATCCATCAGTCTATCCCAAGGCAGCCCGAAAGTGAGAACCGCGGGTAAGGCCGGTATTGAGCCAAGTTTGCCTACATTTGGCCACTAGTACATCTGCACCCTAATTATATTCATGCATTCACTGCCACGTCTGACTCCTCGCTGGGCACTTCTTCCCCCAGAGGCGGATCCAGGAGATGTTCCAGGGGTTCCGCGGAACCCCCTGAATTTCGTAAATGTGCTACTGGCAACCACATGCGTGTCCATGGACATGTATCAGCTAGTCAGTTTTGACTATACTGGAACCCCCCTGTAGAGATCGCTGGGTCTGCCGCTGTGTCTCCCCTCTTCCTGTTGCCTTGCCACTGGCCCTACTAACGGTTTCCATGTAGGGCAAAGAGTGTATCTGGTTTACAACTTACTATTATTGAAATACAATCATATTCGGATCTTCTGCCATCTCTTTCTGTCGTGTCCAGCTGAGCTGGCAAGCACAACGGATTGGTTGTTGGCACCCGCAGGGAACCTTGGTCGGGTGGGAAATGGGGCCGTTCCGTCAGTCTTTTCTGACCTGACCAACATTACGTTGCTCCCACCAAGCCCCAAACATCCGGCAATGGTCACTGTACCTGCAGTCGGAGCAACCCCACGATCAATGTCGACAGCGCCGTCGGTAGTAGTGAGTATGCTTAGTCCTCGCTCGAGGAACTTGCAAGGAACTCCAGTTGCATCACCTCCCTCTCCAAGCCATCATCCAGCCCACAGACAGTCGGCTTTTGAAGAGGGTCAGGGAGCTAGCTCCCACTCAGATTCAATTCCCGGTACGCCATTGAGTAAGCTCAGTCTTCGCACTGACTCGCTTACATGTACCACCAGCATGCCTAACAGCCGGAGCCCGTTGCCAGCTGATAATATCCACCCAGAAGCTGCACCGTTTTCTCGACAACGTGCCGCAGAAGTTACGAGTACCGGCTATGACCACGACAGGACACGGTCACTGCCATCGAAAGAAACATCACCTCCGACTTTCACATCCGATCAGATTCGACCTGAAATAGACAGTGTGAATGAAAACACTTCGGTTTCAAACACACTGGCACTGTACAAGGAGCAGCAGCAAACATTACTAGAGTATCATCGTCGGCAACTTGCTGATGTGGCCGCGCAACAGCAGACCATAGAGCAGCAACAACGACTGTGCGAGCAGCTGACTGATTTGATCGCCGACCAGGAGAGCGTTCTTCATGAGCATGCCCTTCAATCATTGCGATCACAAATACCGTCGGTAAGTTTGGCTCTTCCCTCAAAGACATGAAGTATTGTAGCAGCGTCACACCTGCATAAGTATGATGTTTTGAATTTTGCCATTCATACTATTTTGCCATTCATACTATTGAACATGAAACTGCAGGAAGCGTCCACCCAAATTCTTCTCTGAACTGGGAATGAATTATTCAATCGAGTTGATATTTGTACCTGTGTGTACTCATACTACACACCTGTCATTGCAGAAAAGGGTGGCTCGAATTCTACTTCCCCGCCCCATTGTGTGCCTGCCACCATACATTTCTTTGCACTTTCCCGCATCTCGCAGTGAACTATTGATCTGCATGCATTATTGCTTCGTTGCTCTTCTATGCTTCTACTATGTTGCTGCTTGGCAAGTGGTACTGTTATATTGATTTGCGTTTTCACCATGCCTAGGTACACGATGGTAGCAGTCTGTCAACCATACCAGCGTGGAATCAAGGTAAGCCTGTGTGGCAGTGCCATCGTGTCGGTGTTTGGCATCCACTGGCCAACTTGATGCTGGCAAGGCTGATTATCATTAATGTTGCGGGTACTCACACGTACTATGGATTTGCATGCCATGTATTGAAGTCGCTATGTTTGTGAATAAACCTGGTAACCTTTTCACAGTGTCGGCGAGAGGGGTGGGCGAGTATAAAGCCATGTTTAGCAGTCCTGCACTGATGTGGCACCTACTGAAAATGGCTAGCATGCTGTCAATCCAACTACTCACGTATAGGAAGTACTCAGACGGACTGGGCAGTTCACCAGTCACCAGGTAACAGTGTGTATGTGTTGTATGCTATCAATTGTATAGCATCATTGCTAAATCGCCCACAGTAGACTAAACGTAGAGTATTTGCGTTATTCTGTTTGTCGATAGGAGTGTTTCTAGACAGTGACGTTGGTATGGATGAGGATGAAAATGCTACACCATTGCATAGCACATCACTGTACATCCCAGTGCCGAGCGATGTGGAGGATCCGAATATCATGGGAGATCTTGTGCCGCAAATCCTTGATGACGGTCTGGGTGAGTCCGAACAATGATCCTGTGTTGACGGCGGGGTCACGGAAGTCAAAACGACTCTTAAAAATATGTTTACAGACTGTGCATAGCATTGCCCTGGCTGGAGCCGTTGTTTGAGCCGTGGTCTCTCATGCATGGCAACGCTTTGTTTCAATGCCTTTGGGAGGCTCTCCTCCCGAGGCTCTCCTCCCAAGCAAGAGCCTTCCAAGCATTCTAACAAGCTCTGCAACAAAAGTCAAATTGAAAGTGAACTAGTACATGTTGGAGTTTTTGTGAGCGTACACAACTCAGCGAGAGTTTGTGGACTGAGATCGGATTTATCTATTTATGCTGGACATCACAACAAGCATTGGCTGTTGTCAGCGGCTGATGCAGTGGCTTCTCTTAATTCTGTCTTGTCTCTGACGTATCCTAGATACGCTACTTAATGATCCACCTGTAGCTCCGCTCAGTGAGTTTCTGGCAAAGGAGTCACTCGGTACCAAGTCTGCCCTTCTACCATCTATTATCAAGTCTTCTCCGGCGGTATCACATCCCACTGAGCTAGTGTACACTCACGAAGAAGCAGTGACTCATCACCCGCCAGATGCCATGCGTGTGAAGACGCATTCTTCGCCCGTGCCTGCCACCTTGCTGCCCCCACCGCATGCTGATCCTTCTCACCACTCCACGACTACGAGTTCTGAGTCTCAATCCCAAGCAGATGTGTCCGTTGACAATGCGACTACCGGCTTGCCTTCAGACAAACCGGCCATATCGTCCGCAATATCAAGCAAGATGGGAGAAGAATCAGGACCGTTTTCGATGGCTGATCTCCAAACTATGTGAGTACTTGTATAGCGGGCCAACGGTTCATGTAGCATTGTAGGTTGAGATGTTGATGTTAGGCTTTTGAAAGAGTCTGTTTAGTTCAGGTCATGCGGACTCCGATAGAGGATATGTGATAATGCCATCATTTGTGATACATTACATGGAGTGGCAAACACTTACCTGTGTCACCACAAGCACTTGCCACTGGTCAATACAATGTACATACAGCGATGTCATTGGTATAACCTTGATAGTGGCAAGTACTTTGAAGTAGGATCCAGGTGCAGGAATCGAATGCAGTGTCCTTGGATTCTAGGGAAATATTCGCCGATAGATTGCCAAGAGGCACACTTACCCATTCGGGATTCTAGCAACTGACTGTATAGTGTACTGGTAAAGGACCAGCCGTCATCTCCGACTAACTTACTAGTAGCTTGTCGAAAATATGGGTTGTGATATCTGTGTTTCAGCAAGGACGCTGCAACATCGGCTCAGGATATTCGTGAGACTCAACTTGTTCGTCTCGTCTCAAGCCTTGGCAGTGAATTGAGCCAGTACGTAACTGTGTGGTGGAGTGTTTTTTTTAGAAATGGCAAAATACAGTGAACATGTGCACATGTGCATGTCGAGTAGATCTACTGTTGTGCCGGTCTGTATGAGAACTCTTGTTACCCGTTGTAAGCGGCGATCACCAGTACCCGAAGCCAATCTCTGGTTGAATGTGTGGTCGTCATAGTCTTCAGATCAATGCCATCAGGAGAAATTTGACAATATGACATGTGTTTGCAAGAAGAAATCAGTCTCTCTCTCTCTCTCTCTCTCTCTCTCTCTCTCTTTCTCCCACTAGGTGCAAACAACAGCTGCAGAATAGCTTGCATGTTCAAAGGATACAGGCTGGTGCTCTACAGACGTTGTGGCATGAAGTAAGTTTGCAGTCTTTCCATCGCACACCCGGCGGCTTGGTATATGTCAGCTTCTTACACTTTGGCAAATTGAAATGTCGATCATCCGGGTCCAGGTGACACCTGTAGCAGTGTAGGCGCTGTAACTGTAAGCAATTCGGTGCTCACTGTTTCTTTTAAGGATTATTCCATTGGTTATTGTTGTCTTTGTCTGGATATAGATTCAAGACCTTCAGAAGCACCAGAGGGCGTCACAAGCACAGAGAACTCCCATCCCAGAGGAACATGAAGTGCCTGCGTGAGTCAGCTGGCGTTTCTTATTGGATTTTGAGTCTTGACAGTGATGTGCGTCGCCACTCTGCACTCCTACGTCATGATAGCGGGAGAAACATGGATGCATTTGTAATGGCACAGCATTGTTGATGTTGTCGTCGTCGCCATGTGTGTTTGTGTGGCCTGATGTCTGTAGAAACGAGCCAAACCCGGATAACGTATCTACGCTGAAAACCCTCTGTGAACAGCTCCAAACACAGGTACAGTAACTGATTAGTTTGCAGGGCAAGCATAGCATGCCTGGCATTTGTAGACTTTTCAATACACTCAGGTGCGGTGTATTTGCTGAAAAATACGGAGGTTTACATTCAGCTGCTGTCCACTGACTGTTTTTATGGTGCGGGTAAGGGTACTTGCATGTATTGGGTCACGGTATGGTGAGTGGAAGTGGAATTATATTATGTATACCTGTTTATTTACTGACAAACCTTGCCTATGTGCCTTTACTCCCCTTCCCCCCCCCCCCCCTTACAACAATGGAAATATGTGTGTGCTGTATGAGTAGAGCTGCCTCAGCTTTCATAGGTCAGTGCTATGTACCATAGGACCAAGCATGTGTATATCTACGAGACATACCAACAGTATTAGTTTGCGGAGCAAACCTCGTACGCTCCCTGTGTATTAAAACATCATGTTGGATTGTGTGTGACAACACAGGTTGAGTTTCTTGAGGATCGAGTCAGTGCTCTCTCGGGCTCTGTCTACGTAGCCGGCGAGACAAGGAGGCGTCTTCAGCGCTTGGGTTTTGGCCTCGAACATGACGATGACGATGATGATGTCGATGATGATGTCGATGGCGGAGCTGATGGTAAAATAGTTTTTAAATGCCATGGTACATGTATTGTATTGTACAGTAGTGTCGTCATGACTACAGTAGGTTAAGTTGCATGCGTATGTATAACAGTACCGTGTACCTGGCTGGACACCTACTTCAAGTATGAATGAACAAAGTGATAGAGCCATAGTCACACCTATGAATGAACAAAGTGATAGAGCGATAGTCATACAGGCTGGGCAGGTACGGGTTGTGTATTCTTCCTCGTGATTTGCTAGTGTCACTGTACTGTGCCTTGCACCAGCATGCCCAAGTTCGTACTCAGTCTCGTTTAGTTCAAATATTCAGCCAACGAGAAGCGTACACTTGCTGAGGTTTCAAGGTGTAGGTAAGCGGTAGAAGTAACTAGTTAGTCAGCCATGTGATAACAGGTACATACAGTCAGGTATGTGTGAGTTGCATGCCTAGCAGCACAGGTAGTCACGGTCTAATCTAATAGCACTGATGTACTTAGACTACTAGTACCACATGATCTAGTGACGTCTACTGGAGTCTGGCATGCAATCATTATCTCTATGATTCACATGCACCACATAAATCCGTTTCACCTTTTCCTGTAGAGGACATCACAGCGATGAACAACAATCCAGGCGTGGAAACCAGGGTGACTGCATCATATACCGATAGCAGCAGCAGCAGCAGCAGCACTAGCTTAGAGTCCATGTCAGCAGATTCCTTGAGTCCCAGTGATGAGGAGAACATGGAGGGTGCAGTATTGGCCAGTGAAAAGTCACCCCGGCGGTGCTCTTCTCCTCTTCGACCAGATAGCTGCAGCGAGGAAAGGGGAAGTCCTGAAGCCACTTCGCAGCATTCGGTATCAGAGTCCGATGGTGATGATGACGTCGCTCTGCTTTCCAATGAACATGTGCTGTGCACTGAGCCACGTCACCATGACATCATTGATAGTGGTGAGTGATAGTCATGCTTCAGTTGTCAGTGCCTGTGGCAATTAACTCACTGAAAATTGGTCTAAGTTACAAGTCTTTACAATGAATGCTGCTTATTCTTTTTAGACATCGAACGTGCTATTTCTGATCCTAATGATGACCTAATTCATTATCAATATAATAGTCGATGTGCCTGCACAAGCGTCCATTGCCAAGTACAAGCTAAGTTTCTGGGTACTTGCCAACGTGCTAGATACTGCGAGGGCAGAGCCATATGAGACAACTTGAGTGCTTGCACGTACCCGAATTTGACACTTTTCTGATACAGCCAGAATGTCAGATGCCTGTTTCAAGCTCCTCAACGTTTTTTTGTAGACAATCCAACACTGTATGTGTGCATGTGTGTATACCGGTATGTGTGTTTGTGTGTTTACAAGTGTGTGTGTGTGTGTGTGTGTGTGTGTGTGTGTGTGTGTGTGTGTGTGTGTGTGTGTGTGTGTGTGTGTGTGTGAGTGTGTGAGTGTGTGAGTGTCTTTCACTGTCAATCACAGACGGTGCTGAGTGGAGTATAAGCGTCCGCCGCTGGTCAACACATGAAGTGCTACTGGCGTGGCAGTGCTGTGGCGTGAACACCGGTTTCCAGAGTCCCAACGTACAGCAGCTCCAGCACACTGACGAGGGAAGCTTTCTTGACATGGTGCCGTCAGAAGCCGATGATAGTACAGGTGATGGAGGACTTCTTGGCTATCGCCTGCTGATAAACAATGTCCCCGTCATACCCATGGTAAGCTATAACTGCTGCAGTATAAGATCATTGGTGCTAACATATACATCATGCACTGCAAAGACCAGTGACTCTCACTGGTTTGGATGACGTAGACACATTATCGGAGAATTGGAAACGCTTCCCATTTGTTTTACAGATTTTCACTGGCATAGTGTTTTCGGTATTTCTAGCCTTTTGTTTCTGTATCATAAATTGATAAATTGAAATAATTCTAGTTGGATGCAGCTGTATGCCGACATGTTGTTTGGTTACCTTATCCCCGTCTGCAGATACCATCTCCAGCAAGTCAAGTTCTAATATCAGGCCTGGCTGATGGTGAATATGAGTAAGCTTCTACTCTCAGATCCTAGTACAATCCTTCTGCTGTGCACTGATCAAACACAGCTCACATGCATGAGGTCTCTACAGTTACTGATTGGATTTCATGTGAAAATCTTTCTGAATCACTCCCATCATCATTAAAAGTTTCCGCCCGATTTCCAAGAAAGTAAGGAATGGACAATAGCCGCGTGTGGAGTTCCTGTCTTCAGAAATCTCATACATGTCACGTTCTCCATGGCTGTTGCCTTGTCCAAGAAATGTTGTGTCAGGTATGGATAACAGAAGGCTGGTAACAGAATAGACTCTGAGTTTTATGTTGTGAATCCGAGTTTCACACCAAGGCGATCATGAGACTGCGATAACCATTTTGCCTTCTATTGTCGATGTGCACGTTTTGTATCGTGTCGCGCTGCAGGCTGTCTTTGTTGAAGGTCCACATCAATGGTGAAACGTTGCTCGGCAGGCCTGTCTCAGTGAGCACTTCAGACAGTCGGGAGAGTAGCGGCTCAGATGCCATTGTGAAGTCAGTGTCCTCACGCGAAGCATTAGCATCACCACGCTGCTCATCTACCGCCCTGCTACCCAGCACTCCTCGGCTGAGAATACACTACAAGAGCCTGGGCAAGGTTGCTGGGCAGGCCGTGCTGGCAACCCTGAAACACGGCGACACAGCGGACAGTGCCGACTCCTCTCAGCTGGACTCCAAACACTCGTCTCCAATCAGTCATGCTTCGGACTGGTCTTCACCCAGTCTCCCATCACCATCCACGTCATTGTCAACGCACCCCACCACCACCACCGCCACCACCAGCACAATCACAACCAGCAGCAGAAGCCCAAACATACCTGAAGCACAGGGACAATTACCATTGAGGAAGAAGACTGGCGGTCGCAGCACTGAAGAAGGCATTGTTACAAATGCTGGTGAGTTACATGATTTCGATGCTGATGGAGCACACAATGATCAGTTGCCTGACGCAGGCATATCGGTGGAGCCCATCAACCATGCCACACGCGCATCTGCTCTCCTGACCCAACTCAAAAGGGAGATGTCGGAGATCAGACCCCTCAATAATGAAGTGTCAGTTGATGTAGCTGCACTGTCAGAGCCAACAGAGACTACATCAATATCGATCAGTGGACATGAGAGTGATGTTTCAATTCCTGAGAATGCATCTCCTTCCAGTAGGCCAAGTCCACTTCAATCATCAGTAATCAAGTCAAATCACACTCCCAAAGTGACTGCAATCATACCAACCACTCCGAAGTCTGCTGAGTCACATGGCGGTGTTGAGCATTCCGAAACTGACACACATGGGTACACACCGGACAGTAGGCGTGCAGCATCAGCAGTGCCGTCCCCACGCAGCAACAGCGCTGGCAAGCGTCCTACACCTGTACCGCTGGCATGTTCTTTCAAGCTCCAGTAATCCGGCACTCGACCAGTGCAGCCCGCAACTTCAACCGAACAAGAATTTGACTTTTTAGTGCGTTTAAAAGCGCTCTGCACTCAGGTTATGTATTATGAAATGGAAACCTCGACTGAATAATCCTGGACAATGCCTCAGAGAGGAGATGTGCTATATAAAATTCAATATAGGACTGACGTACTTCTGCAATATTTTCTATCTACACGTGCATGTACATTACGATACTCGGATGAAATTGTAAAACTGTTCAGTCCATGATATTGTGATGATGATCTTATCTTTTTAACAAGGCATTTGTGTTAATTTAACAATCAAAAGAGCTCGTGGCAGCCACCTCTGGCTGTTGATGAAGCCGCACTAACGCCACACTCTCTTCAAACTATCTGTCCTCTTTTTATGATTATTAATACCACGACTTCTACAATGACCAGACTTCTGTCGATCTTTTGCTATTCATGTTTCAGTCTACCGAAGCAGATCATCACGCCTCTCATAACAAGAACAGGTCTTGGAGACTTCGGCTCAAATTTGTGTTGCACCGCTAGTGTCCATATTCATCCTGGAATAGCAAAGTTACGTGCATGGGGAATTGCTACACACGCGCGCGTGCACACACACACACACGTGCGCGCGCTCGCGGGCGCATGCGTGCACACACACACACCGTTGGCCATTTGACACCCATCGCCCGAGCCGATGATAGCGATGCTACAGAAGAAGCCATAGCAACTTGTGCTGGGACACACACACATACACGTGCGCCCACACACCCACACACTCACATATGCTCATACATGCACGCACACACACATACACACAACTGCAGTCACCAGCGCATGCAACTAGGCCACGACCATGCATTCGGGGCAAATATTCGGGGCAACGCAGCTGCTACCGCCGTTCACGCTGGCCAGTACTAGTGGCGTTGCTCATATCAATGAAATCCGATCGCGCAAGTCAAGTACGTGTCACATGTATTGTAACTATGATGTAATCGTTTGCGTCCATGCACCTGCAATCCTGCACCATCCCGCCCAGCCACTGGCACTGTTTGCAGTGAGACGGTCTAACTCTAAGGTACCAGTATGTACGGGTATGAGCTCATCTTTGAAGGTTTCGCTACCGTCCCGGGAGTTCCCCTTTTACCCCTGTCAAAGTTTCGGCAGGATCGAAACTGAGAAACGACACGAACAACAGCCGTTTGCGCTGTGGATGACTGACATGTGATTTTCGCTCGAGCGCAGCATGAACGTAACGCTCACGATCACAAAGACACGGAGCTGCGGAGAAAGCTACTGAGTACTGTACAATCATACTCATAGCCTAATGTTTCGCGCTGCAGAGACTAAGTCGATATGTACCGGTATGCCTGTTGTACGTTCCCAGGAACACGACTGGTCGCGAGGCTGCTCGACACGCCACACGTAGATCTACACCAGTATAATTATTTGGCAAGCGAAAGTTCTGGTTCATTAGGCATTACTTCTTCGATTGTTCCGTTCTGGAGTCAGTGGAGAGGGAAGCTAGCTAACCGAATCATCACCGCCTGCAGGCTATGGCTGATACAGCCGACGCAGACAAAGAGTAGTCCTGGAGCGAATCCAGGGAGATCTGGAGAATGATGCGGTAGACGCTCACTGAGTGCCGATCATGTCACAAAGTGCAAGTGATCCAGGTGGGCAGCGGTCTAACTCTAAGGTACGGCCTGGGGCTCTCTGTTTTGAAAAAAAGAGATGCTATAGCTGTCCTCATATTGCCTGAGCGTATTCGCCACCGCAATCGTAGTTATAGACAGAATGATGCATTGGCTAGGGAAAAGAATTCAGGCAGAGAAGATTACTATCTGATTAGTGCACAGTCACTGAGTGTAGCGACAGAGAGCGGCATGAGTATCGCTTGTGTTTTGCCTACACAAGTTACTGTAGAATGGCTAATTTCAGCGGGTACAATTTTTAGCGTTTTCTGAATCAGGACCAATTAGCGATGAATATGTTAGCGATCTGAGTTTCAGAGTAAAAAAAAGAAGATGACTGGTACAGTACTGTACATGTCAAATTTTGTTTTGGCGCAGGAAAACCTTAGCGAAAACACTCCTTTCGCTAAAATCGCTATAATATCACCGGCGTTATAATAAATTAGCCGTTTTACAGTACTTATAGCTGATTCTGATAGCCTACAATATCCGAATACATGTACATGTATAAGTTATAGCACGGCACATACAATATAGCCGCCCTGGCATAAGATTGACTTATGGATTTTGAGGTGGTGCTGTCACCGCATACTTCAAGATCTTCAATGTATGAATGTGACCGTTTCACTTGTTACTTGGACTTGGACTAGCTGTATGCATTTCCACATCGGGTAGGTAGCAGTTATGTGATACAACCATACACAATAGGATGTTCACAAGTGGCATACGCTTGTGTTGTGTTTTGTACAGCCCGGCGGGCCATCTACACAGCAAGCAAGCCAGACAGGTGCGTCCAGCACCGCCACGAATTCAGCAGATCCCGATGCTGCATCGGGTACAAGCGATTTCTTTGACCTTAAGCGCAGCTGGGGTAAGGCTGCGGACATCCAGCCCAACCAAGCCCATCCAGCGGCGCATGACTATCGCTATGGAAACCAGCGTTATCACCATGGTGATGTGCAGTACGACAGCTCATACTATGCAGGCATGCCTTCTCAGCAGGCAGCAGCTGCAGCAACAGCAGGAACAGTAGGTGGATATGATGAAGGGCTGGGTCTAAGTGCACCTCAGTACCAGTATTCCCAGGCCAGATATGGCCAGCAGGGAGCAGGCCGTCAATATGCTGCAACACAACACTATTATCCCCAAGCTGGGCATCTGCCGTCACATGGTAATACCTCGTATCACCAATACCCGGCCGGCTCAGCGTATCATCATCAACAGCAGCAGCAGCAGCAGCAGCTGCCCCAGTACATGCCAGAGCAGCTAGATCTCTATGGGTATGGGGCCACTGCTCAGCAGCAGCCCCATCACCACTACCAGCAACAGCAGCAACACTACCATCAGCAACAGCACTATCCTCATCAGCAGCAGCAACAACAACAGCGCACGGCGCACACAGCTCAGGGAGCCGGTGGTGGTCGTGCACCAGCGTCGGGCACAGGAGATTGGTGCGATCTGTTCTCGCAGCTAAAAACGTCCGAAGTGACAGCCACAACAATGCAGAATACATCCACTACCATATCAGCAAGGGATAACAGCGTGACGTTCACAACCACTACGACGAAAACAGTGACAGTCACGATGACACCTTCTGCTAGTTCGAACACAAGATCAATAACTTCGTCAAGCTCTGGGACGAGTGAGTTTGACTCATGGTCAGCGCACGCCCAATCCTTTTCCACGGGCTCATCGGATAGCCAGGCTTGTGAACTTCCCAGTGATGTAAAACAGAAGAGAAGCTCACTGGAGTCTGTTGGCAATGAAACAACGACAGTCAAAACTCAGCCGCCATCTCAAGCAAACAGCCGGAGCCGCATGATGTCAGCCACATCTCAAGGAAATGCAGGAGGCAATCCAGTGGAGGGCAGCACTCGTGGAACAAGTACGGTCCGCGGCTCAGCCGGCCAAAATGGACGCGGTAACAGCGGACACAGCAATGCTTCAGACAAGGTGTATGGTGGAGGCGGTGTGGGTATTGGCGATGCAACTAGCCAGATGAGTTACATAGAGAATAACAGTGGCACTGGTAATGGTCATGACACACACTATGTGCAGTGGCAATCAGCTCCGGACAATGGTAGCTTGCCTTCTCTGGTCACGAGTGACAAGCAACCTCGAGTGCAACCAGCCTCTGCCCGGGTACACGGCTCTCGATTCCAAGGCCTTGAAGTAGAGGAAACACCTACTGCCAGTGCCGAGAGCCAGGCAGAATCAATCAGTAAAGATACATCTGGGCAAGCGTCAAGAGGTGGAAAGGTGGCAGCGGAGCCCCACATATCAGACATGTCTCAGCTAGCAAGGAAATCTTCTGTAAGGCAACAGGCAGCCCAGTCCGCTTCAGCCAGTACAAAAAAGAAGCAAGGCAATGCTGCCACTGGCGGCAACAGCGGTTCCCGTAAGCAAGCAGAGAAGTCAACAAGCAGCAGCAGCGCTAAGAATGCGTCTGCTACAGCTAAGTCAGTCCACGCTGGGAAAGGTCAGACACAATTTGACAACAATCTACGCGGAGTATTCCAAACATCCAGCAAGAAGACCCCAGCTAAGCCTGCACCACCAGCCAACGAACCGAGCAAGGAAGAAACGGCTCGGCTTGCGTCGACTCGTGACTCGGCACCAAAAGCCCAAAAGTCCGGTGTTGACTTCGCCTCCAACTTGAGAGCACACTATGGGTCACCTGAAAAGAGTACCTCGTCCACTACTACAGCCAGTGAGGGCAAATCTAGTACCCAACAGAAAGAGAAGATGATTCCCGAAAAGAAAACATCTGAGCGAGCTGGTGAACATGGCACAGAAAAGCCGGTGAGTAGAAAACTGGACATGAGCTCATCATCTGCAGCAGCACAAACAGCCGACAAAGCAGCTGCCCCTGTCACCACTGCTACAACAACGCCAAAACCTACTGCTGCACCTGAAAAGGATCATACTGAGCAACCATCACGACAACAAAAGACCAGTGTGGCTGGCAAGCCTCGAGACCCGCCGAAAAAGCCTGGTGATTCAAGCACAGACAAGGGCGCCGTTCAACAAGGCACTAAGAGCAACTCCTCAGTGAAGACGCCACCTGACCCGCAGCTCAGACAAGCTGCACTCCGTGAAGATGATCCACACACAGTGCATGGCCCGGTGTTTGAAGACATGCCTGTGACATCAACACCAGAGGAAATCAAGCGGTCTAAGGAACTCGTGCTTGCTGGGAATGAATTTCAAAAGCAAGGTCAACTTCAACCAGCTATTGATCTGTATACTCAAAGTTTTGAGCTGGCTCCTGATTCAACGTTTGCGAAGACTACACTCTACAACAGATCGTCCTGTTGGATTAAGTGCCAATTCTTTGAGCAAGCTTTGAACGATGCGCATTCGTGCGTTCAAATCGATCCCTATTACGTGAAGGTATGTTCCCACGTGTGCTCGTAAAAGTTTATCTGACGCACGAAGATAAATGTATATGGCGTACGTAGATAAATGAAAATGATTTACAGATTTTTGAACACAAGCTAGCGTCAAGAGAAGGCTAAATAGCATTTTTCATTGGAAAGCAGCTACAGCACGTGAAATTTTATTGCTTGCAAGTCCACTGTCCACAGTGCTCTCTGGGGTATGTTTGCTTGAGCAATGGCACAGCCCTTTTTGAGCTTTTGAGCAACTCATCAATTCTTTCTTGCAATTCCCAGCCCGGCCACAGTTCATTCAGAAAGAGACCATACATAAGTCAGAAGTTGAGCTTCTTCTGATTTGCATGTGTGGGGTACTCTTCCAATTGTGTTTCTAAGGTCAATTCATGAGTTGCTGGTCCGAAACCCATTTCTGGCATAATTCGAATCAAGTTTCGAGCCTGATTGGTTCAGGTTTGAAAAGCGGCAAACATCAATGATTTCAGAAGGAACTGCAGTTTGAAAGTGTGTTGCTAGATACAATGTCTGGTACCAAAATCGTGTGTGTGACACATCGCATAGCTTTCACCATGCACAATGGTATCACCAGGATGTTACAGACAATCCGGCACTTCACCATGACGCTTTGGCAGAAAATCATCTTGCATCTCAGTTCTGGGTGCGCAGCATGACCAGACCATGCTTTTAGTCAGTGCTGCAAAAATCAAACCTCGTGAGTCAGTTAGCGCTGGACACTGCACAATCCCAGCCCTACGAACACTGCATAGGCTTTGCAGTAGTCTAGTCCCAGTGCTCACTCACTCCTGATCCTGGGTATTTGTGAGCACGACTGCACATGCTGACTACGAGTGTTGGAAAGGTTATGGTAGCCCATGGTCTATTCTTATCACAAGGGCAGGCGGTGTTAGCCAAGGGCAGGAGGTGCTAGCCAAGGGCAGGATGTGTTAGCCAAGGGCAGGAGGTGTTAGCCATGGACAGGAGGCATTAGCCATGGGCAGGAGGTGTTAGCCAGTGGCAGGAGGTGTTAGCCAAGGGCAGGAGGTGTTAGCCAAGGGCAGGAGGTGTTAGCCATGGGCAGGAGGTAATAGCCAAGGGCGGGAGGTGTTAGCCAAGGGCAGGAGGTATTAGCCATGGCCAGGAGGTGTTAGCCAAGGGCAGGAGGCGTTAGCCAAGGGTGGGAGGTGTTAGCCAAGGGCAGGAGGTATTAGCCAAGGGCAGGAGGTGTAAGCCAAGGGCAGGAGGTATTAGCCAAGGGCAGGAGGTGTTAGCCATGGGCAGGAGGTGTTAGCCAAGGGCAGGGGGCGTTAGCCAAGGGTGGGAGGTGTTAGCCAAGGGCAGGAGGTATTAGCAAAGGGCAGGAGGTGTAAGCCAAGGGCAGGAGGTATTAGCCAAGGGCAGGAGGTGTTAGCCAAGGGCAGGAGGTGTTAGCCAAGGGCGAGAGGTGTTAGCCAAGGGCAGGAGGTATTAGCCATGGGCAGGAGGTGTTAGCCAAGGGCAGGAGGTGTTAGCCAAGGGCAGAAGGTGTTAGCCAAGGGCGGGGGGGGGGGGGGTGTTAGCCAAGGGCAGGAGGTGTTAGCCATGGACAGGAAGCGTTAGCCAAGGGCGGGAGGTGTTAGCCAAGGGCAGGAGGTATTAGCCATGGGCAGGAGGTGTTAGCCAAGGGCAGGAGGTGTTAGCCAAGGGCAGGAGGTATTAGCCAAGGGCAGGAGGTGCTAGCCAAGGGCAGGATGTGTTAGCCAAGAGCAGGAGGTGTTAACCAAGGGCGGGGGGGGGGGGGTGTTAGCCAAGGGCAGGAGGTGTTAGCCATGGACAGGAGGTGTTAGCCAAGGGCAGGAGGTGTTAGCCAAGGGCAGGAGGTGTTAGCCATGGGCAGGAGGCATTAGCCATGGGACGGAGGTGTTAGCCAAGGGCGGGAGGTGTTAGCCAAGGGCAGGAGATATTAGCCAAGGGCAGGAGGTGATAGCCAAGGGCAGGAGGTGTTAGCCAAGGGCAGGAAGCGTTCGCCAAGGGCAGGAGGTGTTGGCCAAGGGCAGGAAGCGTTCGCCAAGGGCAGGAGGTGTTAGCCAAGGGCAGGAGGTGTTAGCCAAGGGCAGGAGGCGTTAGCCAAGGGTGGGAGGTGTTAGCCAAGGGCAGGAGGTATTAGCCAAGGGCAGGAGGTGTAAGCCAAGGGCAGGAGGTATTAGCCAAGGGCAGGAGGTGTTAGCCAAGGGCAGGAGGTGTTAGCCGAGGGCAGGAGGTGTTAGCCAAGGGCAGGAGGTATTAGCCATGGGCAGAAGGCGTTAGCCAAGGGCAGGAGGTGTTAGCCAAGGGCGGGAGGTGTTAGTCAAGGGCAGGAGGTATTAGCCATGGGCAGGAGGTGTTAGCCAAGGGCGGGGGGGGGGGGGGTGTTAGCCAATGGCAGGGGGTGTTAGCCAAGGGCGGGGGGGGGGGAGTGTTAGCCAAGGGCAGGATGTGTTAGCCATGGATAGGAAGCGTTAGCCAAGGGCGGGAGGTGTTAGCCAAGGGCGGGAGGTGTTAGCCATGGGCAGGAGGTGTTAGCCAAGGGCAGGAGGTGTTAGCCAAGGGCAGGCGGTGTTAGCCAAGGGCAGGAGGTATTAGCCAAGGGCAGGATGTGTTAGCCAAGAGCAGGAGGTGTTAACCAAGGGCGGGGGGGGGGGGTGTTAGCCAAGGGCAGGAGGTGTTAGCCATGGACAGGAGGTGTTAGCCAAGGGCAGGAGGTGTTAGCCAAGGGCAGGAGGTGTTAGCCATGGGCAGGAGGCATTAGCCATGGGACGGAGGTGTTAGCCAAGGGCGGGAGGTGTTAGCCAAGGGCAGGAGATATTAGCCAAGGGCAGGAGGTGATAGCCAAGGGCAGGAGGTGTTAGGCAAGGGCAGGAAGCGTTCGCCAAGGGCAGGAGGTGTTGGCCAAGGGCAGGAAGCGTTCGCCAAGGGCAGGAGGTGTTAGCCAAGGGCAGGAGGTGTTAGCCAAGGGCAGGAGGCGTTAGCCAAGGGTGGGAGGTGTTAGCCAAGGGCAGGAGGTATTAGCCAAGGGCAGGAGGTGATAGCCAAGGGCAGGAGGTGTTAGCCAAGGGCAGGAAGCGTTCGCCAAGGGCAGGAGGTGTTGGCCAAGGGCAGGAAGCGTTCGCCAAGGGCAGGAGGTGTAAGCCAAGAGCAGGATGTGTTACCTAACGGCAGGAGGTGTAAGCCACCTCAAGTTTTAAATCAGTTCAGCATGGTGATTTGAGGGTGGTGCAATTTTCCTCTGCATTGTCACCGATACACTTCCCCAAGACAGGTCAGGCACCTTATACCAGATGGGTATTCTGGTGATAGAAATATCCCTCGCTCAAACTGGGAATCTAGCACACAATTTGTATTTCAAAGCTACTGCAGTGAATTGGAGTGACTTCGTGTGAGACCGCTTAGACTATTACTTGAATACCGGTATATCTTGGATTCGGTTATTTCTTTTAGGCCCACCAGCGCAGGGCTGATGCAGCTCTGAAGCTGGGACGTATCGGTGAGGCACTGACCTATCGCTTAGAGCAGTACCAGGCTATGGAGAATGGGCCAGACTACTTCTCTCTCGAAGACTTCAGCACTACGCTGCATAAAGCTGTGGTGATTGCTGCACTGAGCCGCTCAGGTAAGCCAATGGCACTTCTTAAAGGGGAAGTATACCCTAAAATCAAATTTTCACCAGTTGTAGTCTTCGGGGTACTGAGTCGAATGGTCTTGGTCCGAGGAAGCTGAGACGCTCCCTTCCTTCTTTATTCCCAATCGAACTCGCGCACTTCCATCGAAACTGGGTGACTGCGCCCTACTAGATGGGGATTTGTATGCAAAATGTCACTAAAAGCGCCATTTCGTTCTTATAAAAGCACGGATGACCGCGATTGGCCCATATGTTGTAGTCTTTTGGACGCTGAGTCGACTGGTTTTGGTCCGAAAAGGCTGCGATGCAGCGTTCCTCGTTTATTCCCAATCGAACATGGTTGAACAAGCGGTTACGTGCTCCTGCGTACACCAGTCACCTGGTCACCGTGCCTGCAGGGTACAACTTGCTAGCCTGTTTGACCTTTTTTGGGTGCAGTCCTGTCACTCGAGTTGAACTCGAGTTGAACCTTGGTGTGAAAGTTGTCACCTGCTGGCGTGGTGACCAGGTGATTTGGGCACCCAGGAGCACGTGACTGCTTCTTCAACCATGTTCGATTGGGAATAAAGGAGGAACGCTGCATCGCAGCCTTTTCGGACCAAAACCAGTCGACTCAGCGTCCAAAAGACTACAACATATGGGCCAATCGCGGTCATCCGTGCTTTTATAAGAACGTCAGAGCACTTTTAGTGAGATTTTGCATACAAATCCCCATCTAGTAGGGCGCAGTCACCCAGTTTCGGTGGAAGTGCGCGGGTTCGATTGGGAAAAAAGAAGGAAGGGAGCGTCGCAGCTTCCTCGGACCAAGACCATTCGACTCAGCACCCAGAAGACTACAACTGGTGAAAATATGATTTTAGGGCATACTTCCCCTTTAAGTTCTATTCCCTTTTAGCTTTTTCGTCTTCCAACTGGTCTTTCCGGCACTGGGTTTCTAGTTTCTACACTGTCTTGTTTGTAGTGTTCCTAAAGTATGCGTGCTGCAGCTCTAGAGCCATGCACTGTTTACTTGAGAAGTTGGAATGACCTGAGATACACACACATGCATATGCGATTCAAGTGTGAAGTGTCACTCAGCATATTATGGTAAGCAGCTTTTATTTACGGATGTATGAAATAATTGAAAGTAAATACTAGTATATCAAAGCTCCCTTGCAGGAGAAGTCATGTCAAGTCTGAGAAGGCATGTTCACATCAGTGACTTTTAGTATTCACCAGTCACAAGTATAACCACCTCTGCATTCTGTGAATTTTGTCGCTCAGATGGATGCTTCAAGGAGCTCTGTTTGGATAGCAGTCTTCAGAATGAACAACACTTCGCGATGGTCATCGAGCATTTCATCAAGAATAAGTCGTGGGAACAGCTGGCGTATCTGCTGGCTGGGTCGTCCGGAGTGGACACGTTAAACAAGCGCAAGTACCAGGCTTCACCATGTGGCATCCTGCGCCATTTTCCTCGCTTGAGGATAAATGACGGGCGCAGGCTGTCCGTCACCGATCTCCTCTCCAGTGGCAGTAAGTTTAGCAGCCGCACTGTACTGCATCAGCTGCACCTGCTCGGCGCTAATTGGAATGTGCCCAACGCACACGCTGTGCATCCGCTACGAGCAATCTGGACAATGGCGCCGTTCCGAGAAAAGATCTTCTTGCTTCTCCTGGAGTGGGGTGCAAGCCCTCCAACAATATTCGGCGAGCCACCATGTGCAGATGTGTCTCCACTCCATGCTGCAACGCAGTTTGCACTCAAGGCAAAATCAGGTGGTAAGTCGACTCAGTATGTTGTCCGTACTGGCCATTCAGAAAATAATGATATTACATCTTGCTTTTGACCATAAATGGGTCCATGATTGACTTTTTCCAAAGTGCTTTTTCCATTTTTATTCATTGCTATCTTCCCAGTATATATATTTTTGATATGTATTTCTCCAAAAGGTGGACCATAACAGAGCCATTCTTTCGGCCGGGTTTAGCATTGATAGTTGTGCAGATATGCTGGTCCGAAACCCGTTTCCGGACTAATTAGATGTGGGTTATTTAGCCTGATACAAACTAAATCGGATTTGAAAAGGGCCTAATATCAATAATTTGTGAACGGATTGTAGATAACGCTCTCATGTGACATGAGCTGAACTAGTCATAACTGAAAGCTTTGCAGTGCAATGCGATGTAGTTCCACGGTATTCGTGATCATCGGGCAACTAGGAATTGCCGTGGTCTGGAGGTGCAGCCAGGTGAGACCCTGCTGAATGTAAAAAAATACTTCAAGTCTTTATCAGGGACCTTTGCCATCCATTCTGCCTCGCGGTAGTCTTAAAGAGAGGTATGTTCAACCACTGTATACTAGCTCCGCCAGTCCGGGAAATGATTGACTCTGGCACTACATGGTACACCCTGTGCGATGTCCACAGCTTCACTGAGTGACTGGACAAACAAAACATAAACAAGCGGCTCTCTTTTCTTGATCTTTGCTTCACTCTCCCCCATGCAGGCTTGGAAGAGCTACGTCGTATGCTTCAATTCATGTCCCGAGAGAAGGAGAAGACGAGTGACTGGATATGCAACAGTCGCAGGGAAAGTCCCTTTGATCTCGCCTGCAGAGGAAATCGCCAGGAAATCGGTGTCAAGGTGATTGAGGAGCTGGCAAATGTGACTTACGGCATCGACCCTGTCAAGTTTGATCCACCTCCAGAGCGAGTAAGCATGATTGATAGCTTTCTGAACTTCAATTAAATTTTCTAAAAGTCACCTGTGACCAGTATCTGTGCAGATCGGGGCTGGGCCTAGACACCATATGCATCACAAAGAACATTCTCCAGTGTATCCATCTACTGAAGTATTTCTGGAAGAATGTCATGGGATTTCTGGTGTAAGAAGTTGAAGCCAAGCATGCAGTTCCTGTCCAGGTAATTTCCTCGAGGTCCCTTAGCCTATTGATAGCCTACCATGCCTGCATGTGTACAAGACTCCATCATGAAGCAATGGAGGCGGCAAAACCGGGAAGGAATGCACATCTGTAAGACCCCGCCATCGGTTGCTTTCAAATAATGCTCTTATATTTTTGTTGTTGTTGTGTCCCATTGTTTCACAGGTACTAAAACGGGGTGATCACCGTGGCAGGGTTCTAGCTGAAATGAGAAAGAAATGGAATGAATGTCACACTGATGAAGCTAAGTTGAAGGTTCATCCTTCAGAGTCCAGTGCTAGTGCAGCACAAGTGACACTGGCTGAATCAAAGGAAACGACGGAAGGCAAACTTGATCATGCCATCAGCGTTGACACTGTCAAAGCCAAGACCAGCAATGTCAGCATTGACACCGCAATGGTCAAGACCAGTGATAAAACATCAGAGGCTGAAGCAGAGGTGTCGGAAGGAGCTGAAGAAGCCGCGATCTCAGAACCAGAGAAAACAGGACTGACAGCTGGGTCCGTGCACGAATCGAGCAAGCAGAAGAAGAGGAAAAAGAAGAAGGCAAAGAGGCAGGCTGCAGCGTGGAGGAGTGCCCTAGCCACTACACCGAGCAAGCATGTAGCTACATCTCCGTATGCTGGTGCAAGTGTACCGGACACTGTGGACGCACATGCTGAGAACGGTGGAGGCAGATCCGAACTGCAGCAAAGGCACGTCTACAGCAAACCAGAGTTTCAGCGATCGCAAAGTGGAGGAAAGCCAGATCGGCAGGCACATGAAAGAACCACATCACAGGCAGACACGTCTTCCCATCCAGAACTTCAAACCCAGACTTCAGTGAAGCCCGTGGGAACAAGGAAGACAATGGCAGCGGAGAAGGCTATGCTGCTTGGCGACATCCTATCTGCTATCAAGACTATGAAGGACTATGCTGAGGTAAGCAAATGTTCTCTGAGGACTGGGTTATCTACATGTTCTCTAAGGACTGTCTTCTGCACTGGGGGTTATCTACATGGGAACTGTATACACGATCAGTGCATTGATAAACGTCCCCCAAAACCTGTTGCCAATAGGAAATGTGAGCAGAACAAGACTGAACGCGGTCACTTTGTGCTTTGCTGGAGGAAGAACGTTTTCCCTTATTGCATGTGCTCATGAGTGCGTGAATTCCCGTTGTTCTGCTTGCCTTAGGAACGCCGCGATGAGTATGGTGTTCAAGAAGAGGAGGAGGCTGAGGCAGTTGATTGCACGGCACAAAGTGAGGAGCAAGCAACCGCTGACGATGACCTGCACGAAGATGACCAGAAGCTTCTGGAAAAATTCAACAAGGGTGCGTGGGAGCTGCAGTGCAGTCCAGAAGTCATATTCCAACTCAAAGACAAGGCACTGTCTGCTGGCACACGACTGAAGGTCATCCGATGCTTGGCACAGCTAACTACTGGTAGCTGGCCACAGGTGGCATGCTGTCCAGTGGAGCTGGATGACGTGGATAGCTCCTGTAATCTGTTTACCTGGAAAGTTGCGGATGAGAATGTCGTCATCATCTGGCAGAAATCCGTGGCTTTCTCACCCCGTCGCTCCGACCTGTCTGTCGTTGCGAGTGCTGAGGATGTTGACAGAAGTCGAATGGTCTTCACTGAAGTGTTGCGGGTGTGGGACGTACTAGCATCCGACGGTGACATCCAGAGGCGCTTGACGCACATTTGCCAGTGCCATAAGCGAGGCAGCACATCAGCAGTGGAGAGAACACTGCGACATTGTACCGGCGTAATGGAAGCAATGAGACACAACGGTGCTGTCATTCCCAAGGTGTTCTCGGACACTGGAGCAGGCACCCCTGGTAAAGCCAAAGGAATGGTCAAACTCCATGCTCCTGCCAATGCTGATGAGCAAGAGTATGATGTGTTGAAGTTCTACGCAGTGACCACGCCATTGGCTAATGCTCTCGTTCGCCGCGAGCAACTTACCCCAACCAACTTCCCGTTCTTGATCACTCCAGAAGAGCAAGCATACGTGTGCTGCAGCAATACTGAGTCAATGCTCCTTCTCGGACGCAGTGGTACCGGTAAAACTACGGTCTGCCTCTACCGAATGTGGTATCACTTTGAGCAGTACTGGATGAATGCATTCAAGAACAACACTGGTCCAACATTGCCGCGTGTGTTGAGACACCTTAAAGACAGTGACAACGATGGCTATCACTATGATGGCTATGATGCAGACGATAACCTTTACGAGGATGGCAGCGCTGCCAACAGTGGAGTTGGTGCTGAGGCTGATGCCCCTGCACCTGAAATCTATGACGATCTGCATCAGGTCTTTATCACCAAGAATCCGATTCTCTGCAAGCGCATGCACCGCAACTTTGCTCAGCTGATCCAGGGCTCAACGGATGAGATCTCTGAGACGCACGACGCCAGTCTCCCGCTGCCATCCTGCTTGCAGGATCTGATAGGCCAGCACTATCCGCTGTTCCTGACTTCACGTCAATGGCTTGTGCTGCTGGATGGCTCCTTGCCGGGCCACAGCTTCTTCGAGCGGCGGCATACCCACGGCCCACCGATAGACAACACCTTTGCAAGCGCAGACCAGGATGGTAATGAGGTGGTTGAAGATTTGCCGGATGATTGTGATGATGGCTTTGACCAGTTCACAGGAAATGGTGCTGAACAGGAGGAGCAAGAAGGCAATGCAGCCCAGGCAGATGTGGAAGATGAGCGTGTGTCCGTTCAAAGGCGAGAAGTTACATACCATGTAAGTTACTTCTTGCTAGCGTACTAGCACTAGTACTAGCGGGACGTCGGACGGTATTTTAGGGTGTTATGGTCAGCCATCTGTAGGACGATTACAGCGCCCCTGAAATAGGCTGTAACGCCATCAAGAAGATTTTGCATTGAATGCTCTGAACAGCTGAGGGGCGTAAAGAGGTCGACTGCCGCAAAAGTGCAGCTTGCATGGTCTGCTAACATTCCTGATACTTGACTGACTCAGTGCAGGCATGAGCATGTTAAAAACCTTCCACACAGCAGACTTTCTCCAACACCACTCTACTCAATGACTGTGTAGGACTGGGGAAGATAAAATACCAAAATCAGAAGATAACTCTGTGAATGGCGCAGTGGAGATTATGGTCGAAATGCCTTCAGTTTATCATTCCTTTTTCCAAGACGCATTGATACGTGCAGCTTATTAATGCGAATAGAGCATTCTGTGAAAGGGAACAGTGCTTATGAGTGCAATGCTGTCTGTGCTTACTGCACAGGTCTTTGCCACCGAGCTCTGGCCAAAGATTGCCAACAGCAAGATTCGGGAAAGGTTCCATCCGCTGCTTATCTGGTCAGAGATCAAATCCTTCATCAAGGGCTCCTTCAAAGCTCTGACTTCCAGCACCGCGCAGCGTAGCTACCTGAGTAAGGATGAATATCAGCAACTTGGCAAGAAGATGGCGTCCAACTTCAGTGGCGATAGGTCGCTGGTGTATGAGGTGTTTGAGCGCTACAGAGATGAATTGCAGCGGAGGCGTCTATACGACGAGTGTGACCTTGTGCACAGTATTTACCAGCGACTGGCAGATCCTGGCTTCAAGATGTCAGATGAGTGGGCTCTACACCGGCTCTACGTGGACGAAGCTCAGGACTTCACACAAGCTGAGCTGGCAATCATCTTGAGAGCAAGCCAAGATGCCAACAAGCTCTTCTTGACTGGCGACACAGCGCAGAGCATAATGCGAGGGGTGCACTTCCGTTTCAAGGACCTGAAGTCACTCTTCCACGATGAAAGCACGAAGATTGGCACCGCCCCGTCGCATCATGCCGCGGCTATCAGGGTACCACCAGTGAAGCACCTTGAGTACAACTATCGCTCTCACTCCGGTGTCCTGGGCATGGCAGCGAGTGTAGTCGACCTCCTATCGCGCTACTTTCCACAGTCGTTTGATGAGAACTTGCCACGGGACAAGGCACTGTTTGATGGGCCAAAGCCAGTCATCTTGCAAACGCACTCTGTGGCTGACCTATCCATGGTTCTGGCCGGAAACAAACGCAGTGGATCTCACATTGAGTTTGGAGCTCGCCAGGTGAGTAGGCTATTGTAAATGCCAATGTTTGTTCTTGTCCTAATGCCCCTTTGGTGTGATTTCTTCATAATTGCCTATGTCCCTGCAATCTGAACAGACTGAGAATGCTAAAGCTACTTTTCCGCCAAGTCCACTTATTATTTTGATAATTTCAATAAAAAATAGTGCTGAATGTGCTGAGAGCAGAGCCTTCGTACACATGGGAGATAGAACCACTCAGGATTAAATTATGTACAGCTGCCCGGAGAGTTCCATAGGTATAAAAAGCTCGGAGCAGTGACCTAATCCTACTTGGGCGTTTTCTTCCATGTGTCTCGAAATGTATTTTGAAAATCGGCTGTTTGACATGCATCAGTTGATCAGTGTGAATCAGTACCACAATGCAGTAAAGGGTTTACTTATGGATGAAAAGGAGAAGGACAAAATGGTACGAATTATGACTAACTGTCCACCAACGTTTTATCCATGATTACATTGTCTCAGCAGCCGGGTTTACTTATATTCATTATTGTTCACATGATATCCGCCGGATGAGGACGTATGGCACATGCCACGTAGGAATCCACGAATACGAACCAGCATGTGCTGATCAGGATTCTGTGCATGTGTTCTATTCCATTGCCGGTCCTATTCACAGGTAATTCTTGTCCAGTCTGCGGAGGTGAAGGAAAAACTTCCGAGCCAATTTGGCATGGCACTTAAGATGACAATATTTGAAGCCAAGGGCTTGGAGTTCGACGATGTTCTTCTCTACAACTTCTTCACTGACTCCAAGGTATGGATGAACAGTAACGAAATACAATGTAGTGCAGTGAAGCCTGTCTGAGACGACCGATCAGGGACCTTCAAAATGTGGTCTGTTATCAGGTGGTCTCCTTATCCAGGGTCATTTGACTGGAATTAGCACCCTTTGGTCCTGGTTTCAGTGGTCTTTTAGGACAGGTGGCCCCCTGGTCCGAGTGGTTTCCTTGACAGGTGATCCCCTGGTCGAGTGGTCTCCTTGACAGATTGTCCCCTTGTCCGAGTGGTCTCCTTGACAGGTGGTCCCCTGGTCCGAGTGGTCTCCTTGACAGGTGGTCCCCTGGTCTCCTTGGCAGGTGTTGCTGTACCTGTGTACCTGTGGACCTGTGCACTTCAATTAGGTACCTGTGAAATCTCAACAGAGCATTCAGATGTACATGACACTAGTAGTCAGCTACAGTTGTGCTCGGTGAAATCCGTCCCAAAGTGCATAGTTGGTGCCCTGAATGGCACGGCCCTCGACGCCCTGGAATTAATACGAATGCGGCTGGACGTACTACACATGTACAAGTACCAGTACAGTGATGTAATCGGAACTGGTCCAGGGCGCCAGCTTTGCACTTTGGGTCGGTGAGCGCAACTTTACTTGACCATGCTATCCATGAATCAGGCGGCTGTTTGGGAATTCGTTGGCAGTTACCGAAGTGTGAATTGTCCACGGCGATATGCTTGGATATTGAATGCATGGCCCAGTATCTGATGCACATACATGTTGGTTTGATTTGGGTTCGTTTTGGGGTGTGACACTGTGAGTCTTTACACTAAATCACTTGATATCCAGTAGCAGTTACTCGTATACCCGCCATAACACCCAGGCAGACTACTCGCCGCAGTTTGATTAACAAAATGGACATCCAGATAGCATGCTGCTTTTCCTCATTCAAGCCTTGTGCATGAAAAATAAGTCTGTTGCAGTCAGTTGCAAAGTATACTATAATATGCAGGATTCTAGCCAGGTCAAAATAGTAGGGGGGAGGGGGGGGGGGACATGGGAAAAGTTACCCCGCATCCCATTTTTCCACTTTCCAATATTGTCTTGCCACGCTAAATGCAATTGTATGGAGCGAATCCCCGACTTCTTCCCAGACAAATGTGCCTTTATGAACCATCCAACAGTGACTTTCGACTGCATTAATTGCATGAAAAACACGAAAATCGGAAAAATGAGTGGCGGCACTTTTTCACAGGGGGGGGGGGGGGTGCGCAAACAGAGTATAGGCAGGGGGGGGGGGGGCGATACCCCCACCCCCCTTTGGCTAGAATCCTGATATGTTCTGCTAACTACAAGCACAAGCAAGAGGTGGTTGCTGTACGACTCGTAGAATTCCCGCGGAAGTCCCAACAATGTAGAATTGGAACCACACAGTGAAATGCTGTGTTCTATCCGCTGTTTGTATTCTTTTCAGGCAAGTAAAAAAGATTGGAGAGTTGTCACGCAGCACCTGGAGGAGTGGCTGCAGCAGAACCCAGCAGAAGGCCTTGCTAAAATCGATGATGACGATTATGAATACCCAAGGCCACTGGATTTCAACAACGACAAGCACAAAGTACTATGCTCGGAGCTGAAGTACCTGTACACTGCAATAACCCGTAGCCGTGTCAATGTGTGGCTGTACGATGAAAATGATGAATGCCGTGCTCCAATGTTTGACTACTTCCGCCGACGTCGCTTGGTTCAAGTACGAGATACAAGCAGTGGAGGTGAGAATCATGTGACTCAAATAAATCTTTCCTGGTACTACTACCCGGGCATGTGTTAGTCATTGCCACTAGCAAACAGTAAGGCCATCTTCGTGTTTTCTTCACAGAGGCATATATCGACTTGTAGAGGGAGAACAGAGGTTTAAGTTGCAACTAGAGTTTGCATCAAAGTGATCCGCAGGCAACAATTCTACCGTTCAAGTAACATACCTTTTCCAAAACTACTTGAAGATTCATGCCAAATGGCACAACTTGCCACACGTGGCAAACCCCATTTTCCGCATTCATTCAACCCTCGTGCCAGGTCACAAGTACCCAATTGACTGTTATTGTATAATGATGTATTGCTTTCCTGTGTGATGACATTCCCCAAACTGTCTTCGTCTAGTCGCATGCATGTGTGATATGAGCATGCGCGATGTTGTAGTCAAGAGTCCTTTTGTCAGTCTTCTTGTTCGCTCTTTGAGTGTAGTCTGCGTTTCCGTCATGTCAATAATATAATAGTGTAACAAAGAAGTCTTGTCCTTTGTGTCCTGCGTCCCGGGGAACGGAATGGCGGGTGATTCCGTTACACGGTGGTGCGCAGCATAGCTGGGAAATTCCCCAGACTTCCAAGCAGGAGGATGCAAACTCCAAGAGACGGAAATAACTTGCCATTGTGGTACTTCTTGCATCATTTATATGCAGAGAATGCGCGTACGCAGCAACCGCAAATAAGTCAAATAGTAATTCTAAAACAAACATTTTTGCTATCAGTGTTCAGAGCAAGGTACCGGCGCATGTCCTAACTTTGACTGAGGGCATCTGGTTGTGATAACAGTCTTCATGGTGTTTTCTTCTCGCATTGATTGCCCCATACTGCATCTTGTAGATCTGACCGATGTCTTCTCCAAGCATTCAACGGCTGCCGAGTGGGAAGACCGTGGCGAGTATTATCTCGAGCATCGCATCTATGACATGGCTGCTGAATGCTTCAAGCAGGTAAGCAAGCACTAACCTGATTTGTCACGAGAATAAAAGGCTGCTAAGAAAGAACCGTCGAAAGCATTAGTGTGAATAGTATTTTCAGCATGTGCAAGGGCATGCATGTCAACCAACGTTGCACGCAGCCTACATTATACCACCCCCCCCCCCCCCCCCACACACACACACACTTGCTCAGTGGTCACATAGGTCTCCTTTTGAAGGGAACAGAAATTCAGAAGAAATATTGCAATACAGTGTCCGGCTTTATGGCGCTTACCTTCCCCTGTTTGGAATTACCACCGATATCCATGAACGCTTCAGGTTGGAAGGCCGTTGGTTAGCCCTATCAAGCAGTGCTTAAACTCACTCTCATGTTGTGGAATGTCACAGTCTCAAGACTCCTTGTCAGTGTTGTGCTATCTGCTGTATTATACACATCTGACCGTTCAAGATCGAGTCTACTCGGCGGACTCTAACACATAACTTGTGCCCCACTGTTTTCCTCGTTTTGTTAGAATAATTATTACAAAGATTGGCAAAGATATTCTAAAGTTCGGAGCTATTGAAATGGTCATGAATCTGTATGTTTCGATTGTTTCCTGTTGTGTTGTCTGAATTTTACTTACAGGCTGGTGAGCATGACCGTGCATGTCAGGCATATGCCTTTCAAGCTTTCAACGAGGCCAAGAAGCTCCGAACCAACGAGCAGCACAAATCCCGGCTAGGGTTTGTGCGTGCCGCCGAGTTCTTCATGCGAGTCAATGACTATGAGCCGGCTGTCCGCAGCCTCAGACTGGCTGGAGAGTTTCACATGGCCGGTCGGCTGTATGAGGAACTTCACAAAATCAGCGCGGAACACGGAGATGGCGACATGCAAAGCTCTGAGAAGGTGAGCATGTATGCTGTGTGTTCTTGTGTGTAGTTGTATGATTGGTGTATGCACACAACGCAATCCGACACACAACCTCATTCCACACCTACACATTTGCCGATTATTTAAGGCTCAAAACCATGAGGAAAAAGCTAACGGCAATGCATTTAGTGAAAATTAAAAGCGTTTCTGGGTGTTTCCGTCATCAGATATTACTCTTTGGATCACCCTCAAATTTACGGGATTTCTCGCTTACTTCCTCCGCATCATTAAAATTGTCGCTTCCCAGTGCGATTTTTCAAATTTATTTTCTCCACTCGAAGGGCAAAGAAATCAGCTAGAGATTGAGGCAGAGCATTGTCAACGAACCAAGCTTTAGTTTGTGGCCTCCTGCTTTGCTGCGCTTGCAGCTAAGGTCGACCTCTTCATCAGAGTTTGAGGCAGACCCTTCAGCACTCAACAATACGCTGAACAAGAGGCGCCTTCAAATTCTTGTCAAGAAACTTCGTTTTCAAGCGATCCATGCCTCCAGGTGGCAGGGGATGACGGCAAACTAGCATTTTCAAGTACACTGTAACGACCTTCCAGCGGGATGGGGTAAGCAGTTCTGCACCTTCTTTCCTTGGCAAGTGCTTCGCTGATTTTGTTGGTGTTTTCAGACCTGCGACCTTCGCAGCAACGTGTGCCACACGTAGCGCATTTTAGGAATTTGAGAACACTTTGTTCTTGCCATCGTCAACTTCAGCCTTTCGTATTCAGGAGAGACACCAGGACTCTTATACCCGAGCTTTCAGTCTTGACAAATGCCCATGCGAACGATGTGGGATGGCACGAACTCCAGAAAAACGATACGCGCTCTGGGGCGGAATAGTCCGGAGCGCGATGAATTTGCTTGGTGTGGAAGAGAACAAGTAACAAGTAGACATTGCGCAGGAAGGGTTGCACCTATGCTCGAACACAGAAAATTGCGATTCCGAAAGTCGGACTAAGACGAGCAAGTCACAAACACTGCGATGTGCGAAGCGACAATTTTAATGATGCGGAGGAAGTAGATTTCTTACTAAAACGTGTAAATTTGAAATGTTGCGTTTTAGAAATTCAGGCTGCAGTGTTTAGCGCGCAAGTTTGTGAACAGTTCGAAGTTTGCGATTCGGTGGGCACCACTTGTGAAAATATATGATTGTGTTGTAGTACAGGAAAGGGGTGTGAGCAATCACAATCACAGCATTTCGCCTATTCATTTCAGGGAAATATATATTCAATGTGTCGGTCATGATCAAGAGTACATAACCCCAATGGTGTGCAACTCTGACCTCCGAGCTATGGGTTCCATGCGCGGCGCGTTGCCTTCATTACGTAGTGAAAATGACGATCCAGCTGCATGACAGCTGCATGGATTTGAGTTTTCCGGGCCTACGCGTAAGGCTCAACGATTTCACGTGCAATACGGCAAGTTCCACGACAATGCCTGTGCGTTACGCATCACGTCCAAAACCATCCGAAGTCTCTGAGGAAAGAAGATTTGGAAGCAGGAAACCGGTGCAGATCAATAATAGGGAGATTTCGCTCTACGGAATTACGTATGAGAATAACGTAGGAACTGCACGTTATTTTCATACGTAAAAATCAGCGCTGTTGGGTTTGGCTCTACGTGATTTCTCCACGACTGCTAAACATGCCTTGTTGCTTTGGAAACGCGTGGACTGCATGCGCCCACCGCATGCACCACGAACCGAAACCGCGTTTCCATTTTATTTTGCACGTGATGTACGGTGTGTGTACCTTGTGTTTCGCGCGGCTTGAACGTTGCCATGGATAAATCCGGAAAACGCGAAAATATGTCAAAAAATCCTACGGAGGACCCAACGTAGGAAAGAGCTTTTCTACGGAAATCCGTAGAGAGATTTACGCATGAAAGTTACCCTCGCTCCCCGGTGCGTACAACATACGAATTTTCATACGTAATTACGTAGAGCGAAACCTCCCTAATGACTCGATGGACCACAGTTCGTGGCTACGTATTGCGGGCAGCGCGCCACGCCAGACCCCACATGCACAGTTGCACACTCTTGGGGTTATGCACGTTTGCCATAATCAGGAATGAAGTGGGCATGGGTGGGATGGGGTTCGAAAGAGAAAATTCAGTTGACACACACACCTTTCCAACTTCCATGCCCACTTCACAGATAACCCTTGTGATTAAAAGGGCTCTTTTAATTTAACTTAAAAAGTTCAATTCTAAAAGCTGTGTTCTTCCTAGTTTGAACACTTAGGCTGTGTTTACATGAGAAATTTCAACCCGGGTCGAGTTCAGCCCGGGTTGAAAGTCTGTACGATAGACAAAATAGGTGAGCGTTTACATTTACATGAAGACAGTTGACCCGGGTCAAATGCTGATATGCCGCCAAAAGTCCACTTCTAGAGTCCTGTATGGTCACGTGAATCCGTTCGCGCGAAATTCGCATATGCAGTGCTGTTCAAACCTGGCGCGAGATACGCACAGAAGATTTTCTTGACCCGGGTTGATTTCGGGAGGGTTGAAATCAACCCGGGGCGAAATTTCAACCCGGGTCAAGCGCAATGCGTCATGTAAACGCGCCATTCATTTTGTGTACATGGGTTGAAATCTGACCCGGGTCGAACTTAACCCGGGTTGAAACGCCTCATGTAAACACAGCCTTACTGACATAGTGGTCTCTTTGCTGCTATAAACCTTTCAAATTAGGATTACTGAACACCTAATTCCCAGGGTGAAGGCCATCCTTGGTGTATTTTATTGGTTCACCCTGGAAATTTGGTAATTCTGTTCAGTATATATTTCGGTGTTCAAGTTAAAGGGGAAGTTAAGGCAAAAATTAAAATTTCACCAGTTGTAGTCTTCGGGGTGCTGAGTCGAATGGTCGTGGTCCGAGGAAGCTGAGACGCTCCCTTCCTACTTGAATCCCAATCGAACTCGCGCACTTCCACTGAAACTGGGTGACTGCGCCCTACTAGATGGGGATTTGTATGCAAAATGTCACTAAAAGCGCCATTTCGTTCTTATAAAAGCACGGATGACCGCGATTGGCCCATATGTTGTAGTCTTTTGGACGCTGAGTCGACTGGTTTTGGTCCGAAAAGGCTGCGATGCAGCGTTCCTCCTTTATTCCCAATCGAACATGGTTGAACAAGCGGCCACGTGCTCCTGCGTACGCCAGTCACCTGGTCACCGTGCCTGCAGGGTACAACTTACTAGCCTGTTTGACCTTTTTTGGGTGCAGTCCTGTCACTCGAGTTTGGTGTGAAAGTTGTCGCCTGCTGGCGTGGTGACCAGGTGATTTGGGCACCCAGGAGCACGTGACCGCTTGTTCAACCATGTTCGATTGGGAATAAAGGAGGAACGCTGCATCGCAGCCTTTTCGGACCAAAACCAGTCGACTCAGCGTCCAAAAGACTACAACTTATGGGCCAATCGCGGTCATCCGTGCTTTTATAAGAACGAAATGGCGCTTTTAGTGACATTTTGCATACAAATCCCCATCTAGTAGGGCGCAGTCACCCAGTTTCGGTGGAAGTGCGCGAGTTCGATTGGGATTCAAGTAGGAAGGGAGCGTCTCAGCTTTCTCGGACCAAGACCATTCGACTCAGCACCCCGATGACTACAACTGGTGAAATTTTAATTTTTGCCTTAACTTCCCCTTTAAGCAAAGTGCAGAAGGCGTCAGTGGAGTTTGCAAATCCTTGAACAAACTGCGTTCTGCACCTGTTGTTTTTGTTTTGCTGTGATTTAGATCATCGGAGCAGCTTACATGTACAAGCAGGCTGGTGACATATCTGCGGCAGTTCGCTGCTTCCAGACTGGCCACCAGTACCAGTCCGCCATTGATCTACTGACACGAAACGGTCGACACCATGAAGCAAGAGAAGTGCGCAAGAGCTTCGAGCTTTTGAAGGAGCAGAATCCCACCATTGGCGATGAAGTGGAAGAACCTGATCAGACGGTCGAGGACATTGCCTACTGTGAAGCACAGCAATGTCTCAAAGAGAACCGAGATGATGGCCTTGAGCAAGCCATGGAAGACTTGCCGTGGGATATGCAGGTCACGCTTCTCTCGGAGCATGGTCAAGTGGACAGAGCTGTTCAGGTACTTGTCAAAAATGGCCAGCAGCAGGCAGCTGGTGAGCTGCTCCAGTACCACAACCATTTCCAGCAAGCCATAGAGCTTTACCAGGATGACACCCGCAGTGCAGTTGCAAAGTCAGTGATGGGCAAGTGCCACTTGCTACTCTGCCGGACATCTTTGGATGATGAACAGCGCGCAATGCACCTGCAATCTGCTCTTGACTTGGCTAGGCAAACTGAAGACAACATTCTGGAAGGAGAGGTGCATCTATGTCAACGTCGTGCCGAAGACGCAATCATGGCCTTCCGGTCGTCTCCCCATCGTCGGCAGTTTGCTGGTGAAATTGAAGCAGTGTGTCTGATGAAGGAGCAGTGGAAGTACGTAGCTGACTATGTTGGAGAAGTGAAGTACCTCAACTTTCTGACCCAGTCAATGTCGCTGACTCTCAGCCTGGCAGCCTCCTTTTCCGGAGGACAACCAAGTGTGTCATGGTACACGGATCATGTTGAACGATTTCTCGAGTATTCTATTAACGGGACAGGTGAAGTGAAGTTCCATTACGGCCCTGCTAGTCGATTGGCACTGGGCATCAAGGACATCACCGAAAAATCCACAGTCGAGAAAATCCACGGCAAACTAGGCGAGTACTACATGAAGAAATCGGAACATCTGGCTACCTTCCACGGGCACACCGATGCCGAGAGCGACGTTTATCTCCCACAGTGCCTGGTGCTAGCTATCGAGAACCATATGCCCTGCGCACACTGTCTCAATGGACTGCATGAGAAATGCAACCAAAGGCATCAGCACCTTGAGACAGTCCTGGTCCTCCTTGGGAACCTGATCCAAGTGAAAACAACCCTGGAGAATTACAAGACTCGCCTCTCTACAAAGTATGTCCAGCAAGTAACAGCTTGGGACTGTGTGGAATGGGAGAAAATTGATGATCTGATGAACTTAGTTCTTCTTGAGACCCGCGTCCACTTCCCTCTCGTCTCCGCCTCGGCACTGAGGGGTGTCCGTGGCAAACCAGAAGCTAGAGCAAGACTGGAAGATCGATTGAGTGCCATGGTTTCTGAGGAGAGACGTGTGACCGCACAGCAGCGTGGCCTGGGAGAGTACCTCAAGGCCTCCATGTTAGCCGGGATCCTGGAAAGTGACACATTGTTGGACGACTACCCTCTATTCAACGTCAAGGTCAATTTCTGGCAATCTCATCTGCATTCACTCCACTGTGATGCTCATCCCGTTGAAGCAATTCGACACTTGACCGTGCTTTACAGCAGCTTCCGAGCATCGCAGTCAAATCCTAGATCAGTTGATCTTGCTACCGAGCTTTTCCTACTGGAACGCATCTTCACGCTGACCGTTCTCACAGCTACACGCATGAGAGAGCGGTACAAGAATCCCTTCTTCATACCGCAATGGTACCTGGACTGCCTACAAAGCTGGGAAACTCTGGTCGTAGCCAAAAATGTCATCCCGTGGAAGTCTGTTTTCGAAACCATGGACACGACTAACATTGAAACCCTAGCTGACAATCTGGGCAACAAGGTCATCCCTGTCGTAGTGGGCCGACTACAGAACCTTGATATTCTGGCAATCATGAAGGCAACCAAGCAGCACCTCTCGAGCGACACAAACCTTCTGGAACGCTATCTTCTGTTAGTACTGATGGTTGTCCTTCAGGCATCAGCCAGAAACAGTCTTGTTTCCTCGGAATTTGCCAAGCGACTGTTTGAGAAGGCACGAGTTGTTGCGAATGATGTGCTAGCAAACCAATGGCGCTCACCATTCACAGGAGGAACTTGCCGTTGTCGTCAACTACTAATTGACATCAAATTTGGTTTGGAGATGACATTCGATAATCTCGTGTCGTGCCTTGAGAAGTTCTTCCCCATCAAGGACGTTTTCTTCACAAAATCAATCAAGTGCTACACGTCCCAGTCCCGCAGGCGTGTACAGAAAGCTGTGATACTGAGGATCCCTTCAGCGCAATCCAGGCAACAACCTTCCAAGGCCAAGCAGTCTCTAGCACCACTGAACACCACCAGAGCACGACCACAACAATCCTTTATTGTTCCAGGTGCACCATCAAACAAGAGTGCATGGCTCAAAAAGCCAAGTTTCGTGGACAAAACTCTAGCAAACCAAACCAATCAGCAGGCACAGTTATCAAACAGTGCTGCTGAAACTGGTGTAAGAGTCGCTGATGGTGCAACTGATGGAGAACGCGAGGAACTACCAAGTATTGTCTCACCTGGTCCTGGTGAAATGCCAGATGCAAACCAAAAAGATATTGACACCCCAGAAATGGTCCTAGCGAGTGAAGAACAGCCAGAAGGAGATAATTATTCTGCGGTGGACTACTCGGGAGAACAAGACGATGGTGTACTGGACTACTCCGCAGATCAAGACAATGTCGTACGGCAAGGCTTCACAAGCAGCTATGACATGGACAGAAGTGAACGAGCACTAGATGACACCACACCAGCTGTCCCTGAGGGAATTGATGTATCCCTCTCGGAAGCCGAAGGCAAGCAGGACGGCATGAGTGCACAGCTGCCGACTGACTTTAAGCCCGATGAAGATGATGGGGTCAGCGGTGACGATGCTGCATATGGAGCTGAAGATGAGTACGAGATGACTGAAGGCTTTGAGGAGGAAGAAGAAGATATCGATGATTTGGACAATGAAGATCGCGGTGATGAGATGAAACCAGCAGAGGAAGACGCTATTGAGAATGAACCGTGGAATGAATCGGAGAATATCGACCTGAACTTTGAACTACAAGGGCAAGCAACTATGTTCAGCCAAGCAAGGGCCTCAACTGACAATGATCTTCCCCCTGTGCAGCAAAATGCTGAGCAGTTTGTGCAGAAGTACATCATCCCACACGGCATGGACAATAATGTGTGCACAGTGTGTGGTGTGCCGTTCACGAAGTCAGGACTCGGTCGCCTACAGGCTCTGCAAAGACAGACAAACAGTGGATCAACTCCCACGTTGAGCCAGAAAGATGAACACATGGCGTCGGTAGACCATATCCAACAACAGAACTGCTTCGAACGGTACAAACAAGTGGCATTGGAAATTGTTCCAGCCATATGCCTATTGAAAACAGTCATATCCCGGCCAAAGACACCCGCAGAGAAAGGCATCAAGGATATGATTGATGCCAAAATGAAGCCGCTTCACGAGTGCATTCGCCGCATTGAAACTGCCCTTGCCGATGCGTCAAACGGCTTGGCTTGGCAACTTGCAGAGATCAATATCATGGAACGTCTGCTGGAATTCATGAAAAACTGGAGGAATGTACATGCCTTTTACCAGAATCGAGAGCTTGAGCTTGTTCCCAGCAGAGATCAGATGTTACTTGGATATCAACAGCTGCTTCTCGAAAATGAACAACGTCATGTACAGGAGCAGAAACGCCACCAGTTGCAGGAAGAGGAAGGGAAGCAAATGTCCACAGCACAGTATGAGCCGCAACAGCAAGGTCAGACAGAGCAGCAGAAGGATCACCAGCATCGCTTCCACCAGGATCTTTCACAAAGTGAGCACCAAGAGCAGCTACAACAGCAGCAGCAGCTACAACAGCAGCAGCAGCAGCAGCAGCGCCAAGAGCAGCTACAACAGCACCACCACCACCAGCAGCAGCAGAAGCACCAAGAGCAGCTACAACGGCAGAAGAGTGAACCGCAACTGTATGAACAGCAACGACAGCAGCAAGAGCAGTCACACCACCTGCAAAAACAACCGCAGCCGCATCGTCAACTACCACAGGCACAAGAACATCACCAGCAACTCCAACAACCACTGCAACAACAACCGCTACCACAATCTCAACAACAACTGCGACCACAGCAACAGCAGGAACAGAAGCAGCAACAAGTGCAACACACGATGCAGGCTGTGCCACCAATGCAACAGCAGCAGCAGCAGCAGCAGCAGCACCACCACCAACAACAACAACAGCAACAGCAACAACAACAACAACAACAACAACAACAACAACTACAACAACAACAACAACAACAACAACAACAACAACAACAACAGCAACAACAACAGCAACAACAACAGCAGCAGCAGCAGCATGTGCCAAATGCATCACGGCAGGTTTTCCAGCGACAGCAGTCACATCCTATGCAACAGATGACATCACTTATGGGTCCACCACCAATTCAACAACATCCTGCACAGTCGCCGTATCCTCAGATGGCGGCAATGGTTCCACCACCACGGTATAGCCCGGGACAACCAGCAACTGTGCCACCATCACCATTGCTATTTCCAGCACCACCAATGCAAGGAGCTTCGCCTCACTTTTTGGCCGTGGCAGCTCACATACAGGCAAACATGCCGGCTTCACAGCAGAGACCATTGTTACCGCTTCCACTACCACAGCCACAGGGTTCATTTCCACCACCTGTTCTGCTAGTGCCAGGACCAGCAACGGCGGCCATGGCTAACCTCCAGCGGTATCCAATGCAGCCCCAACAGATGCAGTCTCAGGGTGCACAGTCGTTTAATCAGCCACAGTATGGTCAGCGTCCAGGCCCACAACGTCAGAATAATCAACAGAGAAGACCCACAGGTTCTCGAAGTTTTCACTTTGCTGGAAAATTTGATAACCCCGCTCATGAAGACCTTGGGGAAGACATAGCCGCTAGAGCTCGAAATCTGAAGCCTCGGAGACACAAGCAACCACGTAAAAGATAGCGCAGTGAAATTTGAAGCTGCTGAGTGTGAAACGTGCATTTACTATCATTTTATTAGAAGTAAAATGTGCAAGTCATTGTGATCAATTGTGTAATTTCAAATCCTTATTCCCTTTGCTCTGATCAATGATGCCATTGGAACATAAACTGGTGCAAGCAAGTCAGTTGAGTTCTAAATTTCTTTACCTTGCGATTTTTGTTTTCAACTCCTTGCTTTTACAAGTACGAAGCTGACAGTATCATTTTTTGTGTGCGAATACTAATAGCTCAGTTGAGCCTCCCGAACTATTTGTTTAGTATCTTGTGTTTTTTCTTATCATTCTAACAGAACTTGTTATGAATTCGAAATCTATGTATAGCCAAATAGCACATGCTTGATTACATAAGACCAGCACCAGTGCAGATGATATACATGTTCTTGGTACATTGCATTCGAATATCACAATGTGGTCGACTGGACTTCTCTTTTGTTTTTTTAATTTTAAAGAACTATTTCTGAACTCACTTGCACATTCATTTCCCCATAACTACATTGGCTTTTGGTTTTTTTTGTACTTCAAAGCATTATTGGAAATACTAGACTGACTGGAATTGCTCACACCAGCAACCAGCCAGTACCAAGCACGGCTGGAATAAAATGTAGCGTGTTCTGCTTGTTGCATATTGTGTAATACTGTAATTATAACATGAATCATAATGATGTCAATGGTGAACATTAGAAATGGATGCGCTTTTATGAATACACGTACGTCAATACTCATCGAATGTTTCTGGTTTATGATGTATTCCACAGGAGTACAAAGCGATGAGGGCATGGTGCAACCTCTGGGGCTGGTATGCATACACATCAGTAGGAGTAAAACCATGCACAGTGCTGGTGAGAACTACCGCCACTATGGCCGTGTGTACTCCTCGACTCGTAGCTGATTGCATGTACGACAGAGGAGAGCACCCTGGAAAGGAAAGCAGCCCTCGCCTTCGCCGTCGCTTGCGCGTAGACTGCAGCTGCAATCCTGTCACAGCAAACAGTGAGCAGTACTTAGAAGGTGTTCAGTGTGACTATTCGGCAGCTATAAGCCAGTGCTGCTACCTGACAAGTAGCAATCCCCGGCAATTCATAATACAATGCAGCTTGAATAATCATGTAACAACACTAGCGCAGACAAGAACGAGATGTCCTTGGCTCCCACATGTCTCTGTAGCCGAACCCGGTACCCTGGAAAAACTGTGCTGCAGGCAGCATTTTCGGCTGCTATTGATCTGTTGTCATGCCTCGGAAATGCCGTCAAGCCCAAGCTTTACTGTACTACTGGCACTTGCATTTCAGTAGTTTGTGAGTGTAGTGCTTATCATCATGCTCAATCAGTGATGTGTGTACAGTGTACATCCAGCTTATTCGATTATTAGCTTTCAACACCCTTACAATGTACACGTACGTGGGCCTGTGGTTCAAGTTATAAATTGTGCTTTTGAGGAAATGTTTCCTGCTGCCATTGCACAAACAACAGAACTACAATTTCTGAAAAATTATTTTCTTCCTGTGGCCTAATGAAGAGAAGGCAACAGAAGCGCGTGTAGCCGTGGAAAAGTTGCTTGTGAAGAGCTTGTTCTAGAGTCTGATTTCACATTTTGTCTCTTAGGAAACCTTTTTTAACGTTGCCGCAGTAGTCGGCATTCTCTCTCTCTATTTCTCTCTCTCCCCCCCCCCCCCCGTTCCCTCTCTCTCTCTCTCTCTCTCTCTCTCTCTCTCTCTCTCTCTCCCCCCCCCCCTCTCTCTCTCTCTCTCTCTCCCCTCTCTCTCTCTCTCTCCTCTCTCTCTCCTCTCTCTCCTCTCTCTCTCTCTCTCTCTCTCTCTCTCTCTCTCTCTCTCCCCTCTCTCTCTCTCTCTCTCTCTCTCTCTCTCTCTCTCTATCTCTCTCTCTCTCTCTCTCTCTCTCTCTCCCCCCCCCTCTCTCTTTCATTCAGTTCTAAGCTGATTGGTGCACAAGGGATGACCCATGCATCAAGATGGCAGTAGATATTTCGGGCAAGCCCACACAGCGGCAAACAGAAATGGAGTGGCCATACCTGACATTTGAAGCAGCAGATATGATAGTTCTTGTCGAGGAACACCAGCATCTTGGATTCAGATTCTCCCTGAAGCAATACCGTGCGATGAAAACAGTGTAGACATGCTGTTTCTAATAAGGCATTCTACATCTGTCATTGACGTCCATAGGATGAACTTAGCTGCCAAAATTGAACTAGGGGCTGTGCATGTGTGCAAGGAGGGGGGGGGGGGGGGGTTGACAGACAATCATTGAATACTGTACTAAAAGGTGCAAACACCAGTAAAGGATACTGTTTTTCCTCTTCGACATAAATGCTAACACTATGCCAAGTGACAGAGGCGACGAGGAGACAGAAAATTCAATAAGGATAAGAAAATGTGAACGCAATCATTCGCAGACACATAGCAACAAGTAGTTATTTCAAAAGTTTTCTCGTGGCTATCATCAGGAAAGAATCATCACTCACCACAGAATTCCCCTTGTTGGCTTACTTGCAATTCACTGTGGTGATTTTTTCCTGATGGTAGGCTCGAGAAAACGCTTGAAATAACTACTAGTTGCTCGGTGTCTGCGAATGACTCCGTTCACAAGTGATTTACCTTCTCTGGAAGTATTGCTTTCCCACACTTGGTACAGCGCTGAGAAAACCGCCTACAAAAGGAAATTCCAAGATGGACAAGGACAGATTTCAGTGAAGTCATGAAGGTGGAATCTTCCCTCAAGTTAGCTACATATTGTTAATCATCATCTGTGGAGGCAAGTCAGCAAATTTCAATAGTCACTGATCGTTGTGGTAGACCTGAGGCCTGAGTGGAATGAAATCTGAGCCAAGGGTGCCGCTGTGTACTCGTCTCTGGGCCTAGCGCTGATGGATGTCCAAGCCTGCTATGCTGATATCACTGGAGCCTGTGCATCAACTAAGCATCATGTGCAAACTGATGATGGTGGCGAGAGAAGGGGCGATTGTTGCCAGAACTTTGCAGCTAAGACAGGGGTGTGTGGGCAGGCGCGTGTTTACCTTTTTACCCGTGACCATTGTTTCTCAAATTGTACGAAGGGGCCGTCTGTAAATACATGCATTTACCGTAAGGCTTAGAGACGTCTAACGGGAGTTTCTTGACCCACCCGCCCACCCCCAGAAACGCACCCCAAAAATGCAGATAATACCACTCATAATAACACATACTATGCACACATATACAGTACATCAGGTCAAGCACAAACATGGCACACATGTACACATTATGGCGATGTAGGTCTGACACAATGTACATACATGATTATAAAAACAAGAGAAAAATGGTAAGTCTGACCAGTGCTTGAAGCATGTTGGCTTAGTGAATCACAGACATGCATTGGTTGTCACCGTTGTGAGTCTCAGTATATACTGCACACTCATATAGCATACTGACCAACCACCGAAACCTCAATCCCTTGACAAGACATGCAGTATCCCTGGATTTCTCTCAAAATCCCTGGATGGCACGAAAACAAGTGAAAAAGAGCTTTTCCCACCAAAAAAACGTTCGACTCTGCAGATCTGAGTACAGTACAGTTCGACCCTGCAGTGCAGTTCGATAAGTCGGCGTCCGCCTGTCACTTTGTCAGTGCAGATCTTGCAGGCTAGACTGGTCAGGTCTTGAAAGTACCGTGCACAGTTTCAAGTGCGAATGGGCACCGTACATATTTTTGCAAAAACCGGGACATTCGGGGCGAATCCATGGAGTTTTCAGGAAAATCCTGTATCAGACAAAACTGTGACTTTTCCGGGAGTTTGCTTGAAATCCCCGGGACCCCGGGAGTAGTGTTGATTTCCCGGGATTTCCCCGGGAAATCCGGGAGGGTTGGCCAATATGATATAGTATACTGCTATACTACTTGCACACAGTAGCTCTCTTCAGCGCTGTAGTCTCTATAGTCTATATGTTGGACTCAGTAGAGCGTCCAGCCCCTATATGATGTCCAACCCCTATATAGAGTCCATTGGTCCAAAATCCACTGTACAGAGTCCAAACTTGGAATCAACTGTGAGCTCAAACTTAAGATGGGCATCACTCCCTGTATAGAGTCCAGCCAATTGGCTTCACCCCTATATAGAGTACATTGATCCAAAATCAACTGTATGGAGTCCAAACTTTGAAATCAACTATAAGGAGTCTTTATGTGGACAACACTCCCTGTATAAAGTCCAGCCAATTAGGCATCCCCTATCCAGAGTTCGAAATTAGACATAGGATCTGCTGTAAGCAGTGAATATTAACCAGAAACCGGCCTCTCCCTTTAATCCTTTACATCATTCACTTCTCAAGATAAAATATAAGTATTGAGGTGCCACTGCAGCCACTTCATTACATGAAAAACCCTACAAACACCATCCTCAAATCAAGTGGTCTCTTTGCAGACGCTGCAAATTACAATATCTCAATCATGTAGTGTTGCCAAATTATTGTGCACGCACACACACACACACATGCACACACCCACACAACGCCAAGAAAATACCTAGAAAAAAACCAAGAATCGAAAGAGAATAATGGAGAGCCAAGGATGAATTATTTGTTTTCAAATTATTGTGCGCGCGCGCGCACACACACACACACACACACACACACACACACACACACACACACACACACACACACACACACACACACAAACTTATACAATGCCAAGAAAACACCAAGAAAAGAGTGGAGACACAATACACACGCAACTCCAACAGCCATGCAAACGTCCACCCATTTACACGTAAAGTCAAGAGGGATAACAAATAATTATACGAAACGAATGCATACGTGGACGGGTGCACGCACGTTTACATACATGTAGTAGTGTAAGACTAAGAGAGTAACATAGTGCAGTAGTCAGCATACTACTAGCACATGCTGAGAGTACAATAGCAAGCTTCACCATTGCTCATGGCCATGCAAATGTTTAGCAGCACTCAGTTCCGCAAGCTTCTGAAGATCAGCACACCTGCAACAAATAGATAACACAAGGATACGCTTATTACCGTAATGATGCATGGGAGCACACAACTACCAAGTTCTCAACGAATGTGATGCTCAATGAAAATCCATCCACTCAAAGACCTGTGAACAGGTGACGGTGGGGACAATAATCTATTAGTAATACGAGGAATAAGATCGTTCGTGCACACTCAAGACGCACAGACACACCACCATACATGTAGTGTACACAGTGTTTCACTTCACTGCAACTAAATTGAAATTCGATGATTTGAACAATCTGTACAGCGTTGCCGTCAGTCAATCTTCCCCAAGATGGAAATGCACTGATTTGTTGTCACGAGGCAGTTTCACTGACACAATGTCATGTTTGTGACATCAAAACGGTTACTTCATGGAATACGAGTACATGTATTAGCTTGAGAAGTTTTTTCTTGTCATCGGCATACAAGAAATCTTCCTACTACTACTACTAGCACACTGGCACTGCGTTTGTGGATCCCATTGTATTTGACATCATACTAGAGCCTAGTAGAGGACGAGTGTCGTGGAGTTCACATAATTATCACAGGGATAAAAATACATTTCTCATGAAATAAAATAATAATATTGATGATAGCTAGACGATCGTATACAATTGATGCAAAGTCCTTGCAGTCCTTGAGGACTATTACGAAGTGGTTGATTACTTTTAGGGCATTCATTCAAGCAACATCAAACAAACGCGATACGATCCTTGAAAATGGAAAAAAAAGTCAAGCATAACGACAGAACAGCAGACCAATCGAAACGAGCAAAAGCTTCCTTACCTCAGTCATCGTCCTGCCATGTAGTTGGACAGCCTTTTGACACGGTGGTACAGGCAGCTCTTGTCCAGTCAAACAGGGTATCCTTGTGGCGTCGAACGAAAGAGAGTGTCAGTGTATCTGACTCGTCAGATTGGAACTGTGCTGAACTTTTCTCGTTCTCCGCTTTCTGCTTTCATCCCTCGCTCTGATGAAACCGTTCAAACGCCTTACTGGCATCAATGGCCAGCCAAACAGGGGATCCTTGTGGTGTCGAACGAAAGAGAGTGTCACTGTACCTGATTCGTCAGATTTGAACTGTGCTGAACTTTTCTCGTTCTGCAATTTCTGCTTTCATCCCGCGCACTGATGACACGTCTTCAGAGAACCACAAGACGCTTTCCAGATTTGATTTTGAACGTCTCCTTATCCTCTTTGGTTACCTCGAGACAGATTACTGTCAGCAACTGCACAGCAGAACTGGCAGCCATGGCTGAAGTGAAGAAAGGAATGCGCTGCCACGAGGCAAGCAAAACTGAAAAGTTGTTTGTTCTCTTTCGGGCACAACACACAGGACGTCGAGGACGGCGTGACTGGATAAACTGGACTCCTGGACCGTGAATAGGGGACTTGTAGAAAAAGTGTACTCCTTATAGGGGATTGCGCGGCAGGATGAAGCTGATCAAAACTGAGTGGACTCCTGGACTCTGTATAGTGGATTTTGGACCAATGGACTCTATATAGGGTGCTGGACATCATATAGTGCATGGACTCTATACTGAGTCCTACATATATACAACACCAATAGATGCTAGGAGTAGAGACTGTGACTACATACTCTACTAGCTGTAGCAGTGCTACATCATGTACATGTACATGTACACATGCGGTATGGTATGCATGCACTCCGAAATGTATTTTCTAGAGACGCCTTGCAGGCGAACCCACCCACCCACAAACGCCCAATACACGTCTCTAGGTAAATACATGTATTTACGGACGGCCCGGCCTATTTGCAGCCATAGCAACAATAAATATACAGCCATGATGGTTGACCTTTTGAGGGTGTGGAGGTAGTCGGTCTTTGAGAGGGCGTCTCGGAGATCCGGAGTTGCATGCTCTACCGTGTCCGTACTGAGTCCAACCCAGGAGTGGCGGAATCGGTCCTGGTTCCGGTTCCCTTTTTCTCCTTCTTTCTGACCATGTCTCTACTTTCATAATGCAATTATCTGTGGTGAGGCTGGCCGCCCGGTATGTTATGAAAACTACTGATGGCCGCATGACAGGCCAGCAGATGTTGAAAAAATAAACAGATGGATTGGACGAGAAGTCACTCACTGCTGATGACACTCCACGCAAAATACTTCCGGCTGATCCTCGCTGGGTGGCACAAAAGACTCTCCATTCAGTTCCTTCTGACAACTCTGGCAAAAGAAGCAATGGCCATGGTACGGCTTGCCCTCCAGACGGATAATCTAAGATGGACACAGAGATATGTAGAACATACAGAGGCAACATGTACCGACAACCCAGAAGTAGTGAACATGTACCGGGTACGTCACTACCACTAGCTGGTCTTCACAGTTCACACTGTACCAATAGACAATAGCCTTGGCCAATGGGAGAATCACCATATGATCAGCATATCTCAGAGTGTGCCTGTAAAGTAAAGTAAAAAAGAAAATCATCGTGTCCGTTCCCGAAGGGAACTCATGACGGCCGCTAACACCCGGTAAAGCCTAGCGGCAGATGCAGCGCCTAACGGTGGGGGTGAGTGGATAAGTCTTACAACCACTGGCACAAGTGCCGAGAAACCCCATTAGCCGCATCCATGTACCCCTTGTGCCTGGCCACAAGTTCTCAGTTGACTGTGGGTAGAAGCACGGCTGGAAAACCGCTCCCAGGCAGGACTTGAACCAGGTACCTCTCGTATCTCAATCATGGTCTTTGACCAACCCACGGTGCCTGCCTGGTAGAGTGTGCCTGCAACATAACCCCAAACATAGCTGCGCATATGCGCATATCAGCGGGTGATCAAATGATGCTTTGAAACATTTTCAAAATATTCATCCCGAGTCGGACAATTTCCAAAATGATTATCTCCTTACTTCAGTATTTTGATACTCTTGAGGGAATGAAAAGGGAAATTTATCTACATGTAGGAAGATTTTTTTAATTTAATAGAAGAGAGAGTTTGGAGAGCTTGTGAGGACAACCTTGTTTTTTACCGCCACATTATTCGACCATAAAATTCGTTTGGAGCAGCCACCTTCTTCTAAAATTCAAAAATGAAACTGAGAAAATGATGTGAACCGTCAATCGCCATTGGTATGTACCCGGTCTTTGTCTGACTTGTTTAAAAAAATATAAGCAGACTAAAACCATGATCCACTTACCTGGTCTGTGATGTACTCCTCGCACTCCGCACATCGTACATACACGTGCTGCATGACCAACAGGACAAATGACAAGGAACAGAGTAAGCATCATCAGGGGTTTCTCCCTGGTCGAACCAATAATTGCCTATTGTTAGTACTAGGTTAGTAGTACAGTTGGACATCAATTAACCGACCGTGCGGAATCGGCTTTGGAGCGCACATGACACACTTTCAACTAAGCAACTCTACTTCGAAGTATTTTCTTGTGTAGGCGTTCACGTAGCGTACAGAGCTATTGTATGTCATGCCTGGTCTGCTACAATCATGGCAGTACTCCATACAGTTTATGTATGCACGATTTATAGTAAGATGCATGTACGCGAACATTTCCAAGTGATTGGATGTGTGCTCAGTTGTGGCCCCAAACCAAGAAAACGGATTTGGCTGGCGCTCGTCCAGTAGGTCTATGCGTAAGAAAGTAAACATCTCTGCTATGAACATCAGGGAGTCATACAACTCCCTGATGACTACATCATGTGACAACAGTGCTCATAGTATTACGTGTATGTCATAACGAGAGAGCTTGGAAGCTCAGGGCCCTACGCTATGCTTTTATGCTTTTTTGCCTAGCTCATCGTACATGTATAAGAACTGAGGCAAAAGTATTTGCAGAATTTATTGCGGATTGTTATTTCTCTAATAATTATCTTCTTTTGGTTTGCTCCTTCTTTTCTTTTTATCTCCTTATACTGTAAATCAACAAATTCTGGCTGATGAGAAAATTAGAAACCTCTCTATTAAAGAGGTTAAGATGCACGTTATTTCCGACGTGACCCGCAATTTCACGTCAAATTTGAAATCGATAGGTATTTTTGCTCTCACACGCATCCATTGCTCAATAATGCATCAATTTCCTATATGACAATCTCTGGCCTGTGATTTACTTTGGCCGGTTGGTACCAAGCGGCGAAATCAGCGAAATTAAATCGCCAGCGAAAATTAGTTGATTTTTAATACAGTAATCGGATTTTCTGGCCTTTTTGTAGTAATACATGTATATTGACCTGTTGAGCCAATGACGACGCCGAATGCATGGTTGCCTGTGGAGCACATTACATAACTTAGCAGTCTCCTAAAATACGTATCCTGTCCGACGGCAAAAGAGTCTGCAGATTTAGTTTTCTGCGCGTCGACGGGATGTCTGCGACGCGAAAGTTCAGCTCGCGTTATTTGGCTCGCACGTCGAAAAATCAACGCGAGTGACCTGCTGCTCACGTGGAAATTTGGACATTACATAACTTTACAGTCTCCTATAATATGTATCCTGTCCGACGGCAAAAGAGGCTGCAGATTTAGTTTTTCTGCGCGTCGACGGGATGTCTGTCCTGACGTTCACTGGGACCGGCGCTGACTCTGCCGATCACGGGCGTTCTGGACTCGACAGGATGTCTGTCCTGACGTTTCCTGGGACCGGCTTAGACTCTGCCAATCACGGGCGTTCTGGACTCAACGGGATGTCTGTCCTGACGTTGCCTGGGACCGGCGGACTCTGCCGATTACGGGCGTTCTGGAGTCGACGGGATCTCTCTTCCGACGTTTCCTGTGACCGGCGCTGAATCGCTCGTTCACGCTTATTTTGGAGACGACGCGATCTCTCTTCCAAAGTACATGTATGTTTATGCTGACGCTGCTTATGCTGACGCATCCTATCACCTATTCGGCGTATATTCTAATTTAATTTCCTCCTCGTCTCCCTGTTTCATTCCAAATCTCCCTCTACATCAGGGAGTCGTATACATAATACGACGAATATTGGTACGGTACGGGACAGATACAGGAGCCCGCAAATATTGTGGACAGCTGTTATGTACAATCCTGTAGAGCCTTTGTAGTCACAGATACGGGACAGATACGGGACAGATACGGGATAGCGCCAGGCGTGACACAAACAAACAAAAAAACAAACACACAAACAAACAAATACCAAATTAAAGCTGTGTGGACCCTGGCTAGCGCCAGACGTCACTGAAGTAACGTCTTCTGCATAGCTACGGGAATAATATTATGATGTACATGCACATTATGCAGCCTCAGTCCCACCTACAGTTGCGCTCACTGAAATCCGACCCAAAGTGCAAAACTGACGCCCTCAACTTGCACGGCCCTTGACGCCCTGGCCGTGGAATGAATGCGGCTGGACATACACATGTACACCCACAATGATGTAATCGGAACTGGTCCAGGGCGCCAGCTTTTCACTCTGGGTCGGATTTCAGTGAGCGCAACTGTACATCCCCGAGTTCACCATGCAGGAAGAGGACTCTGATAGAAGCTTCCTGTAGCCACGTCATGCTGATTGCAATACAATCATGCACATGTACTACTATGGCCAACTCTTTAGCAGATTAGGCTTACTCAATGGGAAATCAGTTGACCATGTCAATGCCATAGACACGAAGATCAAGCAAACACTGATAATGCCATACTGCCCGGTAGACCAACATGACATCGATGACGGTGCTACGTAGGTCTACAGCGTTACTGCACGGTAGTAACGCTATTATGTAACACGTGTATATCATCAGTGTGTTACTGTATTAAACACAAAGATGATCATGTAGTAGAACAGTATTACTTCAAGTACAAGTATTAGTTACAACTGACAATGACTGTGCTGCCTGAGTACTGTGGCCGCCGTAGTCATCGGCTTTGTCTGCTTACCTTCATGAGCTCTTCTTTGGTCATTCCAGCCATGATTTGCGCGGTTCAAAGTCCAAAGTACACGCACGTGTTGGTCGCAACTGAACGGTGTCGTCGGGTGAAGAGTTTGAGCAGCAGCAGCAGCAGTTGGTGCATCAACAAAGCGGGTTGGAAACTGACGAACAGAAGAGCACTGGCACTTGGAAGACTGTTACATTCATCAAAGAAAGCACGGAGAAGAGACGTATCCTGTTGGAATCTCTCCGATGCTTCTAGCTGCTGCACACCGTAGTACCATGAAGTCCTGGTGCGGAAGAGCTGTGTAATTTCTACCCATGGAATTGGTAGCGTGGATAGTCAGTCGGACAGCACCACGCTCGCAAGCCACCCATCGCTACATGCGCCTTCATCGTTCTGGCAGAGAGCTTAAAACACCACACCCATCAACAAGCTAGTAGTAGTAGAAGATAGCGAAGAAGTACCACTAGATGACTGCATGATTGTACGACTCGCTAATCGCTGGTGGTCTTGCCTTGCTGCTCAGAACTTGACAGAAGTGAGTCACTCAGCTACTCTAGTACTAGTACATGACTGTACTAACCAGGGAGTCGTAAAATACGACTCCCTGGTACTACTCTCCACAGTCCTATCTTCGCAGTGCGGTGCTGGTGCACGGTATCCGCAGAATGATATCCTCCACCCATTCTGATCCTCGTGGCTGCCGATCTTGCATACGCCACAGTCTGAATCATGTTGGAGAAGAGATGTCGAGTGGAGTGGAATGACTCCAGTGAGTACTCCAATCAACTGTTACTTACTTGCTAGCTATGCTCAGGTCGCCAGTGGAGGAAGGATCACTTGAAGAGAAGCACTTCCCATCAGCCGCAGGTCCGAGTGATGACCGTGGGAACGATGGCACCAAGAGTGCAAGAGCTATGCACTCTTGCCTTGAGTTTTGTACTCGTGCATGTCTAGTCTTGACACAGGCTCACAGGCCATAGTCTAAGAGTTACTAAGACGTCGGTAACAGTACACAGATGGTGGTGCTGCGGTGTCAACTTTGAACTCCATCATCTGAGATCTATCCCGTGACCTACTTCATCCGGTCTCATTGCAGCGCAGGAGGACCTACCGGCACTATGAAACGGCCTACGAGTCGCAGGGATTACTTCACATTGTATGTGGATCTACATGTACTTGAACCATTGGGAATGGCTGATTAGTATACAGTTCATAAACAGCCTGGAGCCAGACTGACAACTAAGTACTTCTTCACTTGTAGATGAAGATAATGCTAAAATTAATGACTTTGTGTCCAGTGTTTTGATGAAATGGTCCGTTGTACATGACCACCTAGTGATGCAAATAAAATGTGCAAAATAATCAGCGTGTGTGTGTGTGTTTGTGTGTGTGTGTTTGTGTGTGTGTGTGTGTGTGCGCGCGTGCGTGCGTATGTGCGTGTGTGGTGTAGACCAGGTCCAGGTGTGCATTGGTGGTCGATTCACATGGATTCGCCAGTTGTGTGGATTAGACAGTTATCTGGCGCAAGTCTTGATCTGTCTCATTCAGATCTTGTTCGCTATCGTTGCTATAACTGTATAAGAGAAAATCTGTGGGTGCACATCCAGTGCATTTGCAGATTTGCGTGCTTCTCTTGCGACGGGCGTATACATGGTACATGGTACATGGTACATGGTGTGTGTGTGTGTGTGTGTGTGTGTGTGTGTGTGTGTGTGTGTGTGTGTGTGTGTGTGTGTGTGTGTGTGTGTGTGTGTGTGTGTGTGTGCATGTGTGTGCCAGCTACTGAGTTCGGTTGGTGGGTATACTATGCCACACATACACTGTAGTGTTGGGTCTGTGGCCAACAGGCTCGGCTGCTTGAAGGTGTATTGTTGTACCTGCCACTTTTGTTGGTTGTGCCAGTGAAGTTTATATCAGATCCACTCTGATTTAGCCACCCACACTACTACCAAGTATTAGCTTCACTGGGGGCAAGGGGAACTGCAGTTGGATCCCACTAGGACGGATACCATGATACCGCCAATCCTTTTTCTGCACCTTCACTGTCCTCACCCACTTACTGAGGTGTGGTGAGCCCATACGTGCAGTCATTTCCAAGTCCACCCAGAGTTGGGGATTTCAGGGGGGGGGGGGGGGGGGGGGGGTGACCGTCGGGCTGTTCAATACCCTACACTGAGTCATCTTTCCAAGATTTCCTTTGAGTCTCTCTCATCTCTGCCGGGGGGGGGGGGGGGGGGCATGTGCCCAGTTTTGGCAGTGAGCAAGTACAAGTGTCGTTTGTTTGTGTGTGTGTGCATGTGCGCATGTTTCTGTGTGTCTGGAAATGGTGGTGCATGCACGTGTTACTTCAGTACTTGAAGAGTGCGAGTGACATAACACTCTACGGAATGCAGTACTTTTGCCCAGATCCATGCCGCGGGTCCTGGCTGGACCTTTGGCACCTCAGAAAAAAGGTGATGAAAAGAGGGTGAAAAAAGAAGGAACACAGCAGTGAAAGCGAGGTTTCTTCTCTTCTTTTTTTGACATGGCAGGAAAATCTGAGAACAGGAACTCAGAAGTTGAAGTTTTGTTGCATGAAAACATCCAAAGTGTGTGAGCATAACATTAACATGGATTCAGTTCTTATCACTCCGGAGTGGGTACATACTGTAAAGTCGTGTTTAAAAGCCGCGGCTTATAAGACTTTTTGGGGGAATTTTGCAGGCTTCTACATGAGACAGGCTTCTATACAAGACAGGTATTTCTATGTACGTCAACACTAAAACCAGGCTTATGTGCCGACAGTGCATCTTGAAAATCAGGCTTCTATTCAAGACTGGCTTCTATATGAGACAGGCTTTAATACAAGACACTACGGTATGTGTAGCATGCACCATAATTGAGGGCACAAGCCCCAGTGTCTGCTCCAGAGCCGGGTCAGCCGGGTCAGCGACACGGTTGGGGGGGGGGGGGGGGCTCTTGGACTCGTTTGGAAAAAGAACACCGGGTCACCCGTGATCCTGTTCAGCATACATCAGGGAGCCCTAAAATATTTACAACTCCCTGATGCACATGCACATGCAGTAGCCATACTTGAACGGACACTGCTCTGACCCGGCTCTGACCCGGTTGCAATGGTTGTACTGCTCTGACCCGGTTGCAATGGTTGTGCCAGGTACACGTGTATTCGGTTGGTTTGAAATCCTGGAGCAGACACATGAGTCCATGTTTTTTTTAAAGAGTACATTACATAAATCTCCTTTTCTCTTGACACTCTTTTTCATGAGAGATATTAAAGCAGCTTTGTATTTTGTATTTATGGATTCTCCACAGGCCTTAGTCTAAATCGAGGGAGTCTCAGCTAGCTTTCTGGCAGGCAAAATGGTAAATTGATCGATCTATTTGCAAGTATCCAAAAAACAGTCGCAAATTCCCCACAATTTTGCTGAAATCGTGTCAATATCTTCCGCAATTTGTGCAGCGAATTTTGATATATTCTTCTGCAGTTTCCCCCGGGGACAGTAAAATGTAAAAAAACGCGGATTTCCAAGATATCGCCAAAATTGCAGAAACATTTGCATCCGTGGAATCGTGATTGCCCCCCGGGGACAGATACTCATTCAGTACAATGTACTGGCATTATTCCCAAGATCCAGTGGATTTCGACAGTACAGTCAGACCTCGCTTATCCGGATCCCTCGCCATCCGGAAGAAAATTGTTAGTTACCGATTTACAGCATATGCCATGCATACATACAGTATGTGTGTTTGATTATCCAGTTCCCTCGCCTAACCGGATATTTTTTGTGGAAAACGGATGTGTGCGGTTATTATTAAAGCAAGGTCTGACTGTACCCAATAATGACCACAGGGGACAATGATGTAAGCAAAAAACTTCTGTTCGCAACACACCGCCACGGCCAGGGTCATGGCCGTTGATCCACTTACTGCCTGCAGTAGGGAGTTGTATTTAAGTACAACAGACTGCATGCACATTGAAGTACATTGTACACATGCACAAGAATGGTGGCACCAACAAGCCGTGTTCAAGAGAAAAACAGACCCGGCCACCCGACCAGAATTTAAATCACAAACATCCGCTCCGTGGCCTAAGATCATTAGTTTCATGATGAGGCGGAACGTAGGGACAATCAGAATGTCCAGCACTCAATACAAAGTGACGTACCAATAAAAATGTAGTTACTGTTGTCCGAAAATCCAATCGTCAGCCTGTGCTCGAGATTTGAGATGCTGCATAAGTAAGCGCATACAGCACTGCAGAATGAACAAAACAAATTGAAGCGAGCAAGCAGCATGAGCAGCATTCTTAAACAAAAGAGCAGCACACACAGTTCTGGCGCTACATGCTCTGAACTGGGTGAGCTCTACACATTGTCAAGGACTCATAAAAATAACAAACATTCTAACTACAAGTAGCTGCCGAAAATTCACACAAGGACCTAAAACACACACACACACACACACACAATTGAAAGAAGGAAGATGTCCCATGAACAATTACAAAGCTCATCCAAGACTTGTTCCAAGAAGAGGCAGCTTAGAAGACGGTACCATAAATACAATGGCAAGGAGTTGTGGGGGTAGGGCAGGGGGAATAAATCATGAGCGATTCGAAACAGTCTGGCTGCCAGGACCCAGTAAACTAATGCTTCTAAAAGTACACAACGTACCGAGCAGTTCATTATTAGGCCCCCCTACCTCCGCAGACTGCTTGATCTTCTGGGCAGCAATGTCATTCTACTCTGGCTTAAAGTCATCGACAAAGCGGCTGATGAGGTCCAAGGCACGCACTGGCTGGTCATGGGGAACCATGTGACCAGCACCGCGCACGACCACCTGCATCAAATTCAGGACGGACCTAACGTAACCAGCCACCTCGGCGTCGGTGCTGTTGACCTTCCAGATCTTTCGAGCAGCATTGTAGAACTTCTCTTTGCCAGCCCAGTCCATTTCAGACACCATGCCTTCGGTGAGAGGAACGCCGACGATAATGTCCAACTGGCCATTGTACACCATGACCTTGTAATTCTTGTCGCTCTTCAGGACGGTCAAGAACTGCTCCAAAGCGGAGTCTTGCACGTCGGCCAGGAGGTGAATCTCAACAGTGTTTCCCATGTGGAAGGGTAGGTTTCCCACATGAATGGCCTTGCGCACTTCATCCCGGTTTAGTGCAGTGACAAAGTAGGACGAGTCTGCAGGTGAGGTACTCCTCAGAATGTTGAAGTAGTTAGTGGTACCGGTGACATTCTTGTACCAGGACGGGTACTTGATGAGATCGCCGTTCAGCAGGTCGTCAAACATGTGAAAAGCACTGACAAACTGACGCGCACGGATCGCTTTCGTCATGTTTTGCGCCACCTCGCTCACATGCGATGCCTGGAAGGTGTCAATGAGTGAGGTCTGCAGCATCAGATTGGCATAGTACTTATTCATGCTCAACGGATCCGTCAGTCCATCACCGATTGCCATTCCTTTGAAGTTGATGAGTGGCTTTTCTTTCTGAGCATTCTCCTCCACAATCTTGGCACTGATTGAGGGCACATATTTACCAGCATACGACTCGCCGGTAACATAAAAGTCGTTCTTGGCAAATTTGGTGTAGATGGAAAAGAATTGCGTCAGTGCGGAGTAGAGATCCCTGGCAACATCGTCCTGGTTCTTGGCATATCCGGCATCGTTGCTGGTGAAGCTGAATCCAGTTCCGACTGGGTTGTCAACAAACAGCAGTGAGTACTTCTTGTTCCACGTTATTGGCATATCCTCAATGTTTCCACTGGCGGTTGCCTTTAGCGGGCCAAGCTCTACGAACAAGCCATACATAGATGTAGCACCAGGTCCACCCTGCAGCCACATCAGGACTGGAGCATCCTCTGGGTTCTCCTGGGCTGGAAAGAACCAGAAGAACATATTGCTGCTGTACTGTTCGTTGACAGTAAGATATCCCGAATAACTGGTTACACCACCAACGCCATGGACAGCACTCAATTCCACTGCCTCGGCGATTGAGCCATTCTTCAGGAGTGGTGTAAGGAATAGCGGGTCTCCGGCACTACCGTCACCACAAGTCTTCCAATCATGCGGCAAGAAAGAACGGAAAGCACCACCAGTCCTCTTCCCACCATGTACTTCTTCGGAACACCAATTCTCCCGAAATGCAAGGCAATTGGCAGAGAATGAGGCTAGCAAAGCAATTGCCAGGAGAACAGAGGGACGGCACGAAGACATTCTCCAACAAGATGTTGTAGAAACACTGCCAGAAGGTAACAGAAATTTCCTGGGGAGTACTATCTCAAGCTGTTACTGTTAGAAGACAGAGCAAGACAACCACATGTATTATGGTTACCTGTTACTCGACTTAGAACTTCTCTTCAAACTCGCAGTATTTTTCATTTTTGTTCTTTTTCATCACAACGTCATGATGTCATCAAGGTACTACATGTTTTTGTTGGCACGTGATTGTCAGTGGATACCTTGCAAGAAGTGCCAGCGTCATCATGTCATCATTGTCAGGACATCATGCCATGGTCATGTCCAGCACCTCCTTGCTCTTGTCTTGAGTCTTGTGTCTGCCGGTGCTTCACTACGGTGCATTTTGCTTGGTGTTCGCTACGCCTAATCATTACTAAGCTTTATGATTCTGAATCGTACAATGAATCGTGATGGCGAGAAGCCGGGAGTAGTAAAATAAAAAGGTATCAACTACCCCTGGCTGGCGATGCTTCGAGCCATGGCTCGAACTCATGGCATCCCCCCCCCCCCCCCCCCCCCCCCGGCCACTTCACAAGGCGGAGGACACACTGCATTGAAAACATTGTTCCTGATTGCAGCTGGGTACCGGTAACGGGTTGGGTCCAGATCTTGCAACCATACATGTAATTATGATGATATGAGCCGTATGGGGTCATGCCCCTGCTGCTGAAGTTCGGACCCTCTGATTGAAGTCAGCCGGGCACTGTTTTCAATCTGCAATGCAGTCAATGCAGTGTGTCCTCCAATTGTGACATTTTATGCTGTCATCATCATACACTGATGTACCTGGTAGTAAGTTATCAAGCAGGGTTCATACCAATGGCAAGAGTGCACATTCCCCAATGGACTCTTGTCCATGCCAGTGGTTATCAAGACAAGAGTGCATCATGGAAGACATGACCGACTGGTAAGAAGAGGCCCCGGAAGAGAAGTAACAGGACAACAGAAAAATGGGAACTGAGCCTAGTAAGGCGGGCTCCGAGAAGGAACCTGTGCTACAAGTGAAGCAAGCCAACATACGCCGACCTGTGGTATGCGTGTGGTCTCGGCGTTACCGCGAGCCTGCGGCACAATGAGAGTTTATAAGGAGAGGAGAGAAGACAGAATGGAGCCGAGGGGACAAAGTGAGGATGTGCGGAGAATAGGCTGATGGGAGTGCAGAAGATGGTATGATGATCAGAGGTGGAGGGCACTCCTGTGGTTATGTAAATCAGTACCGGTACTGTAATGCTAAAGATCTGTATGATTTTACTACTCCCTGACGTGAAGCATGAAGGACTCGACTCGTTGGGTGTAGTAACATAGCAGAAATGCACTAGTCCCCAGCTAGAAGGCATAATGCCGGCAGAAAAATTGGCAGAATTCGGTAAGTTTTTCTGGTAAGTTTCATGCATGTTTGGTATGTGGATAAAGAAATGGAGCAGAATTCGAGGAATTCCCCGCCATAAGGTTTGTATGGTTCTGCCAATTTCACAGCTTTTCGAGCAGAATCTGCCACCATTTCGAGCATTATCCGCCAATCCCTACCAGCTAGCTCTGTTATTACTAGCGGTGACGACTTCAGCGTTCAAGTTGTGGTCGAGAACTTCACTGAGTTCGCACTCACTTTGTCGATCACACGCTCACAGGTACTATGTAGGTGTCCTTGTGCGCAAGTCACTGTTTCCGTGATCATTCCAAGACCTATGGCCATAGTATGGGGTTACGTGGTCTTCTGATTCAGTGATTGCACCCACTATTACCCAGTGGCAGTCTCACTGGTACTGTATGGTAACTGGGCCGATGTCTAGCTCACACTCCAACAAACTTACTTGAAAAACTTAGCCTATCCTCGATTAACTGCTCCCTCTACATAAAGCTGTCATTTCATTCTTCTTGCAGGAGATCCCCTCGACAGGCCCAAAGCCTTTGGGAAATCCTTAAATATAATAAAATACAAAATACAAAAGAGTCCGAACTCGCGAAGTGAAGCGTAACAAGGGGATCATCGGAGGAGTCGTAGTATCTGTAGCATCTTGGCCAAGGAGGGAAACGACGCAAGATCATAGTCTATGCACGTACCCAAAACGTGCCCAAAACGATGCGTTTCGACCCCAGATTAATTTTGTAGAAGAACCATGTGCGCTCCAACCCGGGATTTGGAATGAGTTCCACATTATACGTATACGTGGTCTCTTCATTTCATTTTTTCATTTAGACTTTATTTGAAGGATTCTCCAAAAGTAAATGGATACTTATCGGGGGAGTTTCCTGGAAGGGTGGATGAGACGAAAGGGAAGTGAAAAGGGGCTAGGGAAAATACTTAGCAGAAACAATGCTCAAGGAAAACTCCAGACAACTGATAGACCGAAACGAAGAGATTTAAAGAACTGAGTTCCAGTACGAGGCAAAACGATAGAGGAAGGGTGGCGGCAGCTGCTGGATATGGTGAAGCTAAACTAGCTCAGTAGGGATGGAATTTGGTAGAATACATGATGAAAATAAACTAGAGAAAGAATTGGACGACGCCATTGGAGCGATTCCCAGCCACACAGACGATTCAGAACATTCTTGGCTGTTGTCCAAGTAGGGAACTGTCGGGTCTTACACATCAGGTAGGATCAGGCAGCAGAAGCTTGCAGTCGGTCCAATGTGCAGGATTGCGTAGACGAGATGGCGAACAGCCAAATAGGGACGCTAGCGGCATACTCCAGTAAGGATCTCACATAACATTTATACAACAAATTGATGGTTGGTGCATCAAGACAACGGGTCATGTGGAATATTAGAAATACTCTACTGCGATACTTCTTAGCGATTTGAGTGATATGGTCAGAGAAACTAAGGTTAGGGGTAAGTGCCTGTCAAGCGCCGTAACCTCAGTGTCATCCATTTTGAGGGGGGGGGGGGGGGCGGGCAGGGGTCACAGCATGTTTCTGAAAGGACACATGAACACACTTGCTGGTGTTAAAGTGGTTTTTGACCATTTGAGGCACTGTTCAATATCAGCCTGAAAGCTGGCACGGTGAGCGGGCACTGCCGTTTTAGGCGGGGAAACAAGGAGTAAGTTGGAATCGTCAGCAAACGAGAGAGAGAGAGCAGAGAGGAAGAGAGAGAGAGAGAGAGAGAGAGAGAGAGAGAGAGAGAGAGAGAGAGAGAGAGAGAGAGAGAGAGAGAGAGAGAGAAGAGAGAGAGAGAGAGAGAGAGAGAGAGAGAGAGAGAGAGAGAGAGAGAGAGAGAGAGAGAGAGAGAGAGAGAGAGAGAGAGAGAGAGATAGATAGAGAGAGATAGATAGATAGATAGATAGAGAGAGAGAGAGAGAGAGAGAGAGAGAGAGAGAGAGAGAGAGAGAGAGAGAGAGAGAGAGAGAGAGAGTACTGGAGACAGGAGTATCAGGAAAAGAGTTTATGCATAGATTAAAGAGAAGGCGGCCGAGATGAGATCCCTGGAGCACTCCGGCTGTGATGGGCAACAGATCAGATCGACTTTGTCCAACTCGGACACAGATATTACGGTCACTGATGAAGTCTTTAATCTAGTCGCAGGCGTTTGACGAGCACCAACCGGAAACCGACTCTAAGATCAAGTTGTGGCTGACCCTGTCGAACGCCTTGGAGAAATCCAGGACAAGCTGATCGCAAGGTGATCTTATCTATGCCCAATTGGGGGCTTGATCTGCTGATACTGATGACCACAAACACGTACGTCTTCCCCATTCCTGCGGAATCGCGAGCGCAGTCGACAGTTACAGTACAATAGTCTAGTCTAGGTAGAAGACCACGTCGACTCTCGCGAGCTCAGACAGTTCTTCACAGGAACACTTCCGTGAATTGCGAATTCGGCGAGTCAAATGTGTTCTAGTTGTGTAGGTGCATACAAAGTATACATACAGCTACAGCTTGTAGCGGTGACCAGTTAGCGTTATACAAGACTTAGTGATTGTTGCGTGTTTGAACAGTTCAACTCCATCCCGTGAAGTTGTTGTTGCGGTATCATTGTCGTCATTTAAAATGCAGTCCATGGTTGTACAGAACAGCAATGATTATGTTTCCCCAGCATCTCCAGGCCGCCAGGACTGCACTGTGGTGAGAGAAACCGAAGCTGTCCAGCCTGAGGGTCACTGCCGTGGCCGCTATGCGTTTTCTTCTTCATGTCCGGTAACACGAGTGCCGCCAAGTTGAAGTGGTGTGGTCTGTACGCAGTAATTTATGATTGTTATAGTTAAAATTATTATTTGTAAGAAAGGTTTGCTCCCCACACCGGAGCTCGCGCTATTCCGCCGACTTTACTTGACACTTGACTGACTCACGACTGCCATCCAGAGCACACGAGAAGTCCATCGAACCTTCAACTCGGCAAACCTGCAAGAAAGCACCACTCCCTGCTCAATACACAGTGTTTCGGGGAATTCACCCCTCATCAGTTGAGCTTGAGTAGGCCGAGGAAGATTGTGCCTGAAGAGCACCACTTATATACTAGTAGTGCTCTCCAGGCACAAACATCACCAGGGATACAAACTTACAGAGACGCTCCGCTTCCAGCGCGACAAACACCTCGTGAACACCAGATTTCTTACAAATCATCGCCGAAGTCGCAACCACTACTTAATTTAGCAATGAAAAATATCAATTGTGCACTCATAATCATGTATAAACAATTAAAATGAAACAATTCCAGAACGTTTTCGTGTGACCATCATCAGTGGAACATCGTCACATAGTAAGAATCACTAAAACAACCAGTTATATAGCTAGAGTAACATGAAAAGAAGCGTGAGAATGCAGCACAGCTAGCGGTTATGCATAACGCGTGTAGTGTGAACCTTTGCAGTGTATCTGAGAATGGTAGCAGTAGATGAATGTGGCAGCTGTGAGTGCGTGTGAACAAAAACTGGTGAGTGCGTATTATTTAAAAAGTGTGAGTGCTACAACATTTTCTTTTTGCTTGCATAGAACAGGGTCACGTGTGCGAATATATACAGCTTCCAACACCTGCAACTGCTTAAAGAAACGCGCGCGACAAATAACACTAAACCAGGAATCGTCAAACAACTTACGACAATCCGGACTGGACACCAAATGCTTGTAGATGGCAGACTTGCTCTTGTCGATGTCGAACTCCTCCTCGTCCGTATCACTCTCATCCTCCACTTCCCGTTCCTGCTCACCCTTACTTTCCTCCTGACCATCCTGTTCATCCCCATCATCATCCTCCATCTCCATCTCCTCATGCCATCGCTTCTTTCTCCTTGACGTGTTCACTGCTGCGCCCGTACTTTCACCTGCCACTACTGGTTCCGCCTTCTCCATTTTTCTCAGTCGTGTCTCCGCTAGTCTCTGGCTTCTCCTCAGATTCGTTTTTCCTCCATTTTCATTTCGTTCTCCTGGTGATCTTTCCGTTACCGCCATCGGGTTTGTTAATGAACGGTCGTCCGGTGGTCACACTACACGCGTTATGCATAACCGCTAGCTGTGCTGCATTCTCACGCTTCTTTTCATGTTACTCTAGCTATATAACTGGTTGTTTTAGTGATTCTTACTATGTGACGATGTTCCACTGATGATGGTCACACGAAAACGTTCTGGAATTGTTTCATTTTAATTGTTTATACATGATTATGAGTGCACAATTGATATTTTTCATTGCTATTTTACGACTGTTGTCTCCTCGTCGGTTATTTTCACTACTTAATTATTATTATTATTAATTTGAACTCGGATGTTGAGCCAATATAGTTATGATGAAGAAAGGAAAAGGACAACATGTTAAGAGTTATGACAAACTGTCCACCAACGTAGTTGGAAGGTTGTTGGTTTGCGCCTTGGAGAAGTGTTGGAGCTAGGTGTCAGGTCGCCGAATGTCTCAGTACTCCTTGTCAGTTTTGTGCCATTTTGTCGCACTTGCTGGCTGTATAAGATCTGGTTACGTTGGTGGACAGTTTGTCATAACTCGTAACATTTTGTCCTTTTCCTTTCTTTATCCTAATTATTATTAACTTAGAAGTTGCGACTTCGGCGGTAATAGTCATGAAGTTGATTGTTCCAACTAGGAACACACGCTTCTTGCCGAACTTGACACTTGACTGACTCACGACTGCCATCCGGAGCACTCGAAGAGCACGTCGCACCTTCCACTCGGCAAACCTGCAAGAAAGCACCACTCCCTGCTCGGTGTTTCGGTGGAGCTTGAGTAGGCCGAGGAAGATTGTGCCTGAAAAGCACCACTTATATCCTGCTCTCCAGGCCAAACCATCACCAGGGATACAAACTTACAGAGACGCTTTGTTTCCAGCGCGACAAACACCTCGTGAAGCTCCAGGTAGCAGCGTGAGTCAGCGTCGCTCATGGAGTTGTGATAAACAGACGTTGAGAGCCAGTATAGCTATTCGCAACGCTGTCACCTCCAACAACTAGTCGCACGTCCACGTGAGGGACAACAATACGAACTTAGAAGTTACGACTTCGGCGGTAATAGTCATGAAGTTGATTGTTCCAACTAGGAACACACGCTTCTTGCCGAACTTGACACTTGACTGACTCACGACTGCCATCCGGAGCACACGAGGAGCACGTCGCACCTTCCACTCGGCAAACCTGCAAGAAAGCACCACTCCCTGCTCAATACACGGTGTTTCAGGGAATTCACCCCTCATCAGTTGAGCTTGAGTAGGCCGAGGAAGATTGTGCCTGAAAAGCACCACTTATATACTGCTCTCCAGGCCAAACCATCACCAGGGATACAAACTTACAGAGACGCTTTGTTTCCAGCGCGACAAACACCTCGTGAAGCTCCAGGTAGCAGCGTGAGTCAGCGTCGCTCATAGAGTTGTGATAAACAGACGTTGAGAGCCAGTATAGCTATTCGCAACGCTGTCACCTCCAACAACTTACTACTTGAACTAGTCGCACGTCCGCGTGAGGGGCAACAATACGAACTTAGAAGTTACGACTTCGGCGGTAATAGTCATGAAGTTGATTGTTCCAACTAGGAACACACGCTTCTTGCCGAACTTGACACTTGACTGACTCACGACTGCCATCCGGAGCACACGAGGAGCACGTCGCACCTTCCACTCGGCAAACCTACAAGAAAGCACCACTCCCTGCTCAATACACGGTGTTTCGGGGAATTCACCCCTCATCAGTTGAGCTTGAGTAGGCCGAGGAAGATTGTGCCTGAAAAGCACCACTTATATACACCACTTGTTCCTAGTTGGAACAATCAACTTCATAAGATTGTGCCTGAAAAGCACCACTTATATACACCACTTGTTCCTAGTTGGAACAATCAACTTCATAATTTTATAATTACTTCGTCTTCAGTGACTCTTCACCCCGCCTTTGCATGATGTGCATGGTAGAGAAATAAAATCTACGACGGTCGTAGCTCATCTCTCTTTTCACACCTCCAATATACGGTCTAGTCTCTTGCTCTCCTGTCTTGCACATGTGCATTGTTTGGGTCTGCCTCGTGAAGTTAGACCAGTGAATAGTGGCCATGATTTAGTCACCAAGATCAAGAGGCAAGAGAAAGGATCATACTCAGCGCCGAAAACAGCAAGCGGTGAAGCAAAACCATTGGAAGCCGCACAGTCATTCGATGAATTGTTCACTTCGAAGTGGCTTCCGACGGATTGTGACACCATGTACCAGCGGGCCATCGATCGATCGCGCGCGAGGCGACGCGCGAGCTCGTGCATATGCACGTGCAGATACCATGGATACGGCCCTACCCGGCCGGTATCCGGACACAACACAAGGTCAACAACCACTGACAACTCACGTCTTCTTACCAGGGAGTAGTAAAATACATGTATTTTACTACTCCCTGCTTCTTACTGTCAAGCCACAAGCTGCATGCACAAAAGTACGAGTACGAGGGCGACTGGAACGGGCAGCCCAGGTCACCGCAGGAGCGAAACCCACATCGTTTCACGTTACCGGTACAAATTACCGTCGGTAAAGTTGCCCTTGTAGTCCCCCTACTTGCTAGATGCTACGACTCCCGCGGCGTCACACACTGGCGGCGGCAAGGCCAAGCACTTGCCTTTGCCTTTTTCGTCTGTTTCTGGAGACACAGCGACTTGCTTGGGCAAATGTGCATGGAAGGACCCCAGGTGTCCATGGTGTTCGCCAACTAGACCTAGAGATCTTTGATTTTCACTATTGGTAGCTTGATGCAAACCATTGAGTTGACTTACATCATCCTGCTTGTCGACTTGACCAATCAGTTTTCCGGAGAATAGAGGTTGCAGCCCTCATTGACACCTGATATTTTTGTTTATGGTCTTGGAATGATAGCTGATTTGCACGTCATGGGCATCTGGTCAGCAATATGAGTAAAACGCGTTGTGAGGATGATGGAAAATGATTAACGGGATCAAGAATGCCGACTTCAATCCCGGCAACCCTGCTGCTGCTGCTGTACGAAAAGCTCGAGACGAGGGAGCCGAGGAGCCACTGGAGGCAAGTTACGGACGAAGTGTTTGTTCACAAAATCAGTGGTATTGAGTTTGGCGTTCAAAGTATTCTAATGTTTGCCGGTTCTCAGTAAATGAGCATTTTGCGGATGATTCCAGTGTAGTATCTGATTTTGAAAGAAGTGCTGTGGAATTGAAAGCAGAACTTGTCATCTGTCTGAGCCAGAAGCAGTACAATCATGTAGATGCTGCCCCAAACTGCTCAAATTAGATGACTTTACTGAAGTGTACTGAAGTGACCTTGGTTAGTCATGTGATGAAAGCTATATTCTCGGTGTTGAGAAACCAGACAATGTTTGAGCAGCCGTTTGAGCAAGTCAAAATAGTATTGCAGGACTATGTTGAGAGGAAGGGGGGGGGGGGGGGGGGGGCTAACAGATCGGAGTTGCCTATCACCCCCCCCCCCCCCCTTGCCTCACCACGTGCACTCACGACTGAAGAACCGGTGCTCTTACCAATGTTGTGTCACTGCTTGCCATGTGACTCCCCAAAAGTAGTGAATCCTCCTTACATTATTGATAATTTCTAATAGGCTGCCTATAAGTTTTTAGGAAATTAGAGGCCACATGCCACGTACTGCTCTTTTCTCTTTTCTTTGAAATTCTCCGTGAAGTCCAAATTTGAAATTAGGCTGCCTATAAGATTCGAAAAAAATCGATCCGGATGGTGATCGAATTTAGTCTGCCCACCTCCATTCTGGACATTACTAGAATTCATTTTCCCTTTTTCAACCATTTTATGCGCGTGATTTTAGACCGTTTTCTTCACTCTTCGTGTACGGCGCGCTATGCATACTATCAACAGTACATAACCCCACAAGAGTGTGCAGCTCCGCTATGCGTGCTGTCCCGCCAGAATTTCAAGTTGACGTCGCTTTCATGATGCAATGTGTATTATACACGATTACCAGTAGATCCTGGACCTGTGTTGGACAAAGCCCCATTTGAACCTGTACAAACTAGTCCAAGGAAACACGTGTGATGCGTTGACACCCCGTACAAATGTTGTAAATCACTGGAGCATTGAGCATTGCATCATAAAAATGACGTCACCTTGAAATTCTGCTGGGACAGCAGGGTATGCGGGAGTTGCACACTCTTGCGGGGTATGTACTCTTGATACTATACATCAGTGGCATGGCCACTCAACTGACAACTTTGTCTTCTAGACACTCCCGAACAGTAAATACTCTGTATGGAATGGCTAAAACTGAAGCTGCCCTAGTATGAGGCGAGTACCTCAAGTAGCGAAGAGGTTAAAGGGCTTGCATGTCCAACAAGAGAAAAGAGAAGGTCTGCACGGAATACAACTTTTATGATTCCCGGCATATCCGGCACCCATAATTCATTTTCATGAGTTTCAGCACGGAAAATCCTGCAATGTGGCCGCACGATCGGTTGTTTTCAAAGAATAAAAAATCCGCCAGACATATTTTATCACCTGCCGATTTTTTTACCACTATCCGGATGTGTTTTTTTTACCTGGCGGCCCCTTAGCAGCCAGCAAGTGATCGTTGTCTTGTAGATTCATCAGCTTGAATTGTGCATCTAAAAGGCGCTAAATGGATCGCGTTTTACGCACATTTTGACTCCACTAGCAAGTTTGCTTTTCTCTGATGTACAATGTATTAGTTTTCATTTTCGAGTTTACTGAATTGCCAATGGCTATCTACACGTGTGCTGACACTAGGAATCAACAATGTTAGCGAGAGAGCGGTGCTTTTGGGTAGTAAACAGATACCCGTGGCGAACAGTATAATTGGATAAGCGCTTGTTAGGCAAGAGAGTATTTGGCGGGTCGAAAATCACGATCATTTCAGTCATGTTCATAACTACATATACTTCGGAGTACATGCATGCATGCATGCACGTATGTTGAAAGACATCACTCAATCTCCAGAGAGATGGGTGGTACAACTCTGGTAGGCCTCCCCAACGGAGCTCACAGTGGCGACTGATTGCAGTTTAAAATCGGGTCTCTAGCGCAAAAAAAACAACGAGTTTTCCACTTCAGTACTTCTGAAGTTGATATTTTTTGATGCAAACCAGAAAGTGTCCACAGCCATGAAGTGACGAGAGAGCATAGTACTAGTACCCACTGTTCAACGACATCACTTTACCGTGAGCAGATTGCGCTTGCTTACCGTGTGTCATAGCTGTTCAAGAGATTCCGCTGGTGCTTTGAAGAACATTCATGCCCTCTGTTGCATGAAACGGGTAGAAAACAGTTCCAGACAGTTCTTTCTAACTGTGGCACAGTGGCACACAGTAAACTATAGCATACAAATAAGGTAGAATGAGGTTCTATTGCCACTCCAAGTGTCATGCTTATCTGATCATCAGGCAAAAGCATACATAGATATTAAACATATAAGTATGGTTCATCCACATTTGTTCCATTCAGAGACTGAGTATGAAACAAATAAGGACTGTCATGGTTTGTCCACTTGCTTTGTGGCATATGTGCGTAGTACGTCATACCCTGTGAAGGACCCTGTATCAGAAGAGAGAATCATCCACTTAGACTCTTTTATTGGAGGGGATGTTTTTTTTAGCTATGGACTTTGTGGTCGCACATGCTCGGAAAAGGACGCGGGTAATATATGCACGGAAGAATTCACAAGTATTTCAAAATAAGAGAACAGCATCCAGTCCTGCTTGCACATATCAGTGTTCCGTTGATTCCAGTCCTGTACTCCACTGTGCTATATCCTGCAGACACTCATACGCACATGCATGCATACAACAATCTCCGGTGCAGCCTTAGCAATCGCGATGTTACGGCCGCGAGCCGGGAAGCCCAAATCACACCCACTGCACAGCGTACACAACCACTGCAACGTTTGCGCATCTCTGTGCCCCATGTCACACAATTTGCTAAGGCTGCGTCGCTTTCCTGACTTGTTCTGTGGATGGTGTTTTACGAGTTTGCATCACTCTTCGGTGTCACACGGCGCATCGCATTGCGTGTCGCATTGCAAAGCCTGTGAATTCCGTTTCATGCCAGCGAACGGGTAGCTTTTGGAATCATATTTTATCTCATGTAATGAGACCGTCTTATTTGCCCAGTTGTTAGCCCTTCATTCGCTTTCCTTCACTTCATTTCTAACTGTAAATGCTCCTTTGTGTTTGCTGCTTCCAGGCACTCTTTGTCGTTGCTACTCGTTTGAAGAAGAAGTATGTCTACTGCTTCGACAAGTCCCCATCTCTCGGCTATTTTCACACCGAGCATCCACTGCGGCAGTTTGCGATATGGCTCACAACAAACCTGTATCCTCCTATCCAGTCATGTAGAGTATACTATAGGTATTATCAAGAGTATGATTGTGTGTAGCTGCATATCCTCACATCATACCACCAACAGTACATACCCCCCAGAGTATGCAGTTCCTATCTATGGGGGTGTGCGACGCCAGAACTTCACATCATGTGACACCTGTACATACAGACTTTTTTCTTGTACGGTAAAGTACCGCGAGAGCTCCTCACCTTGATTTTACAGCCAGGGAAAGGAAAATCGTATGGCAGAGTGCAACAAAGTTTGTGCGGTGTGAGAACCTTAGTGCACTAAGGTCACGCTTAGCATGTTTTGTTAATTGTGTGGAGCTCAAAGGTAAACTGAGTACGGATTGACTGCATAGCGATGTGTGTACAAGGTACGTGTCGCATGACCTTCAGACAGGACACCACCTCCACAGCACGGCCACGAAAGGACGATTTGGTGGGGCGCTCTCGCGGTACTTTATGGTCCATTCATATGGATTACGCGGATTTTATGCAAACATTTCTCGAAAACGCGGACAAAAGCCAATAACGCGGGAAAAATGCACATCCGCGGAATCGTGTTATCCTGTGGGGACAGAACCCTGCTTTGGGTACAAAGGTCTTTTTGCACTGTTAGCCAGCATAACATATTGAACCATACCGTATGATGTGAAACTCTGCCATCGTGGTATTGGGTAGTGACTGTGCAAGCAGCTGCACGCTCTTGGGGTTTATGCATTCTACTCTAGACACACATTCACAACTAGCCTGTACACACAGTGTATGCACTATCTGCATCCTGTGCATGACAACTACAGCTCTCTGATCTGGTGCTCGCTTTTTTTCTGTTTGCTAGCGCAATCTTTAACACAGTTATACACCACTACTCAAAAACGGTCTCTTGGCTACAAATTCCTCCAAATATAATAAAATCGCGCTATTCTTTGCTTCCTTTTGGTGCTATGTGTCTCATCGTTTTTGTCAGATATAATAACCATAGTCTTTGTTCTGGATTTATTATTCCTGAAGATGGGCCTGGCCCGAAAATTTGGATTTTATTATTTTTGGAGGAATTTGTAGCCAAGAGACCGTTTTTGAGTAGTGGTGTATAACTGTGTGAAACATGAAGTGGCTACAGTGGAGTCTGCACACCCTTAGGAAGGTGCTAGCACAATCCATTGAACTATGTCCTGTAATGTGAAACCCGGCTGTACTCTTGGTACCATGTGTTGTCCATGCCACTGTTGTTAAAAAAGAAAACAAGAAGGAAGCCGTGCATTCCAAAGATGAAACTGCTGCTTGTACTTTTCCCTTACATCTAGTTGCATCACAGACTCTTTGATTTTGTCGTCATATCGGTTATTTTAGCCAACTGTGTCCTGCTTGCCCTGGATGATCCACCAGTGGTACCAGAGTAAGTCTTCATTCTTCAGTTCAGTGCAGCTAGGTTGTTTGAATGATTGCAGCGCGTATTGACTGCAGTATGTTGCTCAGTTTTCTACTATGTCAATGCACCAACTCCACCATGCTCAATTATGGAATCTGTGTGTGTGTGTGTGCTTGCTTGCTTGTTTGCTTGAATGTGTTTGTGTGTGTATGGCTGATTGTTTGTTGGTTTGTCCTTCAGGTATGCTTTTCTCGGCGTGTATACCGTTGAGATGCTGTTCAAGATCCTTGCCCAAGGCTTTGTGAGACACCACTTCACATATCTGAGAGATGGTTGGAATAGGCTGGATGCTGTCGTCATTGTGCTGGGGTATGTACACTGTACATGTATCTGCCGTGTGCACTGCCTATGAACTTGCTAACATATTGACATACCGTATTTCCCCGAATATAAGTCGCACCTTTTTACACTAAACTTCAAGGGCAAAGAAGGGGATGCGACTTTGTAGTACACTTTGTTTCTCCAGAATCACAATTTTCGTGTTCCGCTCATCAGTGGAGGATACGGAACTGAGAGAATTTCTTGTTCACTTGTATTTGATTCATGATAATTACTTCGAAGTATATCAAACCATGTACATCATGATTACCATGTGATCAAATCGCGTTGTGTGTTGTCATCTGTGCTGATGCAGTGTGCACTATTTGCTTGTCTTTCTTTCTCCCTCTGTAGGTATGTAGCTCTGATTCCAACCGTGGGCAACTTGTCTGGCTTCCGAGCTCTGAGAGTGCTGCGGGCGCTGCGCGCCATTAATGCGCTGCCTGGCCTCCGCATCATGGTGAACAGCTTGCTGAGTTCATTGCAAGCCATTGTCAGCGTCTTCATTCTGATGTTCTGTTTTATCATCATGGTCGCCGTTCTGGGTCTTCAGTTGTTCAGTGGCGTGTTGCGTCACAAGTGCGTGCGAGAGTTGCCAATGCTGATGAATGGTACAGACAATGGCACAATGTGGAATGACACTGCCCTGGAGACCACTATGATGATGCTGGAGACAACTACCGCAATGGCGTCGACGCTCACTTCCACTTCGCTACCATTCACTCCCTCTGTGTCTGGCTTTAATTTCGCTGATTATGCCCACAATGCCAGTGAGTGCTGGCGGTGTGTGTGTGTGGGGGGGGGGGGGGGGGGGAGGAGGGGGATGTGTGCATGTGTGCGCCACGCATGCTATTTTTTGTGTGGTATGCTGTGGGTACATGCATGCTTGTTGTTTGTGGATCCCTTCGAAACAACATAACTCCCCTACTTCTCCCCAGGCGTTTATCTTCACCATATTTGACTACAGTGAAACTTCAGTATAACGCACACTGGATATAACATACACACACACAACACACAAACAAAACAACATTCTTTTCTCTTTGCATCAGATGTAAAGTATTTTCCTAAGGATCCTACGTATTCTTTTCCGGTCACTTGACCTCTGATGCTATACGGTACCAATTATTGTTATTTGCCTTTGGAGGAGTGCACTGACGTTTGGCTGTAGTATGACTCCACAGGGCGCGTCGCTTCAAACTTTTTCTCTCCTTTTTCTCCTTACAGGTAACTGGCAGTTAGAAATGGGACTACCTGTCGTGTGTGGAAATGCTTCTTCTGCTCGGTATGTGAACCCTTTGTGTCAGCAATGTTGTTCACAATGTTTGTACTGCACTGTGTTGTGAAAGCAGCAGCAGCCACTGGAATCGTGTTGCATGCGCTGGACTTGATCAATTGCCTGGTGATCGTGTGTGTGTGCTGTACTGTCTTCGGCCCAGATGTACTTGTAGGCCTGTTTGGAATATTTAAAAAAAAACTATTACGGAAGACAGATAGTCACCACATGAACCTAGTTTTCATGTTGACATCCATTCTTCCGTAACTGCCTGTTGTGATTTGGAGCTTGATCAAATCAGCTTGGACGAGAATGGGTCCGTATTTTGCACTTTTACTGTGTGTCACTGTGTGCGGCTATCAGCCCATGTTACTGTGATGAGTGTGTTATTGTTACTGTATAGACTTTCAGCATAGGGGGGGAAAATGGTCAACACCTCTCACTCAGTTGGCACTATGTTTTTAGGTTGAGCCATTGTTGGGAACCGAGTCACTCATATGTTCTATTCTGTTCTCTCTCTCTCTCTCTCTCTCTCTGTTCTCTCTCTCTGTCTGTGTGTGTGTGTGTGTGTGTGTGTGTGTGTGTGTGTGTGTGTGTGTCTCTCTCTCTCTCTCTCTCTCTCTCTCTCTCTCTCTATCTATCTATCTATCTATCTCTCTCTCTCTCTCTCTCTCTCTCTCTCTCTCTCTCTCTCTCTCTCTCTCTGAACGTACTTGAATGTTTGCTTGGCAGGCTCTGTGCTCCTGGTTATGTATGTCTGCCTGATGTCGGGGATAATCCTCGCTTTGGCTTTTTAAATTTTGACAACTTTGGCTGGTCCATGCTCACATCTTTTCAACTTGTAACCTCCGACAACTGGGAGGATGTATATAACCACGTAAGTAGTACATCTACACTGCTGCTGGGCATTGAAATCTGTGCTCTTGGATAACATCGCCAGCGGGTCCACTGTGGGCTTGTGTACGTTTATCCTACTTCGAAGTAGTTGAACGACACTGCAGCTCTGGGCATGACGTCAAATCTGAATTTCTTTGTCCAGGACATGTACTCCTAGATGTTATGTCACTGTTTACTTTGTTTCGCTAAAGGAGGGTCATAATGTATTGCAGAGAGAGAAAACGTCTTCAATCCACATGTTGGCTGTCACCTGGACTCAAAGGCATGGCTTGTCACTGCATGTTGAACCCTTACCATGGCATTTCTTAGTTCTTACAGCCATCTTTTTTTGTGTTCTATGCCTGTCCGTGTCTCTACAGATCTTGGCATCGCAGGGACCTGCGATCAGTATTATTTTCTTTTTCTTCGTTATTTTTCTTGGTTTCTTTTATGTTCTTAACCTGGTGCTGGCCATTGTTACTATAGCGTACAACAAAGAAGTGGAAAAGGAGAAGTCTGATGCGAAACGGGTAAATGTACGTACTGTTCACGACATTGTTAGTATGCCCTGTGTCCCACAGGTGTCTCATTCCATGGATGCGTGTAACTGCCAATGCCATCCTGTTGTACTGCTGGTATTTCCTGGCATTTGGCTTGACGTCCAGTATGTATGTAGTACTGTGTAGGGTCTCACAAGTGAGCACATATCACAAGCATTCCGTGTACAGTAGCAGCAGGTCACACTTGATGGTGGCAATGGTTGTGTCGGTGGAACTTGTTTCTGCTTCTGCTGTGTGTGTGCGTGTGTGTGTGTTGTTGTTGTTGTTGTTGCAGGAGTTTGGCATACCGCGAAAAACTGCTCTGTTAGACCTGGACCGAACAAATTCCGAACAGGAAGGGCCCGATGTCAAGGTGAAGACCAACCGGCGCCTTGATGGCCGAGAGCTACTACGCCAGCTGACGCTGTCCATCGGCTTTGAAGTGTTAATCGGAGGTTGTATTGTCATCAACACCATTGTTCTGGCCATAGAGCACCCATTCATCGACGAGGAGCTTGGCTTTGGCCTGTGTGTATGCAATGTGGTGAGTTTTGCCCCCCCCCCCCATACTTAAAGAATTTTTTAAGGAGGCAGCTTCATTGTGGTCTCTTTCCGATTTACTGAAAAATTCCCTCAAATCCTATATGCAAATGCCATAGAGACTTATGGCGCAAGAACAATCATGGGTTCTTCGTGCTTCCACCTACTTACAGTCCCAAAGCACAATGTTGTTGTACTCCTGTCTGCTCTACTTGTGCTTGTCATATGTGTAGGTGTTCACAATGGTGTTCTTCGTCGAAGCCATGCTGAAGATCTTTGCACACCGCGGACTACCATACTTCAGGTCCAAGTGGAACGTGTTTGACTTCCTGCTGGTTCTAATCAGTTTGTCCGAGCTCATCTACATTGGTGCACTGAGTGGGACAATCTGCGGTGGTACCAGAGATGACTCGCACATCGCCACCGCCCTCAGAACATTTAGGCTGGTGAGGCACACTCCCTTTCTGATCCCCTGTGTGCGTGGGTGTACATGCATGTGTGTGCGTATGTGTGCGTGGGCGTGTGTTTACGTGCATTGACACTGCACACACGCACGGTAGGCAGTACGAGCTACAGCTGTTAGAAGTATGTGTACTTAATCCCCACCTGGCTCTATATACATGTGCAATGTAGCGACATGATCATTGCTGTAGTGGCATATGGTCTGTCTACTTTTTCACCAATGCATGGGTGATCAAATGTTATTCTCGGGACCTTCTTGATGCTGTTACTGCTGTTGTTAAAAATCTTTATTCTCGCGGTGTTGTTGTGTCGTCGTTGTTGTTGTTGTTGTTGTTGTTCAAATGCTGTCTTGTCTCAGCTACGAGTCCTGAAGCTAGCTAGGTCCTGGACGACGATGAAGGCGTTGCTGAGTATTATCTCCAATTCTCTTTGGGATGTTGGTAACTTGACCATGATCATGATCATCGTTATCTACACGTTTGCGCTGGTTGGTACACATCTGTTCCGCCATTACTACACGCCGGCAGATCTGAACAGAGGAGGTGTCGAAAGATGGAACTTTTCAGTGAGTTGTTGCTCGTTGGTTCTGTTCTATCTTGTGTATGTGCTAATAGTGATGATTTCTTCCACTACTCATACGATGTGCAGCACTGTGTTAGAAAAGTAGATCTACCGTGTTTGCCAGAGCATAGTGTGCACTTTAGATGCACTTTTTCAGACTCAACATCGCAGGTACGCACTATAGTCCGAGTGTGAATGGCATGCAATGCGAAACATAGTGCAATGATTATGTGTCAAAGTGGTGCGATGTTTGCCGCTCCTGATCCGGCATAAGCCATCTTGGCATTGAGCACTTTGTTTGTAGTTCATACTTAGAGCGAGTTGTGGCAGCGCGAGAGAATGTTCGATGCGCTTGCGTGTAGAGCCTTATAGTCCTATTCATACATCTTGGCCATCCTCATCCTCATTGTACTTGCCATCCTCATCCTCATTGTACTTGCCATCATCATCCTCATTGTATTTGCCATCAGCATCCTCATTGTCTTCGCCATCAGCATCGGGGCTGTAGGTGACTTCATTATTCTCTGGCTCTCTTTCGTGAATCGGCTAAGCACAGCCGTATACATATGCACTGCGAACACGTACAGAGAAGGTAAACGAATACATTGGTGTGACTCAGAGTTACATGCAGAAGTGATTATCAGACATAATCACTTCTGCGTGAAACTCTGAGTCGCACCAATGTATTCGTTTACCTTCTCTGTACGCGTATGTAGTTCATGGCTCTCGTTAAATCATTATCTCCACGATATTAAATTGTTCATTGATAATGAACATTCTTTAATCCAGGTTACACATTATACTTCGAATATACCTTGAGTAGCCTAAATGTTAAAAGTCAGGGGGGTGCATTATACTCTGGTGCAAATACGGCATTGTGTTGCTGGCATAGGCCCTGCCCACTTGTGTAGTTACTACTCTTGAACATCCGTGGTTCGGGCGTCAAGTTTCTGTTTTGACTTGATCGTGAAGCAGAGATGTAGCGACCTATTCATAGTAATCAAAGGGGGCCAGTTGAAGCTGTCAATATTCATTTCACATTTTCACATGGAAACTTGTGCGTCTTGTGTGATGCTCTGACAGGATTTTGTGCATTCCTGCGTAACCATCTTCACTATCCTGTGTGGTGAATGGGTGCTGCCGCTGTACGATACGATGCGCGTTTCCAGTCCATTTGCCGTTCTCTTCTATATCCTCGTCATCTGTGTGGGAAACTTCCTGGTAGGTCATATGTTTTGCAACTGGTCCCTGTCTCTCTCTCTCTCTCTCTCTCTCTCTCTCTCTCTCTCTCTCTCTCTCTCTCTCTCTCTTCAGACTTACCTGTCTTTATAAAATGTAACTTACTCTTTCTCTCTCTCTCTCTCTCTCTCTCTCTCTCTCTCTCTCTCTCTCTCTCTCTCTCTCTCTCTTATTCTCTCTTCATTAGCGCCCTGTGGCTCTGTACTAGTTTTTTGCTCGTAGGTATGTGGCTAACTATGTGTGCTGGTTTGCTGCTGGTATATCTGTGTGTGTATGTGTGTCCTGTAGATCTTGAACTTGTTTGTTGCTCTGCTGTTGAACTCGTTTAACCTGGAGAACTGGCAGGCCAGTGTCCAGAAAGCTGCCAAGAAGCACCAGCAACAGCATAAATCTGTGGACCCTGACTTTCTTCGGCGTATGAACATTCCCTGGCTGGCAAAGAAGTGAGTTATTTTATGTGTGAAAGCTTTAGGTACATGTGCTGTGCGGTCTTGGTGTCTTCCGGACGTGTCACTACCACCAGAGTGCAGTGTACGGTTCATTAACGGTACTAGCAGTTGCGAGCGAGCACCCACCCTGGTGCTGCGTGGAATTTCCGCATTTAGCAATGAAGTTGGATGAGCCTCCACTATCTATACATATTGTACTTGTACTTGTACAATCTAAGCAAGCATTTCTCACTCAAAAGCTCCCCTTGCAGAGCTTTGGGATTGGAATAATCCCTTCCCTCATCCGGGAAATTCATTCACAGAAACACAATGTACTAGTATAGAACTTGCCCATACCCAAGGATGGTGTACTTGATTTCCTTGCAGAGCTTTATTGTAAGAGTTAACATCCATGTGTGTTGTATTGTCCTTTGCAATGTGTAGGCAACATCACCGCCCGGATATGCACCAATCCCTTTCCCGCTCCAACAGCTTTCCGAACATTTCAACTGTTCCCTCTGCCACTACCAGCAACTGTCCTCGGACTTCTATTGACATTGTGCGAGAAGTAAACGATACAAAGGAGGACGAGCTAGCAACCTGTTTGGGATGCAAGAGTCAGTTCAGTATGGAACAGGGTCCCGCTTACTTTGGCAGATTGAGACGATCTCAGAGCTATGGAGGGCCGTTCTGCATACCGAATGATGAAGAAGATGACAGTCCAGCACCCAAGGTCATGCTACGTGTTGTGCCCAGCCTGCCAGTCAGTAAGGATGGCAGTGCACTTCCACTGTTGCAGCAAGCCACTATGATCCATACCATCAACGAAGATGAAGATGTTGAGATGTGCTCGTTGAACCGCCTAACCCTTGCCCAGTCACCACACACTGTTTCGAGTGGAACTAACATATGTGTTCCGGGTACAGTACATACTACAACGGACTTCTCGCCAACTGCATTAACGTTACGGCCAGGATCCTCCTCTGGTGACATACGAACGCCATGCGATTCAATTAATGGCGCCGCAGACAAGCCACTCGCCTTTGATTCTTTGTCGCACGAAGAATCGCCAGGCAAACGTTTCCGTTTGGTGTCCGCTCAGATCATGCGTAAGATCGAAGGAGGTGTAAAGTCCAGCTGGTCCTTCCACCGTCCGTCATGTTCAACAACTACTGAGATTGACCTGCCGGGCAAGAAAACCAGTCGTGCGTTGAGATTTGTGCGGAAAGCGCGGCGTATCTGCCATTGGATTGTGACTGCGGCATACTTTGAATACGTCGTGCTGATTCTGGTCGTTGGCAGCTCAATCTCACTGGTGAGTCTAGGCTTAGGAGTGATGTACACTCAGAGCAGTGTACATTCAGAACAGTGTACATTCAGAACAGTGTACATTCCGAGCAGTGTACACTCAAACTTTCCCTGTCCGAACTTTTCAGGCCTGGATATATCCATCAACCAGGTAACGTCTGACCCTTCGAGTTGCGTGCGCATGCTGTGGTGTGCATGGCAGACCAAGCTGCATGGCTGTGCTCGGTATGCCCGCCGTCATGGATGTGTCTGAACTCGGTACATACTGTTCTAGCATTAGAGTGTGCTCCAATTCCTCTTGTTCAGCAGTCTAGTCGGAGACCGGACCTCGTCCGTAGCTGTATTGCATGTGCATATCGGCATGACAGGACGAGCTACTGGCAGGTTTCCTGTGCCAGAGAACCTGGCTCAGCTGGTGGGTATTGTCGATTGTCTGCATATGGCTATTTTATACTACCTACATTGGCGCAAAATTCTCGATTCTGGCCAGATCATTTAGCTCTAGTATCAGAAGCAACTTGACTAGTCGTGTTTGATACTGGTACTAGTATTGTTGGTTGGTCCCCTCCTGTCCCTCTCGAGCCGACAGGTAGCTGTGAAGTGCATTGCAATTCCTGTTGGTGCAGTGTTCTTCTTGTTATCATTATTACCTGTGTGCTCTTGCAATCCAGGCTTTCGAGGACTCCACGGTGGTGTCCAACTCTTCGCGGCATCGACTCTTGAACATACTCAACATCTTCTTTGCTGTCTGTTTCACCGTGGAAATGCTTATGAAGTGGTTTGGTCTCGGCCTGAAAGAGTACTTCAAGAACTCGTGGAACATTCTCGATTTCATCATTGTCTTGGTATGTCCCAAAGCATGTGGTGAACAAGTGACACTCTTGTATTCCAGTGAAGGATATATTTCCACCACACAACTTGAAAGAAACCTATCCACTTTGGGAATGAGGTTATGTTAGCATATTCGCTGCCTTGCAGTTCAGCTGACACAAGCGAAAGGGGCGATACTTCATGATTGCTGCAGATATGCAAGTTAGACGTGAAAGAAGTGTCTTATTTTCGTGATCCAGATAAGGGGGAGAGCCGATGCAATGGCTGAGCCGCAGAGCGCCGTCTTGGCTATCTACCTTTTCAGTTAGAAGTGTTGAATGTCTCGCTGAATGCTTTGTTTTTTTTTGGGGGGGGGGGGCATGTATAATGCATCTACTTGAAGTAGCTGATGTGTTGTGTGTATTGCGTGTTGTGTACACTGTGCTGCATCCAGATCTCCTTGATCAGTCTTGACTACACGGGTAACGGTGAGATCAGTGTGTACGCCGGTGTCCGTGTGGTTAGAACATTACGTTGCCTGCGCCCATTGAGAGCCATATCACGCTGGCCAAGCATGAAGGTAAGATCGTGTGAAGATGCTGTAACTAGTCTTCACAATCCCGGTTTCTTTTCAGTGCTGCTTGTTGCTCTGAATCTAGATTACTCCATTGCTGCCGTGCTTACAACTTGTTGTGGTCTACCCTGGTCCTTTGGTATCATTTCTGCTAACAGCATTGTATGCTGTATTTCTTTTCACGTGGCAGGTGGTTGTAAATGCGTTGATCAGCGCCATACCCAGCATTGCCAATGTCCTTCTCGTCTGCTTGATCTTCTGGCTCATCTTTTCCATCATGGGCGTACAGTTCTTTGGCGGGCGCTTCTACAGTTGCTTGGTAGGCTGCCAACGGAGCCACTTTCACTCTCCCTCTTACTCTCCCTCTTGTCGAGATCACAACACCTCTCCCTCTCTCTCACCTCCCTCTCTCTCTCTCTATCTCTCTCTCTCTCTCTCTCTCTCTCTCTCTCTCTCTCTCTCTCTCTCTCTCTCTCTCTCTCTCTCTCTCTCTCTCTCTCTCTCTGGTCACACGGCCTTAGGACTTGAGCATGCGTGGTTGAACTGCAACCTGTTACAGTGACGTAGATAACAGTGGAAGTAGCTATGATGACAAATTTGGCCGCTGTTTCTAGTTTGGATGGCCAAGCCTGTTTGTTCTATTGTTGCAACATGTACACATACAGGTCAATGACACGCAAGTGAATGCATCAATCGTACCGGACAGAGAGACATGCGTTACAATGTATGGCAACTCATCCTGGAAGAATGCCGCTGTAAACTATGACAATGTTGTCAATGCTGCTCTGGCACTCTTTCAAGTGGTAAGTAGATTGCAGGCAGGATTAGGCTGAAGCTTTGTCTTTTGATAATCGGGATGGAAAGCAGTAGCTTGCTAGAAACCCTCAAGTTCGAGCCGTGTGCGAGAGATGCACTCAACAGTTTCATTGAATTCGATTTCACTTTCACACAAAAGCCAGTGTATGCATTGTAGGGAATTACAGAATGGGCAGAATTATAATTGTAATCAAATTTGACCAGTGTCCTACTATTGTACTTGTGTTATTACATCTTGTGGGTGCGTGTACATACATGTTTACGTACATGTACTTCAGTATGTGTTCAGGCATGGAGACAAGGCCGGTCGATTTCCAAAGCGAGGCGGCTAAGCCTTTTTTCTTTCCGATTTCCTTTTATAACAGTCCGAGCTGTTTGCACAAGGGCTAAATGTGGTTTTCGTTATTTGTGTGTTTCCTTTCCTTGTCCGCAGGCTACGTTTGAAGGTTGGATTGAAATTATGGCTGCCTCTGTTGATGCAGTTGGCCTGAATCGACAGCCCATTTTTGAAAACAATCTGTACGCGTATCTCTTCTATGTGGTCTTCATTATTGTTGGTGCCTTCTTCACCCTCAACCTCTTCATTGGAGTAATCATTGATAACTTCAGCCGAATTCGAAAGGATGTAAGTTATACTTACTTGGACTGTGGTGATCACTTTCTTTTTGTTTGTAAGCTGTTTTCACAACTGGCGCGTGGACGCGGTACGCTTGCGGTTCATGCGTACTGAAACCCGCGGGCAGGCTTTCACAAAAACAGCAGTACGAGTCGTATTTAGGGCGTGCGACGCCTTCGAGTACTAATTTTTTGACCCCGACCCCGCCAGTCAAAGTGACTGGCATGTACGCCGGTACGCGCTCGATGCGCGCTGCAAAATACAACATGTTGGAATATCGGCGCGTTTCTGCACGCACGACGCCCCAAAAGCCAGCAAAAAATATGCACAAACGTGTGGTTTCATGCATACACGCGCCAGTTATGAACACAGCTTTATGCTTCACCTCATTCTCTTTTATTACATGGCAATAGGTCCGCATTGTCAGCCATTCAACTTGACTAGATGTGTCTACGGCTGTAACTCACTGTGCCAGCTTCTGCCATGGAAATTCACCCACAGTTATTTTGTATGTTCATAGCATTCACATCGAGTTGTGTGTGTGCGTGCGTGCATGTGTGCGCGTGTGTGTGTATGCATGCATGAACATGTGCATATCTTCACATCTGTGTGATAATCTAGCATGCCAATGATAGAATCAGCGGTGGTGGTGGTGCACGTCTGCTGCTCACCAATGATCAACAGAGGTGGATGTCTACCATGCTAAAACTTGCCTACGCGAAACCAAGGCGAATAGCCGTGAGACCCGAGGTAAGTGTGCGCTCTGGCAGAGTATTATGTTGGCCGTGGCCTATTGGATGTGCGTGCGCACACTGAAGTAAGTGTCTCCGCGTATATTATTCGCATGCACCAAAGTCTTAGGAGGTGGTGTCCTTGTTACCGTAACCTTGCCTGGGCATACGTGTACCGGCATATGCTTCATCAATGTAGTGGCATAGGCTGCATGCATTGTACTCCATTGCTGACAATGTTGGTGCTTGGCAGTGACATGCTGGTGCTCTTTCTTGGGGACAAATGTCGAATGTTCATCTCCTGTTTGGTATTTTGATCTTGTACTGGTTTCTTTCTTCCTTGTAGAATGTATTTCAGCGCTATTGTTACCACATAGCCAAAAGCAACCGCTTTGACCTAGCCATCATCATATTGATCATGATGAACTTGGTTGTGCTTGCTGTACAACACCACAATCAGCCGGAACCCGTCACCAATGCACTGTACATTCTGAACATCTTCTTCACGGCGGTCTACGGCCTGGAGGCCCTCATCAAGCTGGTCGGTCTTCGAACAGGCTACTTCCTGGACAATTGGAACAACTTTGACTTTGTCGTTCTCATCTTGTCCATTGCTGGTAAGCTTGGCGTAGCTCTTTTCGCGAACCTCTGGTCGCTATGTTATTGGGTGCTATGTTGGTGTACCTATTAATGTACTGCATGCTACTGTGCTCATGAAAGCAGAGTATGTACCTGGAACTTAAGGCAATAAAGGAACTTTTTCAGTGACCTATGAGCCTGACTTGCTGCTCATGTTATGATGGCACGTTGTTGCTGCACTTCTCAATGTATTTCTTCTAGTTGCATGACAATGATTGAACTATTAGCTCTCAGTTTCATGCAGTTATGTATTCTTTTGATTTGTTGTGCATGCCTGCAGCACTGGTCCTGGAGTCATTTCGCCTGACGTTCATTAGCATCGACCCAACGGCACTGCGGGTGATCCGAGTGTTCCGCGTCATCCGCCTGGTCCGGCTTATCCACCACTATCGCGGGATAAGAAAGCTGATCATAACGCTGACGTATTCACTGCCGGCCCTGGTCAATGTCGGTGGCCTCCTCATGCTCATGATCTATATCTATGGTATTCTGGGAATCAACCTCTTCGGCCATGTCAAGCTCACCGGAGCTCTATCTGATCAGGTTAGACTGGACTTTGAAAAATCCATGTACAAAGAAAGTGACTTAGTCGATGCATAACTGCTGCTGAGTGCTGCCATTTACAGCTGCCCTATTGCCAGGCACTAGTACAGTATTCCATCATGTTGCTCCCAGGTTTGGTTAACAACGGCAAAGAAGAGGGGAGCAAAAATCAATGCAATTGAGCATCGTGTTGTTATAAATTATAATTCAGTCAGTCTCCAGAAACGCCTCTTGCCATGTAGTTTCTTTTCATGGAGGAAGGGAGTGCCTAGAGAAATTAGTTCAAATTAGTATTGAAATCACCCTTGACTGAACGTTTGCATGCTGCTTTCCTTTTATACAAGTACATTCATACACATTAGCCTGTTTATTTTCTCACTGTCATTCTTGTTTTTGTTTGTCATGGTTGCACTGTACGCTGTATGCCGTATGCTGTAGGTGAATTTCAAAACGATAGGCCGAGCGCTGCTGGTTCTGTTCCGCTTGTCCACGGCTGCCGGGTGGAATGACATCTTGAATCCTTTAGTAATTGAACCTCCAGACTGCGATCCAGAGTTCGAAGGCCTAGTGAATGGCAATTGTGGCTACCCAGTCGGAGCACCAATCTACTTTGTGACATTCACGGTGTTCACCTTTTTGATAATTCTTAATTTGTACGTAGCTATTATCCTAGAAAACTATGTGGAGGTCAGCGAGGACAGTATCTTTGAAGATGACATTGATGCCTTCTACTATCGGTGGGCCAAGTTCGACCCGAAGGCATCGCAGTTCATTCACATAGAGAAAGTTGTAATATTAATACGTGGCTTGAAGGGTGCATTGAAAGTAGAGGATGCGGGCTCCGAGACAATAGCTGAACTGAACCTGCCGGTGTATGAGGACCACTCAATCCACTGCTTGGACTTGCTGAAAGGCCTGGTGAAGATACGACTTGGAATGGTTGACGAGAATGAAGCCATGTCACAGGTTAGTTTTCTTCTGACTTCTAATGTGATTCTTGATACATGTATAGTAGTGTAGTAACTTTCTCATGGATTATGCTTCATTTTTAAGATAAAGAATAGATGCCAAGAGTGCAATTCAGCGACCTCTCTTGTTACAGTGTAGTTTCATCCACCACGGGCTACTAATACTAAAAGACCATTCATGTTGCACGGAGGGGTGGGGTTGCTACAGTGGTGGTGGTCCATCTTAATAGCGCGTTGGCTCATGTGTTTGCATGATTTGACAGCACTTCAGCTATCTGGCACCGATTTGATTAGATTCTGATCGGACATGTTTATTTTGAGGGTTCTCCCAAGGCGGTTGTAATGGATGCATATCACAGGGAGTCTCCTAAGTCCGACCGTTGTAATTGTTGTGTGTGTGTGTACGCACACGTGTGTGGGTACATGTGGATATACGTGCACTTGCGTGCATGCACTGGGTATCTGCCTGCCGGTCTGTCCGTCCATTTTTGCTGCGGCAGGTGATTGAACGCATAGAAGACCGATTTGCAGAGCGGTTTCCTCGGCGTACAGCACGCAAACCAATCTACCACACTAGCCGTGTCCTGCCTTGACTAGTTTTATTCTTTCAAAAAGTACTTTTTCACAGAGTACTTCTCTTTCTCCTTACTGCATCTTTTCAACTTCCCTGTGGGTACGCCTCACAATGGCTATAGTGTTATAGAAACCATGCTAGTAAATACTTCCCTCCTAAACCCATCTCTTACCATGCCAAATCTTGCGCATAGCGTGTACATGTATAAACTTGTCCATTGTCTTCTCTTTTGTTTTTAGTCCACTTCAAAGACTCTTTGTTCATCATCAAAATACCACTGAAAAATAACTATACTACTGAACATTTTCTCCTCTTCTTTTCATATTTTCTGATCACCAGTTTGACAGGCAGGCCTTAATTTCTTTTTTCAGTCTAAGAACTTCATTATAGTCTCATGAGGACGTGAGCGTGGAAATGCCACTGTTCCAGTGTAAGCGCCTGGTGCAAGTGAATAATGGACTAGGACTGATTGTGTTTGGTGAGTGAGACAGGGAGCTGTGAGATGTATACAATCATGGACTACTTTGTATGTACAGGGCGACCCTCGTTAGTAGACAACCCGCGGAGTTCAACATTTTTTTTTGTCCTACATTTTACACCTGTTGTCTACTATCAGGACTTGCATGTAGGTACATGTATGACTATTACCAAGAGTATATAACCCCCCTGGGGGTTATATACTCTTGCTATTACTTTGTAGCCAGGTTCCGTCACCTGATTTACGTGTAGATCTACATGACTGCACGTCTACAAAGGAGTGCATTTTGGTAAATTGCAGGCCGTCTACATGGTGGTGTGTAGACTCTACACTACTGTTTGGAGGACACTGAAATCTTCAACAAACCCTACATAACAAGACTTAAAATTATTCATCATCATCTAGAGTCCATATAAACAGTTTACGGACTCTTGACTCTTGTTATCATATAGAACACATTGAGCCTTGCCTCGAGTGCATTCAGTTTGGGCATACTTGAAATTGAGATCTTGTGTTGAGAAGATACCCACATATACACAAGTCAGGAATACCTCATAAATCCAGAGCAAAAAATATTCAATCTTCACGGGTTTACCCTAATTTTTGTGGGCTCAAGTAGACACTATTATTATTTTGTCACAGAACACAAGTACCGTAAAGTACCGCCAGAGCGCCCCACCTTGATTTTACAGCCAGGGAAAGGAAAATCGTATGGCAGAGTGCAACGAAGTTTGTACGATGTGAGAACCTTAGTTTGTAAGAGCACGCTTGGCAGGTTTTTGTGTGGAACTTGTGTCCGCTCGAAGTTACGGATTGACTGCAAAATGTGGAATATGTGTACAAGGTTCGCGTCGTATGACCTACAGACAGCAAACCACCTCCACAATACGACCACGAAAGGACGAGATGGTGGGGCGCTCTCGCGGTACTTTACGGTACACGCGCAGTACTTCCAGCTATCCCATGTCGCTATACATGCACTGATTTTCTTGCGGCCAACGGCCCAAGGCATGGTGAAAGCCAAAATAAGTCCACTCCACGCTTGATGTAAAAAAAACGGTCGGCAAACCCAGCCGAACGGCCAGAAAAGTAGCGGAACCAGGACGCCGTCAAGTGAAACCGAGGCGCTGATTTCCTTGGTCAAACTTTTACCACCGCATAGAAGCCGCTGCAATTAAAACTATTGATAACTTCAATAAACCATTATTTAAAAAGAAAGGACCAACGTGTTACATGTTATAAGTAGTGTATAATAATAATGAAAGACTTAAGCGGGATTCACAGAAGCTTTTTTGCGATGCGACACACGGTGCGACAGGTGCGAAACCGGGAAAACCCCAAATCGCAGTCATGTCGCACTCCACGCAACTGCCGCAACTGGGCCATCGCAGAAGTTGAGCTTGGCTCAACTTTTGCGATGTGATGCGACAAGCGATTTGGCGTACGATTTTGACCTTTTCTACAGCAAAGTTGTACAAAGGTTCAAGAGTTGCCTATAAATTTGTACAAGTTGTATCAAACCGCGCGAATATCATGGTGACGTAGCCAAATCAGCAAGATGTTGTCGCATCACTGACTTCTTCTGTGAATGGTATTTCGCGAGTTCGCATCGCACGCGTCCGTCGCAGATCGCGTCGCATCGCGCGTCGCATCGCAAAAAAGCTTCCGTGAATCCCGCTTAAAGATGAGAGCGTAGGGGCTCCCTTTATGCATGACTGTCAGCAACAACTAAACAGAACGATGTTATGAGTCTTATGACTCAGAAAAAGGGATACCTTCGATAAAGCGTGTGATCATATCCAGTGCCCGCTCTGGCTGATCAAATGGTACCATGTGGCCGGCTCCACGCACAACTACTTGCTGCAGATTACGGACAGTACGCACGTACCCGGCCACTTCCGGGTCACTCTTGCTCAAGCGCCACACCTCACGCTTGGCTGAAATGAACTCCGTCTTGCCGGGCCAGTCCATTAGGCTGCACATGCGTTCAGTCAATGGCACGCCAACAATGATGTCGAGCTGTCCGTTGTAGACCATTACCTTATAGAGACCATTCTCAGAATTCAACACCTCAAGGAAGGCGGGAAGAGATGAGTTGGCAATATCAGCCCTCAGGAGGTCCTCGACAATATTTCCGTGACCGTATGGCATATTGCCAACATGAATTGCACGGCGAACAGCATCTGAGACCAGAACAGGGCCGAAATAGCCTTCCTCCGGTGGTGAGTCGGTGTGCAGAATGTTGAAGTAGTTGTTGGATCCAGTGGCGTTGAAGTACCATGTTGGGTATTTGGTGAGGTCGCCACCCATGAAGGAGTCATCCAACATGAATGCTTCCAGGAAGTCGCCGCGTGCGATGGCAGGAACAATCGAGCCATCAATCACTTTCGCAGCATACTCGGCCTGTGCAGAGTCGATCACCGACAGCTGATGCATGAGATCAGGATACGCTGGGTACATTGACAGTGGATCTGTCCAGCCATCACCAATGGCCATGCCCTTGAAGTTGATCATTGCGTGCGGATTGCCCGAGTTCCACTGGACAATGCGACGGCATAACTCAGGAACATATTTGCCAGCATAGGACTCGCCGGTGACGTAGAAGCCATTTGTCTGATAGTTTTCGAAGATAGCAAAGAACTGGTTAATAGCAGTGAACAAGTCACGCGTGACATCGCCTTCATTAGAAGCATAACCAGCTTTGTCATTGGTGAAGCTGTACCCCGTACCAACGGGATTGTCGATGTACAGAAGTGAAAACTTCTTGTTCCACGTGACTGGCATCTCGCCAATCTTGCCGTCCTTGGTTGCTGAGAGCGGTCCAAGCTCAACAAACAGTCCAAACAGTGAGGATGCACCTGGGCCTCCCTGCAGCCACAGAACCACTGGTGCATTCTCAGGGTCCTCTTGAGCGGGGAAGAACCAAAAGAACATATTGCTCCCATATTTCTCGTTTACAGTCAAATATCCAGAATAGCTAGCGACTTCACCCACACCCTCAACACGGCTCAGCTTGACTGCTTGATCAATTGAACCATTGTATATAAACGGGGTCAAAAAGAGGGGGCTGCCAGCATTTCCATCCCCACAGGCCTTCCACTTTTTGGGCATCATCGAGCGAAATCGCCCACCGCGGGGTCGTCCACCATCCAGTTCTTCGGAACATTGATTTCCTTTGTGCTCGACGCCGTAGGTCGAAGATATCATGAAGAGCACTATGAGGACGAGGACACGAAAGCCAGCCATAATTACACACTGCACCAGCTGTCTGCTGAAACCTTCTGAAAGAACTGGAGAGCACTATCTATCTCAGCCTGATCTACCTACTGCATGAAGTGAAGAGGGCAACTAACTACTTCAGCAAGGTCAGGTTCTTGTCTAGAAGGGCTACAGTAACAAGCCCCTCCACCCGTACCCGTTCGTATTCATGAAGTACTTCTTGCAGCTCTCTCTAGACTCTAGCTAGCTCTGGATCTGGATCATGGAAGGAACCTTTTTATTATTGAAAATACATGATTGTACAGTCAGAGTGTCTGTTATACTTATAGGAGCCCTGTGATGAGAAAAGGGACCAAATGGCTTTTTTTACTCAAACCGAGCTCTAAACATCAGAAGAAAGCTGGTTTCATGCAGAAAACGATGCAAAAAACAGAGCTGAATTATCTCAATTTTTGACAAAGCTACGGTCAATCTTCTAAGTGTCTTTTCAGATATTTTGCAGCCATACGAAGAACAGGATCATACAAAACTTTGAGGACTTATCGACACGAAATGTATGGGAATGTTTGAGCCTGCACACAGCCTGTAGTTACTGGCAATTGACACTGACATTTGACTGGGCCAAGAGGAAAAACTGTACAAGGTAATACTGGCATGCCACCACCATCAAACACACAAAGATGGAGCAAGTCCACGTCCCGAGACATTAAAAATACAGCAAGAAAATATACAACCAGCAGCAATTTGGCATTAAAAAAGTTTTGAAGTAGCCGTGAGGTAGCAGAGTCTGTTACATTACTCCTCCACCGGAGAAGCACTAGTAGCGGCACTAGCAGACACATGCACAGCTGGCTTCGGGCAGAGCTCATCCTGGAATTGGTCAGGCACATGCGGGCGGATCTGATTATAGAGGTATTGCTGTCGTTGTTCGGATAGTCCTGGTGCTTGAAGGACTGGGGGCATCCCTGCGGCAACAAGGGCGTCTTTAGACGTGGTGAGCACCTCCACATCGCTGTAGGTGTCTTCCAGGGATGCCTTGACACTGACAATACCGGGCTTAGCTGCGTCGAATACCATGTGCTGAACCTTGCGGATTCCTTTCACTGGCTTGAAATGTTGAGCCAGAAATGTATCCCAGGCTCTCCATTCCAAACCAGATCCAGGAATCAGCTGGGCCTTGTTGCAAGATGCGCTTTCATTGACCACTGCCACCAGCTGCCCCATGGTGTAGCAGTCGCTACGCCGGAACTTTTGCTTCAGCAGGCCAAAGCAGCCATCGACAAGGCACCGGGTATGGCCAGTCAACATGAAGGACAGTTCAATACGGTCATGCAGTCCCATAATCACCCTCCAGCAGAAATACGCTACGATAGTCCGATTCTTGTTCTGGCCTGCGCAATTATCACAGTGCAGGAGGCAGCCTTTCTCATGTAGTCCATAGAATGAAAAAAAATGGTGCAGCATGGAGGCCACCGCGTTCGGACCATGACTCGACTTGCCGTCTTGCCCGATGGTGTCTGACTCGTCGATCAGGTAGTTGACCTGCTGAGGCACAGCTTCATTGTTCACACCAAATATTTGCACCTTACGAGGTGCCTTAAAGTACAGGGGGCCCTCCTGACGTGCCGACTGCGGCAGTGCCACGTTCTGGGCAAAGTCGAACGTGTAGTGCGGGTGGTGCAGATCGCGTGAACATGGCTGGCTCAGCTGCTGCTGGATAGTCGTACATGCATCAAGCTCTGCCCGGGCCTGTAGTGTCGCTTGACGGTAGTAGTCACGCTCTGCTTGCGTTGCGTCGAGGTGTTGTTTGAATTCATCGCATGCTGCACTCTTCTCGGGTTCCGTCCGTGCTTCCTGAATCCGTCGGCGGAAATTCTCACAGCGCGAGCATACGTCAGTGCGCGGCGTCATAATCTGAATGTTTGGCAAGCAGTCAAGCCAAACGGACCGAAATGTGTGGTAGCCCACAGCCCTGATGCCTGATTCCTCTAATGAGGTCACATAGCACTTGTGGATGGATTTAACCGTTGATGACGCTGGCAGATAAGTTGGCGGTGCTCCAGCTCGCCCTCGAGTCGGTGCTGGCTGTGGTATGCCGAAGCGCTCAGTGTAAGTTTTTAGAAATTGCACAACGGCAGACACAGTATCGTACGACAAAGCATGTTTAGGCTTCCTGCCGACATTGCCATGGGTCCGTGGCACCAGCCCATTCTCCTCCAAGTGTTTTTTCAGATTTTTTAGTTGCTTCGATCCGATGTTGTACAGCAATCGAAATCCACCGGCGCAAACCTCTTCGCCTTGGTAAGTATACCGATGCCATTGCTTCTTTCTCTTCTTCCCATGAGTCGTGGTGTCAGTAGAGTACTTGGATGACTCAAGAAGGCCCAAAATCACCAGCTCCTTCTCCCCTTTCTCCATTTCTGCGATGTTGAGCTGCAGCAGTCGAACATCTTCTGCATCAAACTTGTCCAAGCACTTTTTGCTGCACCCGCAGTTCACAGTTATTTCTTCCGCAGCTGCCGCCTCAGCAAGCGCTGGTTCTGTTACTGTTACTGTCTGGTCCAATTTTCACGTGACACTATTGAATTTGTCACGTGTAATAAAGCATGAGTCACCGGTATATGTTATGGTCTTTATGACGTAATAATGCGAAACTCTCGACAATTACAAGTGAATAGCGAAAAACTACTTGTTTGTGTTGAAAAAATTTGCAACGATCAAAGAACGACCTTGCATTTCTTTAGCAGAGTCAAGTATTCACATGGTCAGTGATCATGAAGTGTAGAACATAGCAGCCATTAGAGTCCGGTGTCCTATCCTCTGTTGTCGTTGGAGGAAGTATGGACTCTCCTGTTGCGATTAAACGTCCTTCGCCTGACGACGGCGAGGATGCCCCGAGCAAGAAAGATGCTAAATTGTCTAAGTACGCAATGCGCAGACAGCGGATTTTAGAAGAAGAAGAAGCAGAACGCATAAAAGTCAGTGATGAAGGTGAGAGTAGTGATGACGATGCCTCTTATGTGCCGTTAAGAATACGCAGGGAGGAAGAAGTAGCAAGGAGAAATCAAATTCTTGCGAGCCATTTGCCTGCTCCTGTTGTTGAGGACAAGCCAGTGGAGGACGAAGAGGATCAAGATGATATTGCAATTCGTAGTGGTGTGAGTCTGCTAGATCAGCACTCTGAGCTAAAGCGTAAAGCTCAGAGGCACCGTGAAACTGCTAAGGAGAAGCAGTTGAAGGAGGAAACCGAAATTCTTCAAAGTATTGGTGAGAAAACTGCCCTCATGGCAGCTAAGGAGTTGGCGAAAGGAATCACGTATGAGGAGAGTCTAGTAACGAGCTGGCAGCCTCCACGGTACATTCTGGACATGCCTGATGCAAGACATGAGCGAGTGCGCAAGAAGCTACACATATTGGTTGAGGGTGATGATGTGCCACCCCCATGCAAAACCTTCCGCTCGATGAAACTACCGCCAGCCATTATTTCTGGTTTGAAAAAGAAGAGCATCACGCATCCGACACCGATCCAGATCCAAGGCATACCTGCTATTCTTAATGGCCGTGATATGATTGGCATTGCGTTCACAGGCTCTGGAAAGACATTGGTTTTCACCCTACCCCTAGTCATGTTCTGTTTGGAACAGGAGCGTCGTCTACCGTTTGTGACTGGAGAGGGCCCTTACGGCTTGATTATTTGCCCGTCCCGTGAGCTTGCGACGCAGACGTTTGAGGGCCTAGAGCACTTCTCCGCTGCTCTAACCAGTTCGGGTTTGCCAACACTGCGCTCTGTGCTAGCTATTGGCGGCATTGGTATGCGAGAGCAGTCTGATGGAATTCGCCGTGGCTGTCACATGATGGTAGCAACTCCCGGCCGTCTGATGGATCTACTCAACAAGAAGATCCTCAACTTGGAAGTCTGCCGCTACCTTTGTCTTGACGAAGCTGATCGTATGATCGATCTCGGGTTTGAAGAGAACATCCGAGAGATCTTCTCCTACTTCAAAGGGCAGCGTCAGACACTGCTGTTCTCCGCTACCATGCCTAAGAAGATCCAGAACTTTGCTCGCAGCGCTCTGGTTCGGCCAGTGACTGTCAATGTTGGTCGAGCGGGTGCTGCCAATCTGGACGTCATCCAGGAGGTGGAGTATGTGAAGCACGAGGCCAAGGTCGTGTATCTACTGGAGTGCTTGCAGAAGACAGCCCCACCTGTACTGATCTTTGCCGAGAAGAAATCAGACGTGGATGACATTCATGAGTACCTGTTGCTGAAGGGTGTCAATGCTGTGGCCATTCACGGTGGAAAGAGCCAGGAGGAGCGTAGCTGGTCTGTAAAAGAGTACCGTGCCGGCAACAAGGATGTTCTCGTTGCCACCGATGTGGCCTCGAAAGGTCTTGACTTTCCGAATGTGCAGCATGTTATCAACTTTGACATGCCCGCCGACATTGAGAATTATGTACATCGTATCGGTCGTACTGGTCGCTGCGGAAAGACAGGAGTTGCGACCACATTCATCAACAAGTCGTGCGACGAGTCTGTTCTGCTCGATCTGAAGCATCTTCTTGTTGAAGCTAGGCAAAAGCTACCTCCCGTCCTTGCGGCACTGAACTCACAAGACACCGACTACCTGGACCTTGAAGCCGAGAACAAAGGCTGTGGTTACTGCGGTGGCTTGGGTCATCGCATCACCGAATGTCCGAAGCTGGAAGCAATACAGAACAAGGCGGCAGCAAGTATTGGCAAGGGCGATTACCTGTCTAATACATCTGCCGATTGGTAATAGTGTGCTTGCTTGTCGCTTGCTGCACTTCTTCCTAGACTTGTATATACTACCACTGTACAAAGAGAAGGCCCTGGCTTTATCACATTTGTGTACATGATTGAACCGCGTTGATGTTCGGCACTGTGTTATTCCACTGCACATGATTGACTGGTTGTACATAGCTTTACTTTCGCTTTCCATTCTGCCTGCGCTGTTTTGAGTGTGTGTGTGTGCGTGTGTGTGTGTGTGTGTGTGTGTGTGTGTGTGTGCATGCTGCACGTGCGTGCCTGCGCTGATGTTTTATCCTGTGCTATTGCTTCTGTTCTGCTTTGTTTTGTATTTTCGTGCTCTCTTCTGGTAAGAGTGATGCTGTCTTTTGCATTCTAGTCATCTGAAATTGATTTTGTGTTTATATTTTTGCTTCTGATAATGCAGGAGGCTCCGCTGGGAGAAAGTCCACAGCCTACCTCCTTGTCATCATACAAGTGTAGTGTGTGGTGCCATACAGCTACTACTACTACAGTTGCGCTCACTGAAATCCGACCCAATCTGCAAAGCTGGCGCCCTCAACTGGCACGGCCTTTGACCGCCTCGAAGTGGCACGAATGCGGCTGGACGTACACATGTACAAATAACGTTACAACGATGTACCGTAATCGGAACTGGTCCCGGGTGCCGGCTTTGCACGTTCGGTCAGATTTCAGTGAGCGCAATTGTAGTTGCGTATGTAGCGGCATTGGAATTGGGTCTTCATATCGCAAGCCTTCTTTCAGGGGATGACTACAATGCAGTTCATTCGCAAAGAATTGATCTCCAGCCCTTTTCGAACCCGATTTATGCCGAATCAGGCGCATACCCAGTTCTACTCGTAATTTGGCCGGAATTTGGACCATTGGAAAAGCATTCTGTATTGCACGGCAAAAACATTATTACGGGTACTGCCTGGTACTTTAAAAAAAAGTCAACCAGTGACCTACACGGTATTCTTTTTAATTTTTTTTTACTTGAGCCACGTAAACCCGTCATGTGAGAGCCATGAATAAGGGGAGTGGTGGTGTGGTCTGGGATGCTCTGCCGACCTTGGGTCTCGGCTTCATCACAACCAGGCGCGCAGTATCAAGGCATTACAATCATGATGGTCTATTTATGGTCAAAAGCAAGACGATCTACCATCAGTTTTTTTCTGAACGGACTGAAAATCTACCATCTCCCATTTTTTAAAGACAGTTGTGCCAACTCCCACTATATCCTGCGGTCAGTATGAGTTGTGAAGCCGAACTAGTGGCAAGGGATGAGGGAGGAATCTCACAGCCATGGGTTACAGTGGCAAACGCCATTTGTCACATCCATTCGGTATTTGACTGCCTGTGTCAAGTATAATGCTCTTCATGCGGGGTGTCTGCCCCCCCCCCCCCCCCCCGAGTGTTGCATGCTGTGCGTTGGATGTAAATAAGTACCGTCATGTTGCCTCATGTCATTTCTTGCTTGTGTCCCAAATGCTCCGGTTTTGATGATTTATCTGCCATTCTGGTTTATGGATAACGTTATTACCAGGGAGTCGTATAGACCCAGGGAGTCGTATATGGTCTATATACGACTCCCTGGTTATTACCTACAATAGCTACATGTATGATGTATGCCTATGGCATGATTCGTGACTACAACTGTACAAGCTAGTCTTTGAGGTGTCAGAAATGTACAGCACTCTCCACGCTCGGTACTGTAGTGTAGTCTGATTCAGGTTGGACTGGAGACGTCGGAGAAGATTGTCCACACGATCATCGTCACCGCAAGGCAATGCCTGTCACTTGTCCGGTCGCGCTCGCTATCCTGCCTTTACTTTAGAGTTTGTGTAGCACAGCAGCAGCCTGGCTGCCAGTGCACTACTTGTAGCACTACCACTGCCACCAGTCTTGAGCGCGGCACGTCTTTTGTGTTCGAGTCCGAATCTGTCAATCGGTGAAGCCTGGGGCCATGGCCTGTGGATTCACTAAATCCGCGGTGATGCTCGCTTTCGTAGATCTACTTGGATTTGTTTCATTTTACTTGCTCTGCTCAAATTCTGCCACTTCAATGTGATTTGTTTAGCGCGTCTCTAGCATGAAATAAGACCTGCTGTGTGCGAGGCAGGGTCGAACTTTGACCCTGAAAGGACTGCGAGAGAGGGAGAGAGAGTTGCCGACCTTGTGCACTCGCCAACAGGTAGCACGAGTATCTACTGGCTAGGAGCACCAGTGCAGCAGCAGGCGTTTGGAGGAGTGGGAGGCTCGAAGCCATAATGGCCAGGAAGGAGTGCTTCGTCCTGCTTTTGTTGGCGGTTCTGCGCTGGACGCCGGTGGTCCACACACAGTCGATGGAGAAATTCCCACAGCCCCACACCGGCGCTCCGGTTGGCAAGCCCATAACTGCTACGAAGACCTGCGGAGTTGCGGCGAATGGGCAGCTCGTTACGGACACGCTTTGTCCCATGTCAATAATGGCAGCCGGCGGGGATGGTAGCGGACTCTTCTGCTTCAACTGCTCTGGCGGGGAGAACACCTACTCTATTCTGAACGCCGCAGATGAAGACAGTGATACGTTTTGGGCATCTCCACCGCTGCCAACGGATGTTGCCTCTCAGAGCGTCAACATCACCATTGACTTGTGTCAGGTGAGAAAGACTAAGTGCACGTCTAGCAGTAACAGGCCTAGCGCAGAGCAAATGCGCCAGGGCGGCGGGTACAAGTGTCAGGACTTGCACGGAAATTTTCTAATAAGGCCAAACTAAAGAAGGTGTGTGGTTCGACTAACATGGACATTTTTTTTACGGGCGGGCGGGCGGATTTTTTTTTTTTAATATATTTTTTAGTACATGTAAATACACTGTATACGCGTATCGAGTAGACTCTACTACCAGCACAAGGCAGCAGTCGTACCACTCACTGCACTGCACTGCAGTACAACTACAAGTCAAGTCCAAAAGGAGCCGCCTGCGTCCGCAGACTCACGCCCCACAGCACGTAGACGTGGACGTGTTCAGTCCACGTACGTCAGTCACACGACAGCCCACCGAAAAAAAGTTACGGTCGGGCTGAAATTGTACGGTCGGTCGGGTGAGTCGAACCACACACCTTCTTTAGTTTGGCCTAATGATTATGATTATGAGAAGGGCTAAACGACATCACCATTGGATGCGAAATTGGGGAACTTGAAGGCAGTGAGCTAGGCCTCGACCAAATATGCTTGCGCATATTTCCGCATATTTTGTGAGACAGTTCATATATTATTATGGCATATTGAGCGACAAAGGGAATATTGGAATGAAGCCAGCATATAATTCAAATATTCTGAAGAAAATGAGGACAAAACATTCATATTATGGACAAAATGCGTTCAGAAATGCCTTTTATGGATGAATTTGGAATGGTTGAGGCGTTTGCTACATTTCCCCATGGATGAACACTATTGCTACGGTTGCTGGGGACACACCCCAGCCATACTATTCTGCATGTGTTTTTGATTTGCACCATAAGCATGATAGCCATGAAGCCAATGAATATTCCAAGGTTGTAATTTTACTGAAATGATCTACACTTTCTGCTTATGTCGAGCATATTTTGGCATATTTTGGCATATCTTTTTGCATATCTTGCTACGCCTTAAGCATATTATGGCCGTTTTCCCTGATATGCGACGAGCATAATATGCTCTTTTTTTTAGCATATTTGGTCGAGGCCTACAGTGAGCCAGTACAAAAGAGTGGCACAGATTGATCAGTTTTGGCCACGCAACCAACTTCCATGTTACATTCCTTTCGCGACAAACCTTATTTTGAGTGAAGGATACATTCTTATGAATCCTTGGGTCAACTAATTTTTCTTGTTTTGCTTTTTTGCTGTCAAAGTGCCACTCTAACTTACGCCAATGATGAAAAGGTGAGCTCATGATCTTCAGCCATACTTGTTGTGTCCTGTGTGTACTGTTCCGCAGGAATATTCTATCGTCTCTATTGGACTGGGGTCTGGGCCGACACTTCGCCCAAGCGCATGGGCACTGGAACGCTCAAGCGACTTTGGAAGCACCTACTCACCGTGGGGATACTATGTGGAATATGAAAGCGACTGTCAAGCCGTTTTTGGTGTCTCGCCCAGCACTGATGGGGTGGCAACTGAGGACAACTCTGTTCTGTGCTTACCAGAGAGTTTGCTGACGAAACCGGACGACTCAGTAAGGACTATTGTTACTGTTTGGTTAAGTTGAAGTTTGTATCAAGTGTTGATTTACAATGATGATATCCACTGCTGGTATGATTACCTGTCATGACACAGTCAGACCTCGCTTATCCGGTCCTCTATTATCCGGATCCCTCGCCAACCGGAAGCAAATTGTTGGTTACCGATTTACAGCATATGTCATGCATACTGTAAATATACAAAATTTCGGCGCTGCAAAATTTCGGCACTTCACGATTTTTGACATTTCGGCGGCGATTTATTTTCGGCGTGGGGTAGAGGGCATGGTATAGTGCGACAGATGCTGTGAAAAATTTCATCTGCGTTTTAATTTAGGCATTTCGGGTCGGTGCCGAATATAGCCGAAATTAAATAGCTGCCGAAAAATTTGTATACTTACAGTACATAGAGTAGGTGTGTTCGATTATCTGGTTCCCTCGCCTATCCGGATATTTTGTGGAAAACGGATGTGTGCGGTTAAGCGAGGTCTGAATGTACCAAAAGGAGCGACTTCATTTGGAATACTTAGAGAAATGGAGATTACAGTAATCAATCTACTTGGCAGAGTGTGATTGCAACAATCCAGTGGAGAACAAAACATTTTTTCTAACTGTACAATTTAGGATCCGAAGTGCTGAAAGTATGGATATGTCACTCCTATGTGCAACCTGTCCTCTGCTGACTGTCAGATATGCACTGAACGTACCCATCTGGGCGCAACAGTTCCACCATTGTTGTCTCCCGTATTACTAGCACCTGTCCGTGGGTGCTACTTGAAGTATCTACTTAACACATATAACGGCATGACCTTCAAAGTACAGTTGTCTGAGCAGTCCTTCTGTTCTCCTACTGTTAGATAATCATGTCCTGGTGTTTGCTTCAGCTTGAATCTCGAGTTGAGCAAGAGACATCGTTCTGCACTTGACTGTATCTTTGCCAGAAATGGATGCTATAGTGCATGTAGTTTTCTCCTTTCTTTTTGTCTCCTCTTGTCCTGTAGGTCGTGCATGCCAACGTTTTAGAGAAGCGACCCGGTTTGCAAGGACAAGCTCCAGCATCACGTGCTCTATCGCTTGCGGTATGTTCAACCAACTGTTGCACTTGCTCTGCAAGCCTGAACAAGACTAACGATGTCACAAAATCATGAGGATGATGAAATGATATCTCAAGTGATTAGTGGTTTGTGTTCACTGTATACTGCTATGCGCTGCATCACTCATTGCAATGAACATGAAACCTAGTTTCAGCAACCACCCGTGAGACCAGCCTACCACAGTCTTTGAATACAGGCCGCCTCTGAACCCTCGTGCCTTCAACACATTCAGGCAAAGAACAGCGCATGGGTGGATAGATCAGGTTGTTGCTGAAACCAGGTGGTCCCTTGGCCAGGTTTACTGTGTGGTGGACATGGTGGAAACTCTATTAAGTGCAACTGCAGAGGATAGACAATCATCATAATTAGCAAGTGACAGCACTGCTACCGTTTCTTGTACTAATAGAGCTTCAACATTATCATGTGACATCAGCATCATCCACCTGTAGATCATTGTTTCCCGAAGTGAGAGTAATGAATCTTCTCCTCACGGATTCAACTATGATCAAGTTTACTTTCTCCAGACAATGTCGAGTGTACTTTTGTTATGATTTTGATGTGCTTCATCGATACAGAACTGGGCACGGGCTACAAATATTCGCCTTCGCTTCCTCCGTTGGGCTGGTGCAGAAGAAGATGGAACCGGCGATGCCAGTGGAATAGTTGGTGTGAGTTGACTTTAGACGAGTCTAGCACCACATTCAGAATCTCATATCCTCCTTTCTGATTGCTAACGTTAGATCACAGGATTCAGATTAAAATGCAATCATTGCATTTCTTCCAATCTCTTACTCTATCTCAGAAAGTCGTCACCAAAGCAAAGGTTTGGCTGTGTCTTCTGCCTCTGAATTTTACAATTGCGATCCATAGAACTTCTACTCCATCGCTCAAATCAATTTTACGGGAAGCTGCGAATGCAATGGACATGCAGAAAGCTGTGATAATCAACGTATTAGTTCTCCTGTGGAGGGCTATTCCTGTTCGAGCAAGTATGTTTGCCAGTGCGAGCACAACACTTGTGGCGATTCGTGCCAGTCATGCTGTCCAGGGTTTCAGCAGAGAGAATGGAGGATAAGTACCGACAGTGATCCGTTCAGATGTGAAGGTAAGCTGCCGGCCAGCCAACCCAACCGTGACTATGCATTGTGGTACTAGCTAGCTAGCTAGCTCTTGTAATCTTTCAGCCAGTTTTTATGTTCCTGCCATTGTACAGTGGGTAGTGCACCTGTACTGGTGTTATCCCTTCTACTTAGATCGTGCGTTCCATTGTTATCTGGATGGCTGCCCGTGCCCATCACCGGGCCGCACGTACACCTACCTTTCTTTGGACCTATACTAGACTAATATTACTAGTGCATACTCATATCCTCCTAGTGCATACATTCGTATCTGGATTATCCAGGCATTCCGGAACTGGGCACTGCCTGTAAGCAATGTCCGTAACTCTGACTGATCAAATACAGCATGTCTAAATGACTAAGGGCCAGAGATCAGGCTAATGATGTCGCTATTTCCACAAAAATGGGCAAAAAAGAAAAGAGTAGGAATCTTCCTACTAAACCTCACCCACAGAGTGCCCGCTAGACTGATGTGGCCGTAGCTTCGAGGTCCGGATAAGATAGATGCTGAGTGTAGCGGTGGTGGTGGACACACATGCCACACTAAATCGTAACAAGGGTGTTCACGTCCATGTTGCTCTTTTTCTGTAGCATGCCAGTGCTTTGGGCACAGCTCCACATGTTCTTACAACGCCACTGTCAATGAACTGGGACTTAGCATGGACATACATGGCCAGCGGAGTGGTGGAGGTGTATGCAGTAACTGTGCCGTAAGAGTCGATATTTTTTTCAATTCTTGTATAGTAGTAAATCAAAAATGTACAGTGAAACCTGTCTAAGACGACTGCTTAAGGGAATTTCAAAGTGTGGTCTCTGTAACCAAGTGGACTCCTTATCCAGTGCCATTTGACTGTAAATAGCATCCCGTGGTCCTGGCTGCAGTGGTGTCGGCCGTTGTGTGGTTCAATAGCCAATTGAGTCATCTTTCCAAGATTCCTTTTGAGTCTCTCTCCCCTCTCCCGGGGAGACCCACGTGACCAGTTTTGGCAGTGAGCAAGTACAAGTGTGTGTGTGTGTGTGTGTGTGTGTGTGTGTATGTGTGTGTGTGTGCCAGCTAGTTCGGTTGGTGGGTACACTTATGCCAGATAGTGTTGGGCCTGTTGCCAACGGGCTCGGCTGCTTGAAGGTGTATTGTTGTGCCTACCACCTTTGTTGGTTTCAGGGTTCATATACTTTCTATTTGAAGTATACATACCTGTTAACCATGGACTACTTCTGGCTAGATAAACTCTTGTGTAATCAATGGTGCTAGTGAAGCGTTTATCAGATCCACTCTGATTTAGCCACCCACACTAGTAGTAGTACCAAGTATTACCTTCACTGGGGGCAGGGGTACCTGCAGTTGGATCCCGGGACGGATACCCTGATGCCGTCAATCCTTTTTCTGCACCTTGTCCTCACCCACTTACTGAGGTGTGGTGAGCCCATAAGTGGGATCATTTCAAGTCCACCCTAGTTTGGGGATTTCAGGGGGTGTCGGCCGTTGGGTGGTTCAATGGCCAATTGAGTCATCTTTCCAAGATTCCTTTTGAGTCTCTCTCCCCTCTCCCGGGGAGACCCACGTGACCAGTTTTGGCAGTGAGCAAGTACAAGTACAAGTACAAGTGTGTGTGTGTGTGTGTACATGTATGGATTCTGGGTTGGAGGGAAATTATAGTTTCGACTAGACCTTTCGTACCATTACTTTTCAAGTCGAAACAATGGTGATTAACCCAGCAGCAAGCAAGTTCTTATAACCGGCATGTGTTAATCACCATTGTATTCGACTTGATTAGTAATGGTACGAATGGCCTAGTTGAAACTATAAGACTTCTGTGCTTTGTGTGCTCATATGTTCATGTATGTGCATGCATATAATGTATGTGTGCGTGCGTTTGCGGTGTGTTCACACTGTTGGCTCTTGATCAGAACAACACATCTGGTGTAAACTGCGAGCGTTGTCAACCAGGGTTCTACCGACCGGAAGGAGAAAGTCCACATAGAGCATGCATCGGTATGTACATAACGTTACATGCACTCAGGATTCCCAAATGCAATTCCCAGCTGCTGGCACACTCTTTGTAGAGCACGTTTCCCACTTGTGATATGTAGCTAGATCAACAATGGGCGTCTGCTGAGTCCGAAGGCAGATACTAGTAATAGTTGGTGAATGTCACTGGTGTGATGATCATCGTCACTTCTGGTTATGCTGCTCGCCCTCAAGCTCCCCCACTCTCTGCATGCATTGTCTCAGCGGGCTCAATAAACACATGACTTGTAAGACTGCAGCCACATGGAGGTTGGCCCTTTCGTAAGGATGTATGCAAGTTATATGAGTAGCTTTGTGCGCTATTGTGCAACACATCAATACTGACCAGTCTACAGGCGCCACTCTATGGTCTATGACAATCCTGCCGTGTAGTTTACTCCACTGAAGCTAGCTTTTACTTTGAAATACGTTCATTTTGCATCACTATGAGTTACCTGGTGTCGTAATAGTCACAGAGTGGTAACACTGCCATGGTATACGGTTGTGCTACAGCCTTGCACTTCTGAGCATTCGTACAATCATATAAGCTAGTGTTTGGGTCTAACCCTGCTGGGGGGGGGAGGGGGGGGGGGGTATGTTGCCCCACGCTCTGCATGTGACACACTACAGCAAAGTAGAGGTTTCAACACAAGTTGACAATATTGTTATGTGATGAGTGCCCAGCTCAATGAAACTGAATAAAAACTGAAATTCCCATTTTGCCACTGTCATACTTTCAGTACTGGCTGCCGGAGTGGGTGGGCAGTAAACCTTGAGGTTTCCACAGATGAATTATATCATCCATATACTTGTATTTCGGAAAGCCCGTCATTCCTTGTACTTCCCTTTACTCTCTTTGCACTGCTTCTCTGATATTGGGCGTGTTCTCAGCATGCAGCTGTGATGCAACAGGATCGATTGGACAGTGCAATCCAGAGAATGTAAGGAATGAAGAATTGTTCTAGCTGAGGGAACAATGGAAAGAGAGAATCTTGTATACAAGCACCAAGCATTCCCCACCCTTGGTAACTAGATGCAGAATAGAATCAATTGGTAGCCTTCTCTTGGCTCATCGCAGTCCGGCGCCTCTTAACTCCACTCAACAGAGACAGGAGGAGACCGACAGTGTTTGCTTTGGCTGCCATTAGCTTGTTTTGTTTGATTATCCCTAACATAGGACAGAGAGAGAGAGAGAGAGAGAGAGAGAGTGATAATGCAAGTATCCCAAACATCTATTGGTGTCAGCACCGTGCTTAAATTGCGCACATGACCATGTCAAGTCTCAGATGGCATAGTCCCATGGTTTCTGCACAGGGAAAATGCCAGTGCAAGTCTAACGTAGCCGGCGATCGTTGTGACCGCTGCAAACCAGGCTACTACTCCTTTGGCAGTCACTCCACAGCAGTGTGTCAGGGTAAGTACTAGCACTAACGACTGTGTTGGTATGAGTGGCAGGGACGTAGCTGGTCCCCCTTTCAGGGGGATGCATGGCCGCACATGTGTGCGGCAGCTGGTGCATGTCATTCATAGTTATTGTGTGCATGCTGAATCTATGTCAACATGTTTAGGCGGGTACATGCCCCCCCCCCCCCTCCCCCCGTTCCCCCTGCTGGCTACACACGTGGAGCCATTGGACTTTACTCGTGCCAATATGGGTTGGGTGTATTGGGGCTACGATGATGTGCAAGACCGCTCTGTTATGGAGTTGACTTTTTCTTCGTCGCCAGTACTGCTCTCATCTCCACCAGGGCCGGGCTGCTGTGCCATGAGTACCGTTTTACGACTTTGCTAGCATCCACTTCATTGTAAATCCACGTTGAAGAATCGAACCATGCATGCTGGGAAGATGTCTGAGTATCTCATTACCTGACATTGTTTCTTCTCTTTGCTCCGAATGTCGCACGGTTCGTCCCATTAGAGCTTCTGTGTTTGATTGTTGTTGTTGTTGTTGTTTCTCATCTGTAGCATGCGAGTGTCATCCAGACCGGACAATTGGGCGCATTCTGACCTGCAATCAGGTTAGTTCTCTCTAGTTCTTGCTCATTCTTTCAAAATCAAACATAGCCGACTTTTGTCTTTCCAGTTCACATATCGGTGTACAAGCTAGTGGCCCATTCTGGCATTTTGATAATACTAGCACAACCAACAGAGCACAGAGAGTGAAAACTAAGAACAAGGACTGTGGTCGTCACCCTTCTTTCCCGCTGTATACATTGACTTTCAGTTACCAGTGGTAGTTCAGGCTCGGCTATGGTAATGACGTATGGTTGTTGTGGCCAAGGTACAGTCAGCTTTGCGAGTAGCGACAGTCCACATGCAGTCACATGGGACTTCAGGAGTACGGGCATTTTTCTAACACCCTGCCGAGTGTCGTTACTCACACATATGACACTAACATGTTACCGTGGTTCTTTGATGTCTTCAGGAAACTGGCCAGTGTTTTTGCAAGGACTACTTGAATGGGAGGACGTGCAGTGGCTGTGCACACGGCACTTACCAGTCCAATAGTACTGGCAGTATTGAATGCCTAGGTAAGTGAGCAGACATTGACCACTGCACACTGTAGCTGCACTACTACTTACCTCGGCTCTTGTTTCTTAAGTTTGCCCGTAGAACTTTATAGGCATACGCGCGCACACGCACACCATGTACCATGTATATGCCCGTCGCAAGAGAAGCACGCAAATCTGCAAATGCACTGGATGTGCACCAACAGATTTTCTCTTATAGCAACGATAGCGAACAAGATACTTTTAGTACTACAGTAACTGGTTGTGTCAAGTAGCATTTCTACTGTATGGATCACACAGTGTGTGGCGGAAGTCACTTCTTTGCCGAGTATCTGACCTGCCATGTAACTGTCTGTCCTTCTCATTATGTGACTAGCATGTGACTGTGGAGCATCTCTAACTACTGCAGCTGGTTGTTCTGCCGTGGGACAATGCCAGTGTCGGCCAGGCTTCACAGGCAGACAATGTGACCAGTAAGCCGCCGCTGTGTGCCTGGTTCTCTAACTAACAGTCGTCTGTCACAGTATTAATCTATTAACCCTTTAAGAGCCACAGGAAAATTTCAAAATTCTGCATTTTTTCGTGTTCCTTGGATCATAGCTTCAGTTCTACTCACTCAATCCTCACAATCTAGGGCTTCCTGGAAAGGTCTCCGCGAGAGGAAGAGAATGAGGTCGATCATGATAGCCAGCACACCGTCTATCCAGCGCTAGATCGCAGCGACAGTACGAAAAATGCCCCAAATGCGTCCAATTGCGTCCCGCTCCAGATATTTCATTTTACTCGATCGTGGAGTTCCAATTTTTTCGCTGTGTACTCTTGACAATATCAACAGTGAAACCCGTGCAAATTCGATTAAACCAGCGTGCCGAAAAGTCTCAAAGTTCTCAATACTAAAGTCGCACTGCGCGCTTTTGAAATTGCCGCGATCGCGGCTCAACTTACGAGTGATTTATCTCAGGAACCGTTGCTCGTAGCGCTTTGCGGATTGTTTCTGCCGACAGGTGAGAGTTTTCTCTTCGCCCTGGATATTTCGATCACTGAATTTGAGCGAGATTGGACTGAGTTACGATCTTTTGAAGTTTTGCATTTGAATGCGTCGTTTACGACGCATTCAAGTATGGGGCGGCTCTTAAAGGGTTAAAATCATGCGCGTGCTCATGCGTGTGTCTGTGCTGTTGCTGCTCCATATGGTGCAGTGGTATGTGCAGTCGATTTCCAATTGAGAGGCCGCAGGTTTAATTCTTGACGGTTATAGTCATGTGGGTCTTTATTCTCCTTTTCGTTCTCCTGGCTACTCTTGCATTTTTCCTGGGTAGTAACCAACAGTTTGAGGGTCTCAATCTGCATCCAGTTCCATTTAGCATCAATCACATTCTCTGTCAGTGGCGCTTGAAACTCTCAACTACATGGAAGTCCGGTCTCGCATACAATGAGGGACATGACAATGCAATGGCAACACACCTGACTTGGGCATGAACCGTTTACACATGGATATGTGCCATAGTGTAGGATGTATCCCGCGCACTATCATTTCGCTGTTGAGTACATGATTAGCCCCATCCCTCACACAAACAAGTCAACAAAGAGGCATCTTTGGATTGAGGAGTGCTGGTTTCGAAACAACTGGTTTGAAGCTCAAAGTAGAGCTGGTGTTAGCTCAGAGCAGAGCTGGTGTTAGCTCAAAGTAGAGCTGCTGTTAGCTCAAAGTAGAGCTGCGGTTAGCTCAAAGTAGAGCTGCGGTTAGCTCAAAGTAGAGCTGCTGTTAGCTCAAAGTAGAGCTGCGATTAGCTCAAAGTAGAGCTGCTGTTAGCTCAAAGTAGAGCTGCTGTTAGCTCAAAGTAGAGCTGCTGTTAGCTCAAAGTAGAGCTGCTGTTAGCTCAAGGTAGAGCTGCTGTTAGCTCAAAGTAGAGCTGCGGTTAGCTCAAAGTAGAGCTGCTGTTAGCTCAAAGTAGAGCTGCTGTTAGCTCAAAGTAGAGCTGCGGTTAGCTCAAAGTAGAGCTGCTGTTAGCTCAAAGTAGAGCTGCTGTTAGCTCAAAGTAGAGCTGCTGTTAGCTCAACGTAGAGCTGCAATGCTAAATGGATGTAATATAGCGCAAGGCAGAGCCGCAGCAAATAGCTAGATAACACCAGTTGTGAGAGTGGACCCGGTTAGTGGGTACGATAATATTATGATGGTGTGAATAAGTTGGATAGGGAGGGATGGTGGGAAAAGAAACACTGCTGAAGCACGATCCGTTGTCTGGAAGAGCACAACAGGGCAAGCAAGATTTGTTTTTCTTTTCCGCAAAAATGGGCTGGTGCCATTTGTGATTACGCAGCAAAACAAAGCGCATGACGTCAGTCTTGAATGCAGTACAAAGCAATGCAGTGTGTGCGCTAGTTCGGATTGTTGCTAACAAGTACTAGCACAGCTAGTACACCATTAGCCCCATCCCTCACACAAACAAGTCAACAAAGAGGCATCTTTGGATTGAGGAGTGCTGGTTTCGAAACAACTGGTTTGAAGCTCAAAGTAGAGCTGGTGTTAGCTCAGAGCAGAGCTGGTGTTAGCTCAAAGTAGAGCTGCTGTTAGCTCAAAGTAGAGCTGCGGTTAGCTCAAAGTAGAGCTGCGGTTAGCTCAAAGTAGAGCTGCTGTTAGCTCAAAGTAGAGCTGCGATTAGCTCAAAGTAGAGCTGCTGTTAGCTCAAAGTAGAGCTGCTGTTAGCTCAAAGTAGAGCTGCTGTTAGCTCAAAGTAGAGCTGCTGTTAGCTCAAGGTAGAGCTGCTGTTAGCTCAAAGTAGAGCTGCTGTTAGCTCAAAGTAGAGCTGCGGTTAGCTCAAAGTAGAGCTGCTGTTAGCTCAAAGTAGAGCTGCTGTTAGCTCAAAGTAGAGCTGCGGTTAGCTCAAAGTAGAGCTGCTGTTAGCTCAAAGTAGAGCTGCTGTTAGCTCAAAGTAGAGCTGCTGTTAGCTCAACGTAGAGCTGCAATGCTAAATGGATGTAATATAGCGCAAGGCAGAGCCGCAGCAAATAGCTAGATAACACCAGTTGTGAGAGTGGACCCATGAAACCAGCACTCCGTTAGCTAAGCACTATTGACGCACCGCAAGGGTCAATTAATGTCAGCACAGGCAAGCATTGCGCAGCTAGAGTTCAGTAGCTCATTACTCACCCGAGTTGGGGATCATGGCATCCATGGCACGGCAGCAAGCCGGGATGATAGCTGGCGGTATGCGCTTGTTGTAGTCTGGATGTAGCGTAGACACGCATCGCTCTTTCCACTGACCTGCCACTCGGAAGAAGGAGTCGGGGGCACTAGCCATAGCAGCAGTGGTGGCTGCACCAATGTGGACCGAATGCCCGGAGTAGTTCGACTGGGATGGTGCACCGGCCGCAGAGACAAGAGACCATACTGTTACTGTGAATGACTGCCTGGTCAGCTGCTGTCTGTTCGAGAGTACGAACAAGAGTTGCTCCGGTCCCTCGCGACGAGTGACAGATGGGTAGCTAACAATGGCACGGACCGGGCAGTACGGCGGTACAGACGGGCCAATGTCACTAGTAACGCCTTTACCGAATGGGTCCGTCTTGGATGAAAGCAGGAAGAGTTGCAGGCGTCCGTCACCAGGGGAGCTAGTACAGCCCCGTGTGATGCCATTAGTGAATTCAGCGCACCGAAGAAATCCAAAGAAGCAGCATGACGGCTTGGCAGAGCAGCTTGTCATGGCCATTCAGGATACTACTTTTCCGGCGTGCATCCGTCAGGTGTCGTAGGATTGGCATAGTTATAGGAAGGCGAGGGGTGAGTGCAGCCGTACCATGGCATCGTTGGATGCCCTTCAACACCCTCTTCAGAAGCCACGCATCTACTAAGGGGCCAGCAAACCCATTCTCAAGGTGGGCTTTATGCACCGCACTCGCATACACAGATACAGTTCAGGGCACGCTGATCATAGTTCACGCATGAATGTGTGTCCATGAACGATGACTCGGGCAGCAAAAGTGAGCTTCCCCAGGAGGGACTCGAGTTGACGCTGGCCGATGCTGCGCTCGCTGATAGTAGCCATGAGTGGCGCACGGATCTCGGACAGCTTGTCCTCTGGTAGCCGAGCTTCGTGGCGCTCGCAGTCTAGGACAATACCAAGGAAGGTCAATGATGGTGATGGCCCTTCGAGCTGGGATGGAGCAAAGAGTGCCGAGATATGTGAACGCCCGGAGGGGGATGGTGAGTTGCTGGTTGGCTGCAGCCAAACCAGTGGAGATATCGAGAAAGTCATCGAGGTAGTGAAGCCGGTGATCTATAGCAAACTCGTGCTGCATGATCCAGTTGACTGCTGTGGCTACTGAGTCAAAGACGGCTGGGCTGGAGCGGAGGCCGAAAGGCAGAAAACGCTCGTAGTAGTAGGAGCCTTCCCAGCGAAGTCCTGACGGCGGACTGGGATCTGCCGAAATGCACTGCGTACATCGAGCTTGGACAACTACACAGGCTGTGGGCATGACATGATGATGTTGATCGCGTTGTCAATGCTCGCGTAGTGCAGAGAGAGCGGCTCGGCAGGAATGCTGTCGTTCGCGCCGGTGCCTTCCGGACTAGACAGATGGTGGATCATTCGCGGCTTGCCGTTCTTTTTGGGGATGGCACCAATACCAGAGCGCATGAACTGAAATGGAGGTGACGGAAATGGGCCTGTGGTCTCGCTGCGGGCGCAGGAAGCAGCTAATTGCTCGGATATAAATGCCGAGTGAGTGAAAGCCAATGGTAGATTATTAGAGAAAACCGAAATGTCGTGTTGGCCGGCAGATCCAAGAGTAAAGCCACGGCGCAGGCCATGGGGAACATACGCAACACATGATTGATCTGAGTGGTTACGTAACAGGCGGGCAAAGTGGTCAGCTAGCAGTGTGGTGTCTGCAGAGTGTATAGGAAAGAAGCTACGTACCGAGTCAAGCGATTCAGTAGCCATTCTGCTAGGAGCGGCGGGGTGGCCAATTGGCTCCGCGCTGCCGCTGGTTGCACATGATGCATGGGTGGTCCTTGCCACACTGGCTGCAGGTATGGGAGAAGCGGCACGGCGACGAAGAACAGCGACCTCCATTGAAGTTGCGGCAGATTTCTTGGCCGTCGCTGGTATGGTTGCGACCACTGGAGGCAAATGCTGCTGGCTTCGGGACGAAAAGGACACAAACCGCCCCTGGATGGACCGTCTTACATTGAGCGCATTTTGGGTGTGCATGGCCTGTGACAGCTATCTGCCATAGGTTCACGTCGATGGTGTCCAACCTCTTCGTGCCTGGTTACTGGGCCACGAGCATCCGCAGCTGGCGGTCGTACTCTAGCCACGCGCTTGGGAGGAACTGGCAGTTAGCAGTCAGGATCAACTGCTGGTACGCAATCAGTTCAGCAGTGCGGTGTAGGGCAGCAGCCGTGATAACAGACATGTATGTGGTCCATGCCTCGAGCCGGGTAGCTACATGTGTAATTATCATGAACCTTGCGACGCACCTGCTTCGCGTCATCCGACTCAACGATATTTAGCTGGCTATCGTTATTCGGGCTGTGCACCAGCCGGAATGTTGGGCCGGAAGTGTGCAAGAATTTCAGGCAACAAACTTGAAAAATCTACGAACTCCCCTCGCAAGATACGTTCTTGCACAGCCTTGGGCACAGCTGGTGCAGGTGGCTGATCAGGTGGGTTACAGGAGCTTGGCCTGGCGTAGTGGCGGCAGCTGCCGCATTGCCTTGGCCTTGGGTGAGGAGCGGCGCCGAGAGTGAATGCTCTCCGATAATAATAAAATGGCGGCCGACAAAGCCGACTACACCTCGTCCCGTACGGGAGCGCAGAGATCCGTTGAGCCCGCGTCACCTGAGCTGGCGGAGGAGGCATTGGTGCACGTCGGGCTTCTGGGCTCGCGAGCCGTGTCCGCACTGTCATGTTGCTGGTTCTCCTGGCCGGAGCAGACCTCACTACCAAGGGCTAGTTGTGCCAGCAAACGGTCCTGTCAAATACTTTTACTAAGTTTCCTTTCGGATTCAAGCCGCGCTGAGAAGGCTCGCCGCGGAGGGCTTGGCAAGGCATTGCCTTGACAGTGTCGACAGTAAGGTCAGACATACTGAAGAAATACAGTGTCGAGGTGACACTCGGGCTGGCAGCAAAGCTACGAAAGGAAAAGAAACACTGCTGAAGCACGATCCGTTGTCTGGAAGAGCACAACAGGGCAAGCAAGATTTGTTTTTCTTTTCCGCAAAAATGGGCTGGTGCCATTTGTGATTACGCAGCAAAACAAAGCGCATGACGTCAGTCTTGAATGCAGTACAAAGCAATGCAGTGTGTGCGCTAGTTCGGATTGTTGCTAACAAGTACTAGCACAGCTAGTACACCATATAATTGTACTCAATGGCTCACTGGGTAGCGGCTAGGTTAGCTCGAATGCATTTCGTAATGCACATGTTTTCCCCACTGGGAAAACCAGTGCCGGCTCACATATATGTGGCACTTTATCAATCCGGCAGAGCAACACCTAGAAAAGAAGACTGCTTTCCCATCAACACAGTCTGTGTAGATGCTATGTATGCTTTGCCCCATGGGGTAGACAGAGTGTATTGGATCGGCTGTACTGGTTTTGGGTGTGTTCTATTACAGAGTCATTGAAGGCGCTTTCTTGCCAGGTCCTAGGTTTGTTAGAGCTGAGTTTGAGTACAGTAACGTCTCTGTGAAGGGTAGCCGACAGGATGAGCTGCCTGGATACTCTGGTGAAGGCTACGGCGTGTTTGAGAATGAGGTAAGTTCACACCACTCAAGGCTGACTTGCAACTACTGTAGCATTGACACCCTGGTTCGTTCTACGTGCTTTCAGCTGAAATATGCTTGTTCAAACACACACCATTGGACCATTGGACGCCCATCGCCGGAGGCGATGACACACACACACACACACACACACACACACACACACACACACACACTACTACTACTACTATAGCATGACTGCCCATTGGGCAATGTCACCCCCGGAGGGGGCCAGAGTTTGGAGTGCACCGTCATTGGCAGGACTTCTGGTGCCTCGTCAAATCTTGCTGTCGTCGGAAACGTTTCGGGCAATGCATGCAGATCAGCGGCAGTGATTCCCTATCGGCTGCAGCAAGACGTTTTCCACGGTTGCAGTTATGGCGGTTAAAACCAGCCCGGGACTTGAAGCAGCGATTGCAGCGTTGACAATGCTGGAAGCAGCAACTAGCGAGAGACGCCGTCAATGCCGTATCTGCATGTTCAGGGAGTGCAGGCTGGCAGCGATGAACTGCAAGCCCACCCTTACTACGGAACCATCGGCAGCAACTGACGCACTGTGCTGAACCACGCTGTTGGTGGACGGGAAGTTGGCGCTCAGCCAAACACTTGTGCCGTGCCTTGTCTTGAGGACGAGAGAAAGCCCGGTTGCAAGATGAGCAGAGTACGGATTTCTCTACTGCCCGAGGAGGCTGAAAAACCAGAACCTGCTCTCGCCAAGCTGACCGGTCTTGTGCGCAATCAAACCAGTTTGGAATGGACTTCGTGTCAGTAGCCACAACGTCTCTCCACCTACGCCTGGGACCGCAGAAGGGGCGCGCAGCCAACAAACGACCAAACAACAGCTGCAATGGGACACGGTCCTCCGACATCCGAGCCACATGACCAAGCCACTCTAAACGACGATGGCGCATCTTAACAGAGAGTGGCACTGGGTCACCCCAGTGACGACGTAACTGCGCAGACGTGATGCGATCGGATTGCTGCTGACTGCGAGGGATGGCTAATATTGTGCGGATGCAGCGATGATGAAAGGCATCCAAACGTCTACTATCAGCTTTCAAGGGCGTCCAGCACTCACTGCCGTACAGCAAAATGGACAAGACACAGGCCACGTATAGCTTTCGCTTACTGACTAATGACAGCGAGCGATCCGACAAGACTGGAAGAAGAGCTCCAAAGGCTTTGGAAGCCTCAGCTATGCGGCGACTGACGTCAGTAGAGGAGCGGGCATCCGGTGTCACGACGGACCCCAGATAAATGAAGGATGGAACGTGCTCCACAGTATCACCGTTGACGTTCATATCGGCTCTATCAGGCATGTTGACTTGGCTACCTGCCACGAGAAATTTCGTTTTAGCAGCGTTGACGCAGAGGCCAAAGGAAGAGGCAACCGTGCAGAATGTTTCAAGGCACTTCTCAGCACCAGGGCGGTCTTCAGCGAGCACACACACACACACACACACACACACACATACACACACACATACGCACGCACACACACACACACATACATACATACACACGCACACACGCACGAGCACACGCGCACACGCACACATGACCATAGCAGAAAAGCGATCATAATGAACGAGGGTGGGAGGCATGGTGGCAGGGGAAGAGAGGAGGAGAATTTTGGGCAAACGTTTGATATTGATATGTGTGTGTGTGTGTGTTTGTGTGTGTGTGTGTGTTTGTGTGTGTATGTGCGTGCGTGCGTGCGTTCGTTCACATGTGTGTTTGAACGTAACGTTGATTGCTGCATCGCAGATGCAAGCCACCGTTCTTGTCGCGAGTGGAGATGGGGTGAAGTTCCTTCTGGCCCGCTATGCAACAAATGCATCAAACCCCAGACTGCTGATCACTTTGCAAGACAGTAGTGGACACACGGAGCAAGAAGAGCTAATTTTGCATCGTCATCTTAACATAGGGGTCTCTTCAAGGATACTCCGGCTCTTGTCGTCCGGGGAAGTCAGCGTCACTGTCTATGCCCATGACTTGGAGCCTGGGGAGAAGCTTCTCCTGGTAAGTTTCTGCTAGCGGGGATAGGTTGTGTACTGCACAGCCAAACTAGAGCTTTTTTTGGTATTATATTATCATTCCCATTCATGTGCACAAAATATCTGTACCTTTGAGGCTATACCTTGCCACTAAGAATGACATGGGTACTTTCACATGTATTCTAATTTCATACGATGAACCAGCGAACGAAATATACTAGGATCTATGGTGCCTTCATTTTTTCAGTTGTTTGTGCTAGCTACTCATGTAACTTGCTGACCTTTCTCTTGTGCATTCAAACTTCAGGACTACATATCAATCATACCCTTTTGGCTGAGAAGCGCAGATCCACAGGAATTTGACGTGCCAGAGTATTGCAGTGCGGACACTCCTGCTGACAGGTGGGATACATTGTAGCTGTGTAGCGTGTATTGTACATGTGTATATGTTTCTCATTGCAGCCACTGCAGTGATGTAGAATAGGCTGCATGGATATTGCTGTGGCTGCCTGTTGCCAATACTGGCGCAATGGGAAATATGGTTTTTCAAGGATTGCCATGTCACATTTTTATACAAAACCAGCACTACCAGGAGTAAAGAAGCTCCCAAGAGAGTGCAACTCTTCTTGGGTTTGCTATGGGTCTGTGAAATTATCGAATGCAACTAAAAACTACGCGGTCTTCAGACCCCTGTTACAGTGCGATTTCCTTGCCTTTTCGTGGAGACAACTCTAGAAACCTGTATTTACTTATTGGTTTCAACCATACTCTCAAATCAACAAGAAACAACCAAGAACAACGATCGCCAAATCGCTGTCATCAGCAAAAGGTGCACGCGTTGTTGTAAAATGATGTGTTGTTTTCCTGTGTGATGGCATTCCCCAAACTGTCTCGTCTAGTCGCGTGCATGTGTGATATGAGCATGCGCGATTTTGTAGTCGAGAGTCCTTTTTTCAGTCTTCTTGTTCGTCCCTTTCAGGGTAGTCTTTCATTTCCGTCATGTCAAATATATAATGTAAAACAAACAAGTCTTGTCCTTTGTGTCCTGCGTCCCGGGGAACGGAATGGCTGTGATTTCGTAACCGAAGAAGTGAAGCAGTGACAGTAGCCCTCCCTTACAGAAACCCACGTAGTGTCCTTGTACTCCACCCATTTAGCACACCACACAACAACACAAAGTAGCATAGCCAGTGGCTGGCTATATTAAGACTCCGTACCAATTTTTGTTTCATCTTCATTCAGGTTTTGCCAGAGGCGTGTTTTCAATGATGCTTTCTCGTTTGTGACACGAGCTGTTGGATCAGCTGTTCCAGGAGTCCTAGCGGGGCGCGATGTCGCTGCCATCACTCCCAGTACACATGCGGTAAGGGTTATCACAGAAGTCTGAGGACATTACACTAAAATGGCACAAACTACACACTCACACATTGTATCGTCACACTACACACATCGTCATATTGTCACAGAGGTTTACAGAGCATGTCGCAACTCCGAGTTTCTGGCACAATGCAATCATCAGGCGATTATGAGGACATTGTGTAGTGCAAAGTGTTGCTGATCAATGTTGTAAGATGTCTTTCTGACATCCTCTGGATCTATGTTATCATACCTTTTTAACTCATCCTCCGTGTCAGACTTGGAGAAGATGATTTGCTCAATTCTACAGCTCTCCGTCACTACTCTACAAGAGAAACATTATTAAAGTCATTCATGTACTGTTGCGATGGAAAACAATGTCTCTGAACTGCCTGCTCACTGCTCGTCTTTGCACAGGAATTCCCTTTATCCGATGACCGGAAAGGAAAGCGTTTTGTCCTAGTCATTGAGTATTTCACAGCAGCTTCTGCTCCTCTAGAGCTGAATGTCACCATAAGAAATGAGATCGGAACAATCATTGACACGACGGGTACCATCCAGATACAAGAGTGTCAGTATGTGTTTGGCTGCCGGCAGGTGAGTGAATATCAAAGACCTACTGAAGCGCCGTGTCTTGTTTCTCTGTCAAGTATAGACATCTTTGAGTATTTCTTGGACAAACACCATTTCTCTCCCTCCTCCCCCTCCCCCCCCCCTCTCTCTCCTCTCTCACTCTCTCACTCTCTCACTCTCTCTCTCTTCTCCCCTCTCCCTCTCCCTCTCCCCTCTCCCTCTCCCTCTCCCTCTCCCTCTCCCTCTTCCCTCTCCTCTCCCTCTCCCTCTCCCTCTCCCTCCCCTCTCCCTCTCCCTCTCCCTCTCCCTCTCCCTCTCCCTCCCTCTCCCTCTCCCTCTCCTCTCCCTCTCCCTCTCCCTCTCCCTCTCCCTCTCCTCTCCCTCTCCCTCTCCCTCTCCCCTCTCCCTCTCCCTCTCCCTCTCCCTCTCCCTCTCCCTCCCCTCTCCCTCTCCCTCTCCCTCTCTCTCTCTCTCTCTCTCTCTCTCTCTCTCTCTCTCTTCTCTCTCTCTCTCTCTCTCTCTCTCTCTCCTCTCTCTCTCTCTTTCTCTCTCTCTCTCTCTCTCTCTCTCTCTCTCTCTCTCTCTCTCTCTCTCTCTCTCTCTCCTCTCTCGTTACTAATCTTATGTCTCGTCCCAACCCATTCTAGCATGTACAATGTCAGTTGCCAATATGGCTTTTGGATTGCACTTCCCTTGCTTACATGTATGTCTTCGGAGATTTTTTGACAAGAATGGCTTCTCTTAACTTGTTGGCAGGTGCTTGGAATGAACGGATATCCATACATGGCATCTCTTCCTCTCACTGGCCAGCTCACTGCTCAACTCTCAGTGCTGCAAACTGACTCACTCCCAGCCACCGTCTATGTGGTAAGTGGAGATATTTAGCTGGCAGCAAGTCAGTGAGGATTCTAGAGCGCCCCGACCAGCCAGCGTGGTCCGACGTGCACAACGAAGAAATGAAACAGTGAAAACTTGAAGCGAGTTGTAGCAGCCCGATAGACTGAAATGATATGTATTCCAATGATGAATTATATCACTTGAACCAGTAACAGCAAACCAGTTAAACTAAAGTAGTCAAGGCATGACATCAAGAAACAGTCTCAATGTTTTCTGGTACAGAGCTCTCCTTCTGACCACCACCACCACCACCACCGCCACCGTCATCAGTTTGCGCATGGCGCCTTGTCAAAGCATGGCTGGTGGTATCTGACATAGCAGGCTGGTACATCAGGTAGCACTTGGAGCATAGAAGATGACACAGCAACAACATGGCTCGCTTGCGACATTTGTTTCGATTCTGTCCGGCCTTGTCTACACGTTTATTTTTACAGGCCTCTGTGATCTTGATCGGAGAGAATGATTGGTCTGTGGAGCTCCTGAAATCGGAGGTTCTGTGCATCCGGTACCAGGGAGAGTAAGTACTCTCAACAAGAACGGGAATAACACACACACACACATACACACACGCACACACACACACACACACACACACACACACACACACACACACACACACACACACACACACACACACACACACACACACACACACACACACACACACACACACACACACACACACACACACACACACACACACACACACACACACACACACACACACACACACACACACACACACACACACACACACACACACACACACACACACACACACACACACACACACACACACACACACACACACACACACACACACACACACACACACACACACACTACTGGTGAGCTACATTGAACGTTGGCAGAAGAAGTTAAAACTCAAACGTTTCTTCTGACTTTGACACTACCAAGTTTGTTCATGCTCCTTGCACCCTTCTAGCTATAGGATGCTATTTCACCAGGTAGGAAGCGTTGTGCGCTGGTTTGAGATTGTCACTGAGAAATGAGAGGTATCTGGATGGGGCTTGGAAGCGGGTGGAATTTTCCAATAGTACTGCGACCCACAGCGAATCAGGCACCTGTGACCTGACACTAGGCACAATGGCAACCTGGATGTGGCAAATGGGATTTTGGCCTTTGGCCTCGAATTGGTGGATCTGATCTATTCTCCCCACCATTTAGGGGCTACATCGGACGCCTCGATCATGGGGCGGTGGTGACCCACGGAAGCAGGAAGGTAGTTTTTGAACTGGCTGGTACGCGGATCTGTAACATCACTGCATGATCGGTATTTAAAACATTCCTGTATGCTGCCAAATGATGAGCTTGACCTCCGACTGCTGCTGTACAAGTCGTTGATCACTGACAATGCAAGACCTGTGTTATCCTCTGCTATGGTGCAGCTGCTTACCGCCAGTCCCACCATCCATCTCCCAATTTTCAACTACTGTGGACTTGATAGATGCGTCACCGTCTGTGATACCTGATGCAATGGGAAGGAGCCAGCCATTGGCATTTGTCGGCGATGAAAGTGACTATGCTTTAGTGTCCAGTGTGAGTTTGGCATGGCATTGCCTTATCTGTACATGTATCACTTTTCTAAGGATTTACACGCTTGAATGCTGCCATTCACATAATCTTGCGTCTCAACTGTCATACCACTGCCATAGTCTCTTTGATGCAAACGTCTTTGTATCTTCGCCAAATTGTCGGGCACAGCCCCATTTCCAATCTGCAGTATTGCTGTTGAAATTGAGTATTCCCTTGCTACAACGGGTCATGTTTAGATTTCCACACAAGTTGTCGTTCCTCTTCCTATTAGAATATTACATTAAAATAGTACCTTGTTTGCATTGGTTTAGAGGTAAAGGAAGGATTTAGAGATGAAAATTACGTTGCAGACAGCAGTAGTGCATTTAGAATACATTAAAAACCCTTTACTTCGACTAGTTCTCTTTTCTCAAGCTCTGGGCAGCTAGCTTTTTGGATGGGATGGTGTGTTGTTATATCTTTCAAATATTCCCATCTGGCATCCTTCCACTTTTCATTCTTAAACTGTCTGGCTGATGTGTTCAGGAAGGAGCTGTTGTCACAATCAGTCTACCCTTCAGTACCGGTGATCTGTACTCAGTGATGCTGCACTACCGACTACACAGTGTCTATGGAGGGAACCCATTCCTTGTGAATATCACCGTTGGACCGACCACATCAACGTATGTCATCCCATTTTGCCCATCACACACCGGATGCCTGGTTGGCAAAGAAGGATTCTTGTTTCCAATCACTCCCGACATGACATCGCTTACAATAACTCCTATCCCCACCGGATCTGTTCTCATTGTAAGTACATGTACAGTGGTGAACAGCTGGTTCCCCTGCCCTGTACTGCTGATGAAATGCCCATTCTTTCCCATAGTTTTGCATCTATTTGTGTTTGATTCAGGTTTCATGACCATTTTTCTAGTGTTGAAGAATCTTACTTTTTGTGCGTTGTTGAAGTCAGCACAATCCTCATTGACACGATCGGGGCTTCTTGCATGGGTTCTGCTGCTTCTATGCTTGTATGTTCACTATTCAGAAAGCAATCGTGTTTGTAGAAGAAATCTCCCAGCCCACCCAAGGCTTGGACGTAGCAGTGCCTCAGGTTGATAAGCGACTAGAGTTCGATGATCAATGCATCAATGAAGAGTACTCATTCAGGTGAGAATGCTGACAAGGCATGGGGAGTGTGTTGTCAGTGTGATCGGCAAATTTTGATGCCAGAGGTTTTTGGAGTAGGTTGACCCGGTTGACTTTTTCAAAGAATTCTGTGCTATTCTTGTCCTCTCTTTCAGTACATCATCTGACTTATGCCGCCGAGGCAGTATTAGCCACAGAGTGCAAGTATATCGAGAACCACAAGGTGAGCATTATAGGTAGCAACAATGTGGAAAATACATGGCATCAAATAGCTGGCTGCAAGCAAAAGTGTGACAATATTTCTGAACCCTGTTGGGGGTTGTGACATGCGCTGGTCCTCAGGAATTCTCATGATAGCTTTGCATAGACCTCGGTCCTACCGGTAGGACCTACAGGTGGGACCATCATGCACAGACATGCTGCACGGCCTATGTTCTAACATTGACCTAAAACCTGACCCTAAACTGTTGCTAAGGGTCTAATGAAGGAGTCCACACCTTTTAGACGTGATCAAACAAGGCATGTTACGAAATGCCATGGCAACAGCCCATGGCAACCATGGAAACGGAGTATGGAATTTTTCACTCCACTACCATGGCAGGCTAAGGAAGACGTGAGGTCATCACCATGATCGATGTGCCATGGTCAACATTTACTTTGGACATAGTTGCTAGCGCACTGAGACAGGAGTATGTGTGGCCATTGTGACAATTTATAAAATTGCAGATATGCAATGCACTGGACATAGTCTTGCATTTTGCGCCATTACTTTGCCTTACAAAGACCTCACCTCCATAATTTTTGGAGAAATTTTCAACCAAAAGCACTTTTGCAGCGCGATTTCTTGAGTCTTATTGGCATGCAGGCTATCATTAACTGCACTTGTACAGGTACTATATATGGCCAATGATGCAGCATCGTTCTCAATACGTTGTTCAAGATGCCTCCTTCTCAAGGCCAGTGCCCTTTGCTCCACTACACTCCACTACCTTATACCATACTGTGCTGTGTGTTGTACTGTTCTACCAGATTGCGGCTGTGACGCGGACGGCTCTCTGAATAGCACGTCCTGTGCCAGTGTCAGTGGACAGTGCAGCTGCAAACCGGGCGTTACTGGTCGTCAGTGTGACCGCTGCAAGCTGGTACACTTTGGATTTCCTAACTGCCAACGTAGGTGTTTCCCCTGGGCTCAATGTTCTCTAATCCTTGACATCGTGGCATGGCATTCATGTCAATTCAACACTGTGTATTTCGCATTCGGTTGGCAATGAGTGGAGCTTGCATCAAACCGTGATGTTGAAGCTTGACAATGCATTGATCAGTTATGTCACTGTGTACCACAATTATATCATGGTAGCTGAACATGACGGAGGACACAGGAACACTTGTTTGTCTCTTCTTGCCGATACAGCCTGCAACTGTGTAGATGGCGGCGAGTGCCACCCAACTCTTGGACAATGCACTTGTCCTGTGAACACAATAACACGCACATGCCGCCAGTGTGTTGCTGGTACTTGGTCGACAGATTTGACGCAAGGATGTCAGGTATGTAGGATGATTACAGATTTGATGCAAGGATGTCGTGTGGTATGTAGGATGAATATTATGTCATATGGCCACTAGCAGTCGTTGTTGGCTAGGTTGTGTAGGAGAACTCCCAAGCCGAAACCCAAAATGAGTATTGTGAGCTCCTGTTTCATGGTGAAAAATGGTTTTCACGGAGTCGTGCCTTCACCCAGTGGACCCCATTACGATGCTTTGTACCATTCACTCTCTCAGTCACACTTCTGCCCTTTGAAAAGCACTTGTCTTTGGCGGACACTACAAGTGTTTTCCAATGTCGTGTGGTATTCCCGCTGGACAGATTTCATAGATCGTTTTGCACTTCTGGTCCGGTTTTGACTTTCCCACGGATTTGTTCTTGAGCCATGGTGGCCTGAACCATACTATGATCACTAATCAGAATGCAGGTTTTACAATCTGGCCCTGATGTGTACTCTCATGCACACTCGACATTGACGTGCGGCAGAAAATCAGGTTAACTTGCTTATCCCAGTGCCACTTCATAGGGAAAGAGGTTAGCAATGGCTACCCAGGCTGCCACAGCGCTGCTGACGCCGATCATTTGTTGGAATTGGACTCAGCGGCTCTGTGTATTACCGTGGCTACTCTGTGTGTTCTTACCATCTAGGCTTGCAACTGCAGCACTTCTGGTTCACAGTCTCAGTCCTGCAATGCTAGCACCGGTGCTTGTCCGTGAGTAATCTAACATTATTGTCTCCCTGGTATTATCTGCTTGATTTCAGCTGTAGACCAAGAATGCCGCTTGGGTCTACCGCTTTAGGATCTGCATTGGACACTTTGAACCTTGCAGGTACTGTCATACCTGGTGTTGTAGTTTATGGTAACGTGGCAGCCACTGGCTGGAACTGTATTGTTACTTGTGCATGCTCTGCTCGGTATACCTTCTGCGTGATGCCATTTTCCGTGTATTGATTGTAGGTTAGTGAGTGCGCGTCCGTGCGGTGGTGCATGCTTTTCCATTCACTGATTGACCTGTCAGCGGTCAATCTTCTAGTTGCGGTTTCGGCGTGGTCTGCGCTGCCCTTATTCCGAGTTTGTAGCTTTTGTGTGCATCCTGACTTATGTATGGAGTGTGCTTGCGTGCACGCTTGCTACGCGTTACTTTTGGCAAGCTGGCCATGGTTCTTTTTCTGGCTTAGCTTCCGTTTGATCTTGGCGTGGAGTTAGTTCCAACTTGTGGTGATAACAGACGTTTCTCATTTTCCATCTAGAAGAATAACTAATTTCCTTGGAAGCTCTGTGGTGTTGTGAGTGAACTGGCCGTAAGCCGGCGTGGAGTGCATGTTCTCCAACAGCTTTTGGTGCCGAAACCCGGGACAACGTGTTGCAGAGTAGGACTTTTGTGGAGTCGGAAGGAAATAGAAAGTCTTAGTGTTTGTTCATGAGAATAAAATGTCTGTGAAGTTGGATGGATTTATGCGTCCGTACCGAGGGCGAGGTGACGACCTAGATGTATTCTGGTCAAAGTTTATGATCCTGGCGAAATCCCACAAGTGGGATACGGGCAAAGAGCAGATGGCAAACTTGCCGTTGCTCTTGGATAAGGCTGCGTATACTGTATTCAACGCCATGCCCGACTCGGACAAGGAGAAACCTGACGAGGTGAAGAAGGTGTTGACTGAAGCCTTTGCTCCTTCTGCTGCGGAGTGTTACCGCTTGTTCAAAGCGCGTTCCATGGGATCCACAGAGTCAGTAGACGAGTATGCGGCGGAGCTAAAGAGGCTGTTGAAGAGCTCTGGTCACAACATTGCGGACGACAAAGATCCGATGCTGTTAGAACAGTTTGTTGGGGGCTTGCCCAGAGACTTCGCCAGAGAGGTGAGAATCCAGTGCTCTAGCGGTAGCATGACTCTTACCGATATGATCAAACGTGTCAGGGCTATGTCCGTCGATGATACTATAAGTGTCAGTGGAGGGAAGTCCGTGGCTGCAGCTGTCAAGTGCTATTCATGTAAGGAGCCTGGTCATGTAAGAAGGAATTGCCCTAAGGCCAAGGGCAACAGCCACACCACTGGCAAGTCACGAGGGCCACAGTGTTACTCTTGCAAAGAGTATGGCCACATCAGGCGAAATTGTCCAAAGGCCAAGACTGAGTCTGCTTCAGTGGCTGTGAGTGCTGGGCATTGTCAGGCTGGAGTGTCTACTGATGCTGACGGAATCCCAATATCAACTGGTGGGCAGAGCTCTAAGCTGCTGAAAGTTGATGTGTGTGTTAAGGGCCATGATGACTCTTGGATATCAGTCGCAGCGGTTGTGGATACTGGATGCACGCGATCTCTGATGAAAGAGAGTGTAGTAACTGCCGTGGGCCTGGCTGATCAGGTGGAATCGACAACTGACTGGGTGGTCGGCATCGACGGCACGTCCCTGGAGTCAGTTGGATCTGTTGCTGCGACTGTCCAGCAACATGATGATATAGTTCAGCTTCCGGAACTGTGCGTGGACTTCCTGGTAGTTTCAAAGCATGAGGGAGTGGATGCTGACCTGATTCTTGGCAATGACGTTGCCAGCGCGGCTGGTGGTCTTGAGATACGCTACCAGAATGGCTCGGCGAGTGCTATTCGGTTCGGAAAAGGGCCCGATGTAGCGGCTGCCGCAGCTGGCCATGCTGAACGAGCGCCGAAGCAGAAGCTCTCGAGGCACATCTCTGTTGAGCGAGATTCGGATGGTGTCACCCTCAGTTCAGCCGATTTCAAGGTGCGCTGGGACAATAGTGCAAAGTCGTGGACCGTCGCCTGGGTCTGGGGAGGTGGTGTAGAGCCGACTGATAGCATTGGCTCCGGAGTGACACAGTACTCACGGAAGAAGCTCTCTGCAGAGCAGGAGCAACAGTACCAGAAGGAGGTGCAGTCGTGGATCGACCATGGTTGGATGGTGCCCCATGATCCAGATCGACACGGCAAGTCAGGTGCGATCCTCCCTCTAATGGCTGTGTGTCAAGGACACAAGGCGTCTACGCCTGTACGTCCCTGCTTAGACTACCGTCGTTTGAATGAGGCGATTCTTTCCCATCCTGGAGGCGACGCGCCTGCATGCGACCAGAAGATCAGGGAGTGGAGACGCCGTGGCGGTGACCAGGTAGTCGTCGATATCAAGAAGGCGTTTTTACAAGTTCACGTCGACCCCAGCCTCGTTCGGTATCAGACCGTGGTATTCAATGGAGTCACGTATGTCATGGAACGAATGGCATTTGGTCTCAGCATAGCTCCGAAAGTCATGGACGCCATCGTGAAGTTTGCGCTGTGCGACTTTCCTGATGCAGACAACTATGTCGACGATGTCGTTGCTCCGTCCGAACAACTTCCGGAGGTGACTGCGGCGCTGAGTCGGTACGGATTACCGACGAAGCCACCAGAGGTACTTGCCGGCGCAAGGGTGCTTGGCATGCAACTATCGGTTGCTACGTCGAGTGAAGACGTGATGTGGCGTCGCCGTGATGGCATGGATCTGACGTTGCCAGAGCAGCCGACGAAGCGAGAAGTGTTCTCCTGGTGCGGTCGATTGACGAGTCATTACCCTGTTGCATCGTGGCTGCGACCGTGCTGTAGCTACATCAAGCGAGTGAGCTGTGAAGATGCTGCGGTTTGGGATAAGCCTGTCTCAGCTGCGCTCGAGAAGTTGTGTCGTGCGGTGGAGGATCAAGTTTCACGAGAGGATCCCGTCAACGGCAAGTGGACAGTCAAGTCGACTGGTGGCGTGTCCCTATGGTGCGATGCATCCAACCTGGCGCTAGGTGTTGTCATCAGCGAAGATGGCTCCGTGATTGAGGATCACTGTTGGCTCAGGCCTAAGTCAGACAAGCGGCACATCAACGTTGCCGAGTTAGACGCCGTCCTTCGTGGCTTGTCTGCTGTCGTGGATCACAGAGTGGCCAACGTTCGAGTCATGACCGATTCGAAGACGGTGCATGGATGGCTAAAGTCTCTCTTGGGCAACATCCAGCGAGTGAAGGTGAATGGCCTCTACAGAGCTCTTGTAGAGCGTAGATTGCAGCTGATTGACGACTTGGTCGAGGTTTACAAGTTGAAGATATCTGTCGAGTGGGTGCCTTCACAGAAAAACCTGGCTGACCGTCTGACCCGTGTGCCGGCATCCTGGCTCAAGATGCCCGAGTCACCGGTGGTTGCGGCGGCGACCCAGAGCAGTGCGTGTGCAGGTGTCCACAGTTCTGCCCCACTTGCCTTCGACATCATCCGGGACCAGCAGGGAGCAGATACTGCCATCCAGCAGACGGTGGAGGATGTCAACGGTATGCAGACAGTTAGGGCGAAGCAGTTTCAGAAGGTGGCACCACAGCTGAGAGTGCGGGATGGCGTGCTGTATCGGTCAATCAAGTTGCCGCCTGCCAATGAAGCATGCGAGGTGCCCGTGATTCCGAGCTTGCTAGAGCAAGATGCCCTCCGAATCGCCCATGAGAACACTGGCCACGGATCATGGGAGGTGGTCCATGAGATGATGCGTCAGCAGTGCTACCTTCCTGGGATGGCAAGGAAGTGCCAGGAGTTCGTCGGTCTTTGCGACAGTTGTGCCGCTGCAAACCCTGCTGCTGGTGGTCATGCTTCGCCGACACGTCCCGAAGTGCCGGCGCGCCCATGGCAAGTTGTGGCGATTGATACCTTGGAGCTAGGACCGAGCCGAGCTGGGTTCCATTGCGTCTTGGTGTGTACGGATATGTTCACGCGCTATGTGGAGGTGATACCTTTGAAGCACCATGACGCTAAGTCAGTTGCCGAGGCGTTTGTGTCTGTGTGCTGCCGATGGGGTCCGCCGGAGGTGGTCAGATCAGACAACGGAACAGAGTTCGTCAATGCTGTCATGGACGCCTTGTACTTGGCGTTTGGAGTGGAAGTCAAGCACGGTGCAGTGCGACACCCTCAGTCACAAGGAAGCGTGGAGAGATTCAACCGGACCCTGTTGACTCTGATTCGCAAAGTACACTCGCAGTCCAACGACTGGAAGACCGACCTGTCAATGCTGCTGTACTTCTATCGCGTCCGACCGCATGGAGCAACGGGAGTTTCGCCTCAGCTAGCGATGACTGGTTGGCAGCCCCGTGGTCTTGTTGTAGAGGCCCAACAGCCCCTGTACACCTTGCCAGCATGGACGGCTGAGCTGCAGCGTCAAGCAGCTGCCATTCGTGATTTGATCGATGAAGAAATGGCGTCAGCTGATTCCCAAGAAGACGCCGACAAAGCAAGTTGCTGTTACGGGCCTGGTGACGTGGTGATGATGAAGATGACCAGCCGCGCGCAGAAACGCCTCCCGAAGTTTCAGCTTGGCTGGAGAGTCAAGAAGGTGTTGTCGGAGTCGACTGTAGTCGTTCAGAAAGTGGAAGACCCCAGGGTGGAGAAGATCGTCAACGTAGAGCTGCTGAAGCGTGCCGCAGCCAATCCTACTGTAGACCTGCCTGAGCCGCCTCAGCCAGATGATGCGAGCGAGGATGACGGTGGTTACCCGATGCGGCTAGAGCCCGGTGAGCTAGTCGCAGGTGTGCCTAGAGCTGAAGAGCCAAGATATGTGCTCCGGAACAGAGCTGGTATCAGGGCTCCAGTGAGATACGACTGAGAACTAGTAGCTGGTGATGGTTCGCAGAACTTTCATGTCCTTTCGTTTCTCTTTGCTTCTTTCGATGTGCTTGCCTATTATTGTCTTTTTAAGGTGATGTTACCAGGGAGGGAGATGTTGTAGTTTATGGTAACGTGGCAGCCACTGGCTGGAACTGTATTGTTACTTGTGCATGCTCTGCTCGGTATACCTTCTGCGTGATGCCATTTTCCGTGTATTGATTGTAGGTTAGTGAGTGCGCGTCCGTGCGGTGGTGCATGCTTTTCCATTCACTGATTGACCTGTCAGCGGTCAATCTTCTAGTTGCGGTTTCGGCGTGGTCTGCGCTGCCCTTATTCCGAGTTTGTAGCTTTTGTGTGCATCCTGACTTATGTATGGAGTGTGCTTGCGTGCACGCTTGCTACGCGTTACTTTTGGCAAGCTGGCCATGGTTCTTTTTCTGGCTTAGCTTCCGTTTGATCTTGGCGTGGAGTTAGTTCCAACTTGTGGTGATAACAGACGTTTCTCATTTTCCATCTAGAAGAATAACTAATTTCCTTGGAAGCTCTGTGGTGTTGTGAGTGAACTGGCCGTAAGCCGGCGTGGAGTGCATGTTCTCCAACACTGGTCATGCAGAACATGTCGACAGACGTTCACATGAGCAAGGCATGCAATTGTATTGTTTGCTGATCTGTGGGTGATCGCTGGGTAGTTCTGCTGGCATCATGCAACTTAGAGTTCATTTTGGTTAACGTGATGATTCGAGCAGCCGGTTAGTTGTAGCGTATATGTGCTGTGCTATCAGTGTTATGTTGTCTGCATACTCTGCTCACTAGATGTGGGTTGTGTGCACCTTGGCTATTGGTATGATCTGTGTTATCATGCTGTAGGTGCTTGCCCGGTTATGGCGGCCAGACATGCAATGAATGCGCTGACGAGTATACTGGCCACCCAGCATGTAGAGCGTGCAACTGTGCTGCAGGCAGTGGTCACAATGTCTGCTCCAAGACGACTGGAGACTGTGTGTGCAAAGTAGGTGCATGCATATACTCGCACAGTGTGTGGTCACTGCAAACTAGCTGATTTTGATTTTGACGAGTTGCCGAAACGTTACAGCTAAGATACTATATAACAGCTAAGATACTATTCGTTGTCTACAGTCTACAGTAGTTGTCCTGATTGCTAACATGATGGTATTGCCCTCATCTCTGAGGTTGCTAACATGATGGTATTGCCCTCATCTCTGAGGTTGCTAACATGATGGTATTGCCCTCATCTCTGAGGTTGCTAACATGATGGTATTGCCCTCATCACTGAGGTTGCTAACATGATGGTATTGCCCTCATCTCTGAGGTTGCTAACATGATGGTATTGCCCTCATCACTGGGGTTGCTTCCCACACTAGTGTTAGTGTTACTTGAATGTGCCATGAGATTGAGTGGAATAAGTAGATGATGATAGCTTCCAGATCTGCTCATTGTCATGTGAGCTCCCATTGAGTGAACGTGCTATTGATGTACCATAGCATGCTTTACACCAATGGCATACAGATGCAGGCTGCGAGAACCGGTCCGGTTGGTCAGGTGATCACCGGACCAGCCTGTTGTCCACCAACTCATGCTTACTGCTGAGGAGCTGGTTATGTGTATCCGCTATATCATACACCAAATATTATGGTATGGCCGCACTAATCAAGAACTGCTTCTGGAGATACTGTTATAAATGTGCTTGTTACTGCAGGCAAGAGTACGTGGCCCACTGTGTGATGTCTGTATGGATGGATACTTCAATCTTGTTGAGTCTAATGCCGAGGGGTGTACTGGTGAGCTGCGAGGAATGCTTCTAGTTCTACTATTCATCAGCGTCTCATTCCCACAACGCATGCTGTTATCTCGCTGAAAAAATGTGTTCGATTCCCGTTCTGATTGTGTAAGATGATGGCTTGGAGGCGGGTTGTGATGTAGTATGATAGTGGGGACTACGTCAACCCTGGATAGCCTTACATGGATAATGAGTTCAACTTGGTGTGTTTCTCGATCTGCGGACAGAACTGTTTCGTCTTTTGTGGACTCATCAGCACAACACAGAGAAAATGAGGCCGAACCTGATACTTGGGTGTGTTATGTTGCTCCTTTCCCGTCTGACTTTTCTGTCTCGGTCTCATCTGTTGTTTTCTTCCATCAGACTGTGCGTGTGATGCAGTTGGCACGGTGGAGAGCATGCCGTGTGACAAGACAAGCGGGCAGTGTGTCTGCAAGAGCAATGTAACTGGAACCACCTGTGATGAATGCGAGGTAAACAACGCCCATTGGACTCTCCTCATGGATTTCAATCAGCTTGTTGGCTGCTCTAAAAGTACTATACAGCCTTACTAGGCTGATGGAATGGTTTATTGCAACAGTGGTAGTCATGTCCATTGCACTAGAGTTTGTGTTTGTGTTCGTGCTCTCATTGCACATGGTTCATTTGCCATTGATGATCACAAAGCAATGCCTGCACATCAATAGATTGCTGCATCAAGGAACCATAGTTGTGTTGTTTTGCACATTAGAAGCTGTGAAGTGTCTAGAAACTTGTTTTTCAATAAAAATTCAAGTGCATGCAACTCTAAAAATTATACTTGGTCCTGTTGAACTTTGTTTTTCTGTGTGAAACCCATTGTTCAAATCACAGGAGTTCACGTACAGATTAGAGACTGGTGAATGTGGCCCGTGCACATGTGATGTTGTTGGATCGGTGACGCAACAATGCGATGTCAACACGGCGCATTGTGACTGCAAGCCACACGTGGTAGGAGACCACTGCGACCGCTGTGCTCCGGGTTTCTGGAACCTTGCAGAGCACGGCTGCCAACGTAAGGCTTCCAACCGCTGCCACAGTGTGTTGTATGGAAAGTCTTTAAATTGCTTGGCTGAGTGCAGCTTGAAGCATACCAATCTGCCTTCAGTGCAATAAGCCTAGGTAACACCAAGTCTGCTATCTATGCTACATTTTGTCATTGGTGTAGGAACATTGATTCATAGTCTAGCAAACTGCGAGGAATGAAATAATTGAATAGCGGACAGGATTGCTTTTCTAGTATATATGTATTTTCATGTCTGGGCTTATGTTTGTTTTCAGTGTGCAGTTGTGCCAGACATGTTGTATGTATGTATATTCTATTTTATTTTTACTTTCGATTAAGATTCCACTAGGCCGATTGGTATTGCTGCTAACGGCTTTTGTTAACGTCATTTCTGTCATTTCATTGTATTGTATTACTCTTCAGACATCAATCCTGAATGGCATAAGCGAAAGTGGCACCCCTGCCACCTACGCGGACATAATTGTGTTAATAAACCCTGTGTTTATTTGTGTGTGTGTGTGTGTGTATGTGTGTGTGTGTGTGTATGTGTGCGTGTGTGTATGTGTGTGTGTGTGCGCACGCGCGCGCATGTGTGCCCTTTTTCGCCTCAACAGCATGCAACTGTACTGAGAAATGGTCAGTGGATGGCACTTGTGACCAGACAACTGGTGACTGCCTGTGCAAACAGGCTGTTGTGGGGCAGTTCTGCCAAGCCTGCCAAGCGCGGCATGTACCAAATGGAGAGGAGGGCTGTGTTGGTAAGTTAAAAAGCTACGGATAGCCACAGTGATTTTCACTACATTTTACTGCCAGGTGTGTTTCCTTCAATACCCCGTAATATTTTACAGGCAAGTTGTTTGACATGAATGACCAAAAAGGCAGCATCTGATTACATGCAGGCCACTACATTAAAACTTTGCCATCACACAAGGCTGGAGTCAACACTGTTTAAGTCACTCCACCACTTTGTTATACCACTACTCAAGACTAACAGAGTTGCCCCTTTTCCAGGAGAGCAGCCGAGATCAGTACAAAACGTCCGTGAGTCCTGTGGTAACAAGCTATTAGTTAGCAAAAGTCAGTGCTGACTTTATCCAGTAGCTGCATGCCTAACATTTACTGACACACTGTATGGATTTTTGCTTCCGGTTTTCGCTCGTGAATGTGTAGCATGTGATGAGTGCACTGATTCGCTGTTCGATGAGATTACGGTCATGAGAGCCATGCTATTAGAGGTAACCAATGACTCCAGCTACTTTGACGCTCTGGCTGCTGCACGCACACAACTGGACAACCTGACCGATGCTGCAAGAAGGAACAATGTGAGAAGCTTGAAGAGACAGTTTACTAACTATTACTTACTATCAAGCACAGCATTTTTGTTTGCACTTGAAGCATTAATCCACAGCCACGGTTTCCTCAGTCGTGACTGCTTGAGCCTTATCGTGTTGATGAGTAAGAGGTATGCAGTTCCTCATCCATCCTGTTTTCAAATGATAACGTCAAGACATGTGGCACTTCTCCGAAGTGCACGTTTGACACCGCAGACTAGCACGGCCCCTGACACCCTGAAAGTTGTACGAATGCTGCTTGGCACGTGGCTTGTTTTGTTGAAATCTTTTTCTGTGCGCACAGTAACATAGCAAGCCGGCTATATGCACGTGTCCTTAATACTATGATAATGTAGTATGAACTGATTCAGGGCACCAGCTTTTCGCTGGGGTCGGATTTCACTGAGTGCAACTGTACTACGTTATCTCCAAGGATGCACCCCTCTTTTTCCAATTGGAATAAGGTCGATCTGATTTGTTTTTTTCTTCTACGCTCTTCTTTTTTCCAGATGCGCCGCTCAACATTGCAGTCTTTTGTCATTGCCGCGTATGCACTGCTGGGCTATGACGTCACTCCCAGGATGGATGACATCATGGCTGGACCAGGAGTGGATGTGTCAGGATCTGGTTTTGGACTATCAGGGTCGGGGATGGAATCAGATATGCCCACACGCGATAATTTTACTCAGGTATGGACAATGTTTCTATTGTAATCGAAGAACTTTGAGAATACTAACATATAACAATACAAAGAAGTTGAAACAAGTGTGACTTTAAAATGGAAGAGAAAATATAAATGTTGCACCTCAGTAAATAATATCAATGCACACCGGATTAATTAAACACAGCTAGATCATGCTGAAGCTTGGACACATGTAGGAGAAAACGCTCAGAAATTTGATTTTTTGTTGTCTGTTGCAGGATAACTCTGCCGCATCAAAGCTGGATGAATTGTCTTCTCTTGTGAGCAATCAACTCGTCGCCAAAGTAGGTCAACACGTTTTTGCATATCCCATTCAGTTTGCATACGACTGGTACAATGTTCTTCACATTACAGTGTCTTTGCCCTGATCAATTTGAGCTGCAAGCAAAGATACAGGTTCGAATGATCCTGTGCATGCCGCCTTGAGTTCTGTGTCATGTCTGGTCGTAAACTCGACGTGGGCTATTCATGGCTGTATGCCAGGTATGCCTTTCCTTAACCGACTCATACCGCTTTGATCTGTTGCACTCTTCTCCTTTCTGCCTGCCAGGTGCTTGATCTAGCCAGTGTTGCTGCCAGCCTGCAGAGAGAAGTGGATGAAACGGATGAGGTGCATCGCTCAACCGTCGACCATGCAACTGACGTGCTTCGCAGAGCTGACCGTGAGTTGGTCCGAACTTTTCATGATAATTTCCTGCATGCACAAGTGCAATGTTGCACTATTCCAGGAGTATGGATACATGTACTTAGTAGCTGTATGGTGTATACCGCTATTGCAGTAAACTTTGAAAGCCCTAGTTTGAGGATTTCAGTATACAAGTAATAGATATGGAATGCGGACATAGTTTAATTAAACGTCATATTTGCCTGATGATCGTAGAGATACGTGAAACTCGGAGTTGTGACAAAGCTTCCAATCTCTCTCTTGTGAACGTCATATTTGTATATTTGCCATATTTTTAACCGTCATATTTGCTTTCCACACAGCGCTACAAGACCCACCCTCTCCTGGCATATATACCGGCATGGCCAGTACCATCCTCATGTTGCCTGATGATTGCAAAAGCATGAAACTTTAAATAGCGACTAACAAGCCTTGATTGCCCTTGTTGTCCTGTGTATTACGCTCTGCCTCCGCCATGGTGTGCATTACGCTCTGCCTCCGCAGTGGTGTTGAGCACTGTCAGTACACTGGGTGCATCCTCCGGTGTATTCCGAATGATAAAATTGGATATGCACTAAGACCGTTTTTCTCTGTCTTCTTTTCTATTCCTGGTAGGTATGATCGAACGTCTGTACTTTGCCATTACCATGCTTATTCGGACCAATGTCCGTCATGGCCAGGATCTATCATCTGCTCGCAAGATGCAGGAAGAGATTCGTTTGAATAGCGATGAGATCTCCGAATCGCTGGAGGAAATCAACGAAGCACGGGAACTTGTCACCGAGTTGAACACCATTTCTGTCAGAGTATGTTACAAGCCATTGTCCTGAGCGTTCAAGTTCACTACTTGTGCAGTCATACTTGTTGTTGATTTGATTGGCGTTGGTTTGCTACTTTCCACTTGATTTATTGCTGCCTAAGTTGACGTGTGCCTTTGCAAAAAAGTCCCCCCCCCCCCTCCGAATTGTTTTACTGCGATGATGAGGTGTGCATCTGCACCTAGATCCATGAAATTCAAGCACATTCATCCTCTTTATTGGCATCACTAGGCACATTCAAGCCGCTATTCAAAGGTGTTGCCCATGCCCCTTTATGTATAATATGTTTCATTGCCAATCAGGGAACTTTGCTGTCAAGGTTTGCACGAAATGCCTATTTGTAGTATCAGCCACAGTGTACGGTCTCAGGTCGGATTTTTGTCCAGAAATATTGTGACTTATACCCAGTAAACACTCAGTTTGCTGCCTGATGATTGATGGTTCAAACATATAGCACTGAGTTGCAGCTGTAGCCTTCTTACTTTTTATTCATTAGTGAGGTTCTGCTCTACGCTATGGGCACGCAACGCGAAGAATCCCAGAAACTCTCTTTGCGTCCCCGTAACGTAAAGAAAATCTGTTCTGCGCTACGTCACGTAGAGAGTTCACGTAGAATGTGTACTGGGAATTTCCCCCTCCATATTTGGCAGTTTTCTGCCTGCATTTGATCGATACCCTGCAGAACCTCATCTATGCGTAGAAATCTGGACCCAAAACACACGAAGCCGTGGACTCCAACCCAGACACCTGCTCTCTATGTGATTTCTCTACATTTCACGTATAGCTGAACCTCTCTATTGTGTTTTTGTGAACCACGGAAAGCATGTACTAGTATGGCGATTGTTTTTCTTGCATTCTAAGATCATTGATGTTGATTTTGGCTATTTTGAATGCAGGAGCAAGGTCGCAATGACAACCATACGGTTGCGATCCGCACAAGTCAAGACGAAGTGCGGTCACTAGCTACGCTGGTCGAGGCATTGCGCAATGCCACTCAAGGCACACGGCGGATCACAGGGCGAGCTCAGCGGCGCATTGACAATGCTCGCGCCAGTCACGACAGGTCATCGGTGGGTCACTTTTGAAGTTCTATTGCAATTGAGTAGTTTGCTTGGGACCTACATGACCTTTTTCATGCCATACAGTGTCTCAATTGTTGCTTTCCCGGTTTTCAGCAGCATGTTGTTTAGGAGAGAAATGCTGCTATGCTGATTACTGTTTTCATGGACACATCACAAGCGCCATGCCATATAGCTGCCAATGATAAGCTTTTTGCCGGAATTGTAATGCATTCACTAGCTGTCCCGGTTTCGACCTAGAAACATTAAGATCAGTAGAGGGGAGGATGGGGGTGGGGGGTGAAGGATGCCATAGAACATGGCTATGCCCACGCATGGCCTGACTGTCTTGGTGTGCAACACTGGTTTTCTTCACCACCTGACTGTTGTTGTTTTTTCTGCAGCAACTCGTTGTGAATGCGTCCGAGCAACTACAAAATATCCTGGCTGATGTGCAACAATTGGCTGTGATCATCTCTGGCTCTCTTGAATCTGTGGCCAATGCAACCAGTGATGTTGACGTAAGTGGAGTCCCGAGGTGCATGCATCCTATCATGCTGTTGAGTTTCTGGTGTAGGAAAGTCTCTTGTACATGCTGTGGATAGTGTGAAGCCTCGGGTGACTGGTCATGTTTGTATCAACGTTATGCTTCATTGTAGGCGACTAATGATGCCATTGAAGCGATACGAGCCGCCACTGAAAGCCTTGTTAGGATCGTGGAAAAGTCCCAGAATGATTCCAATTTCATCCAAACTGAGCTGACGTCAATCAAAACCAGTCTGAACAGGCTCATTCAAGATCTGGACAGCTCAGAAACGTAAGTTTGGCAACCAGCAACGAAAATGTTCTGAAAGCCCTTGGAAGTGCGGCCTCCTTAGCTTTCAGCCTAAGAAAAAGGCCTGGCCCTCTTTCGATCGGTATAAGCTGGTTACACAGCATTGCCAACTCGGGCAAGCATGTGCTACGTCGAAAATTAGCATGTTCTACGTCGAAAATTAGCATGTGCTACGTCAAAAATTAGCATTGTTTGTGGTTGGCATTGTTGGTATCAGTTAGCCTCTCTGGATGCAGTCTGCCTTCCTGTAGGGATTTGCATGCAACGCGTGGGTATTTACATTTACACACACACACACACACACACACACACACACACACACACACACACACTTGTACTTGTACTTGCTCACTGCCAAAACTGGTCACGTGGGTCTCCCCGGGAGAGGGGAGAGAGAATCAAAAGGAATCTTGGAAAGATGACTCAATTGGCCATTGAACCACCCAACGGCCGACACCCCCTGAAATCCCCAAACTAGGGTGGACTTGAAATGATCCCACTTATGGGCTCACCACACCTCAATAAGTGGGTGAGGACAAGGTGCAGAAAAAGGATTGACGGCATCAGGGTATCCGTCCCGGGATCCAACTGCAGGTACCCCTGCCCCCAGTGAAGGTAATACTTGCTACTAGTGCGGGTGGCTAAATCAGAGTGGATCTGATATAAGCTTCACTAGCACCATTGATTACACAAGAGTTAATCTAGCCAGAAGCAGTCCATGGTTAACAGATTAACACACACACACACACACACACACACACACATACACACACACACACACATACACACACACACACACACACACACACACACACACGCGTACACCATGTGCAGCTATGACCAGAGAACCATGCAAGTCTGCACGCCCACAGCCTATACACCCACTGGAGATTTTTGATTTGCACTAGGTACCTGGTGGACCACATAACTGGCAAAGCCATATTAATCTTAAAAGTAACAGGATATAACCGTGAGGGAGACTGTTGCCTACAATGTAGGCATGTCCTAGACTTAGTAGAAGTGGTGAGTCCTAGATTTGCTGATTTTAAAACTATCATCATTTCCAGGCAATAGCATTTGACATACTGTAGTCATATGTGAAGCATTCTGTTGTGCATCTAATTGTCCACACTGTGCAGTGCCTTTGAGACTGTAGTAACTACGGGCAACAGATCCGCAGCTGCAGCAACAGCTTACAGAGATATCACACAGCTGATTGCTTCAGCACTTAGCAATGCCTCTGATGCTCTTCAGGCTGCCAACACGACGCTGAGACTGGTACGTACCTACCTGTGATTGAAGCATGCGTCTTGTGATATTTTCTTGCTATCTATGAGTATGGTTCGTATTTTCTCGCTTAACGGTCCCTTCAAATTGAAAGTCGCACCCCCATTTTAACGTTCCTGTCCATAGCCAGCAATCGCATGTCATCTCGTACATTGAAAATCAACATAATTTTGCGAATCGACCTTTTTTTCAGGATCACTTTTCAACGAGGACGAAGCAAAGTCGGTCGAACGAAGCCTAGAGGAAGAAAATCACCCTCTCCACTTCACCATCACGATACTGACATACATACGAGATGAAACAACTAAAAAATTCACAAGAAAACTGTACGACCATCATCTTTGGTCTGACTTTGGTCTGAGAATTTCTATCACGATCAAAAATGTACGAGGAGCACTCAAAAATCAGCCACAGACGTACCTTTATCGCTCTCTACTCCTTTTTCAAGGCACAAAAGTCGACTCTCCACTTTCAAACCAGGAACCAGACATACCAGTGGTCCTTTTCAGCTGCTCCACGAGCGCAGGAAATGTTCACCAAGGGGCGCAGAGCAGCATCCATTCCAGAAAAATAGCTAAAATACGAGTGAGACTGCATGCCTGAGTACATGAGTACATGTATGAGTACATGCAGAAAATAGTCACTTTCAGCGTTTCTGCTCCAAACAGCAACTAGCTTCGACTAGAAACAAAGATTACACCAAAGGATCAAACAACAACCATTTTCTGCAGTTTTTTTGCAGATGGCTTCCTTGTGCTTGGCCCAGCACGCCAAAAATCACACCTCGGAGGAGTACAAAAATTACAACTCTCAGATGTCCTTGATTGCTGGCCATGTTATAATTTCAGTGTTTCGTGAAAGAATTCACCCCATTGGATTTCTTGTGCTCATTCTACTTCTAATAATTCTAGTAAATGGTTGTGAGTGTTCTTTATAGATGCACTGATGAGCATTACTGTAAAACCGGAAAGTCTAACGAGTCACAAAGTCTAATGTTTTAACGATCAATTTTTTTCATTGTTTGAAGAAACGTTATCGCGAGATATCTGTGTAAAGATGCGCATACAGATGGGTGGCCAGGTAGCCATAGCTAAACTTTCTGCACGTTATCACGCCAAAATTACAAAAACGTTAAACTTTTTGTTCGTTAAATTTTCTGGTTTTACAGTACATCAATCCCAACCATTGGTATTTTGACTACTATTTTCTGCAGACCATATAGCCGCTATCTTTCTTACACATGTCCTTGATGTGGCGTTGTCTCTCCATACATTGATTAACACCAGGCACGCAATCAAACACTGCAAGGTATGCCAGAGCGTGCCAGGATGGCCAATGAAGCATCGGAGGCCATAGAGCAGCTGCTAGAGGAACTCACGAGGCGGTTCGAGGGTGAGGCAGTTTGCAGCGATGGCGTGATCTGTCTCTTTTGATTGACCTAGAACTGCTTATAGTTTCTTTATTTTTGTAACAATGAGAGATTTAACTCTGCTATGCCGCTGTGAATGTGGTATTCTTGTGCAGCATTTATGCTATTCGGCTTGGTGTTGTTGTTCTTAGATTCTGCCTCGCAGCTTGCAATGATTGCAAGTCTGCTAGAAGCCGAACAAGGCGTACACAACTCCACGGTTGACAGGCATACGTCTGGGTTGGAGCGGCAGACCGAGGTGGCAAACTCTGGTAAGTTGGTACTCTGATGCCTCTAGATATGAGAGATTCTCGCTGTCAAATGGGAAGTAGTTGCCTTTTACATTTTCCAACAATGGGAGAATCCTGGTTGCGCGGAGTTCGAACCTACAATCAGATATTTCAATTGAATGGGACAACGCACTTCAGCGCAAGGATCCATCCTTGTTTTCCTTTCTTTTCTAGCGTATCCATGTAGACTGACGGACTTGCTTCACTTGATCCAGGCAAGAAACACAATGTATATACTAGGCAACTTGGCTGAGGTCAGTATCGGGTCGACTATGTTTGTTGCCCTTTGGTAATGCAATATGAAAAGACAGGTGGTGTATGTTCTATGTTGTATGGTGACTTCCGTGTTTGTTCAGATCCATCTAGCCGAATCACACCAATGCAAGACGGTGCTGATGGAATAAACGAAACCATCTTGATGAGTGACAGAAGTATCCGCAATACAGAGGAGAACATCACGAGACTCGGAGAGCATTCAGATAGGATCCAGAGGGACCTCAATACCATTGACAGGAGCAACAACCATGTTAAAGATGTCTGTAAGTTTGGGTTGCACAGTATATGACTGTAGCATCACAACAACAACAACAACAACAACAACAACAACAACAACAACAACAACAACAACAACAACAACAACAACAACAACAACAACAACAACAACAACAACAGCAACAGCAACAGCAACAGCAACAGCAACAGCAACAGCAACAGCAACAGCAGCAGCAGCAGCAGCAGCAGCAGCAACAGCAACAGCAACAGCAGCAGCAGCAGCAGCAGCAGCAGCAGCAGCAACAGCAACAACAACAAGAACAAGAACATCAACAACAACAACAACAACAACAACAACAACTACAACAACTACAACTACAACAACATCAAACTGTGAATAGGAGAAGTATAGAAATTTTCATTCACTCTACCCAGCCCAATTCTGTGCAAGTTCACAGGGCTGTTCACTACGACTCGTACTTTAATGTTCGCATCCAGGATCCTGGGCTTTCCTCCTTCACCGACATTTGGCTTCACATAAATTCACTTCACGCTGTTCTTAACAGTTTCTTCACTGGTAAATACCAGTGAAGAAGTTGTGTACTACCTCCGACAAGCGAAACTTGGCGCGTTTTTGGTGTTGTTTTTTTTGCGTTCGTTCCACAACTTCACAAGGCTGCGAGGTACGACCTACTTGTAGCTCGACACAACCTGGTGCAGGAAGCCAAGCGACGAGCTGGTCAGTAGGACATGGCTCAGACTTCGTCAGAGGTAGACGGGTTGCTGAGGCAGGTCAGTCTCTCGTGTACCAGCACAATGGTGCGCGCTTCCATTCTGCGAAGGAGAATCGTCGTGCTTTCGCGTTTCAACCCAAAACAAAGGACTTCGCTCTCTCTCCACGTGGTCACTCAGTCCGCACAGAGTCCAGACATCAATGTCAACAACCTGGCTTCTTTCAATAGCCTCCACAGCGATGTGTCTCTGGTGGCTAAGAAAAATTGCCAGGAATTGCAGCCGGCAATTTTGGGCTGTTGGTGAGAATACCGGGCACAAAGTTGGAGTCCCAGCGCGTGTGGAGGTGTTGCACAATTCTTACGACGAAATCCTGGAGAAAGGCGACGGAAATGACTACCCTCGACATCATGGATCGAGCACAGAATACAGGAGCGGCATCGATATTTCCCGAGTGATCACAGCAGAGGTACTTGCTGCAACTGAATCCGCTGCAATCGCATTTTCGTCTCACTACAGGGACAATTCCTTTTCACAAGAAGCTGCGATCGCTGAATCAGAGGAGAGTGATTCAGAATAACTGATGTCTCTAATGTCCTTGTTGAGCAATACAAAGTTGTAATTTGGTGAGTCAATCATTATTTTCGATTGTAAAGTGTGAGTTACTTCGAGTGATTTGAAGCAAAAAACGCGCCAAGTTTCGCTTGTCGGAGGTAGTAATAGAAATGCAGTGACATTGCTGACCACACCAAATACTACATAATTTATGATTGTTATGTTTCAGTGGATGGCTTGGACACCGAGCCCACGGAGAACACTATCAGGGATTCCGATACAAACATCGTTGACTTGAAAGGCCGAGCGAAGGCCATCATGAATCGCTTGGCTGGAATGCAGGAGAAGATCTCTTGGGCGCAAAGCAAGCTTGCTAATGTGAGTCGTTGATATTAGGAGACGTTCTATTATGATTTATGGTCAGCTGTTTGAAAACGATGTCCGGGACTTACACTGTCCATGCCTATAGATAGCCGGACCATGCAACAGAACCAAGACTAGATACTGATATTAGAGATTATGATTAATATGCATCATTTTGAAGAAGATAATCGTCATGGATTTGTGAACATGTTAATACCGTATTTATCCTATTATCAGTCACACTAAGTCATACCCCCACTTTCAGGTTGTGTGACTTCTATTTGGGAAATACAGTATATCAGTATTAGTCAGCCCGTATCAAGTCTTGCTCAAGTTGTGCGGGTCAGCTTTCTAAAGGTGCTATATTGAATGAATCTTCCATCTGGACATCGCTGGCACCTTATCCTGTAGATTAGCAAGTTCTTGCTAAACCTCCCATGCCTGTTCTTTCGGCCACACACCTTTGCAGTCTTTGCGTATCTCTAGCTGTTGAAACTATGAATTAATTTTCTCCTGTGGCCATTTGATACTCTTTCAGTTCCCCGGTGCTGTCAAGCTATCCACCGCAGAGGAAAGTCAAGAGACTGGATCAGCTCTGGAATTGTCTCTGAGTTCTGATGTGCGTGAAAGCTATGCCCCGTACACGGCTGTACGTTTCTCCATGAATGCTGAAGCCAAGCAAGGTAGTACCCTTGCTGATGGTCTTCTCTTCTACCTCGGTCCAGTGATGGAGGAAGTAAGGACATAGCGCTTGTGTACTTCCTACGTTCTGTGGGTCAAATCTTGGCTGTAGTTTGGTCTTTAATCTGCCTGCCAGTCATGTAGCCCTCTGTTTCCTTAGCCCTAGCTCGCTCCGTGTCTATATCTGGATGTCTGCCCACCTGCCTGGCTGTCTGTCCGTCTGTATATATGTTTATCTCTCTCCCTCTCTCACACACCCACACAAACGCACGAACATTCTTTCTCTCTCTCTCTCTCTCTCTCTCTCTCTCTCTCTCTCTCTCTCTCTCTCTCTCTCTCTCTCTCTCTCTCTCTCTCTCTCTCTCTCTCTCTCTCTCTCTCTCTCTCAACCTCTCCTCTGTTTCGTTCTATCACAACTAGTAAATTCCTACCACCTTGACCTCGTTGTAAATCTATCCAGAATGAAACAGCATTTACACTGTACTGATTGCTGTCCTATACTATGTCTTTCCCCACAGCCTGCTGATGCAATGGCAGAAGGTGAAGCACAGCAAGACTGGGTAAGTTGTGCATGAGCTTATCCAGTGGTAGAGTTGTGGTCTATTCAGTAATGGCACACCGTTTCTCCGTCCTTTGCTGATGTCAGGATATCCTCGAAGATTCCCACGATGGGCATTAGCCTTTGGGATATTCTGTACGAAGATGAAAGCAGTTTTAGATTTTTTTGCTTGGGAATGGCAAAGCATGAAGAGTTTGCAAGCAAAGTCTCGTTCTGCCCTCTTTGTTGATAAAAGCCAAAAAAAATGGGGCTCATGATGTTTGGCTGTTTTCCGTTCTGAACAGATTGACTCCATTCGAGTGTTTGCCAATGCTGGAACACTTGGTGCTACCGTCCGAGGTGGCTATCCACATGAAACCAGCACGGTATCCTTCTCCCTTGTTCAACCGAATGGTCAGCTGTTCCAATTGTCGGCCGGCCAGTGGTATCAGATCAACATTACAAGGTTGGTGCT